ACGGGTTTCAAGGCGTTCTTTGAAAAAGAGACTGCATCTCCCCAACTTGCGGTATTTTTGCAAGGCGCACTTCCGCCACGCCGAATGCCAAGCCCGGCGGTGGTGGCGTAGCCGCGCTGCAACCCCGATAAAACCTAGAAGCGAAGAGCTGAATGGCCTAACCAAAATAAAAGCACCCATGCCCGGCAGGAGCTGCCCGTTGGGCCCCTAGGCAGAAGGGTCAAAAGGCCAGCGCCACAAAGGCCCAACGCGCCCGAATGACCCCAGAAGGGGCCTTGTAGGAAGGCATACGGGCCAAGATTCAGAGGCATGAAAAGGGCCACAAACTCGGAGGGTTTGGAAAGGATTCCTCTTCCTTAAGCATCACTTTGAGGCAAACACCATTCATATCATTCATATCACCACCATACGCGATCCACAAGTTTCGTCCGCCGCAAGCATTTCCTCGCCGCCATGGACTCGCCCGTCGACTCACCCGTCGACTCGCCCGTCGGGGGTGTGAGCGAAATTGGGCGCTTTGAGACGCACGGTAGGGGGGAGTTGAAGGAGGCATCCCAACCGACCCAACCGACTCAACCGAACAAGCAGACGCCACGCGAAATACACTCTCGCTTCGCGTTGGTGTCGACGCAGTCCTTCGACGAGAAACGTCAGCCGACATTTACAACGCTCACCATCAACTCGCCGCACCTGCTCAAGGCCCTGGAAGAGGTTGTGACGCACTACCCAGGACGTCCGCCACATTTCAAGCAGCCCGTAAGCATCAAGTCTCCGTTTGCAATACTGCACCACCATAAGTCGCTGCTGCAGAAGTACGGCGAACCCGATTCGGATCCCACGCTCCGGACCCACCTCAAGCTCCTTTTGGACTACCTCGACAGTGCCCTGGACCCGCATGCCGAGCAGCTGCTCAGCGAAGGGCTCGTCACGTTTTCCCTCCTCTGGTTGGCTTTCCGACCAGGGGAGGTGGTGGTCCAGTCGGAGCATGGACACCAGCAGCTTTGGTTGCTCAAAAAAACCGCCTATGTCAAATCGTTTCTAGGAATGGAGTATTTCAAGCTCCACTGCCTGCGCAGGATGTACAACGGTACTGAAGTGGGGTGGACCAGCTCTACAATGCAAATCGAGAAGCCTGACGAGGGTGTGGCTGAGATTCTTTCTCTCGATGTGTCCCCCCTCCGATGCCACCGAGATCCCGATAGCATCAAGGAGCGGCTGTCGGAGAGGGGCTATCGATACCTGGAGCTGACGGGCATCCACGTGAGACATTACGATGGGATGTTCTTGGGCCTTCAAGGTGGATGGTCGCCGTGCAGAGTAAGTTAAAGTACCTCGGTGCTTATCCCACCCCTAATATCCGCTACATGCCAGTTTTTCCTTTAACTGATGGGGGACTTACAGGCGAGTGGAAGTGTAATTGTCGACGGTGGAACATTCGTGGAGGAGAACGCAGGCCACCATGTGCGCGTCGAGTCGGACTCGGAAGCCCGCAGTGGCGCGTCAGAACGACAACAAGGGGACCCGATTCGTGTACAGGGCCAGCCCTTAAGCGGCGAGGACCCCTTCGATGCGTCGATAATGTTTTTTCCGCCGTATGTGCACGGCTACTCGCTGGAGACGCGATGCTGGTGCAGATTCTTCGTCGACCAACTCACCGAGGTCCGTTGGAGGCCTAACGCGCTCAGCGATCTGGTCTTGCCAACGAACCAGAAGACGCTCATCAAATCGCTCGTGGAGTATCACTCCTTCAAACCTTCCACGACCGAATCCTGCATCGAGGCGACAAAAGGGAAGGGATTGGTCATCCTCCTCCATGGGGGACCGGGCACGGGCAAGACCCTCACGGCTGGTATACCTCCCTACCTATGCGCTCCGTCAATTCAGTCCCAGCCAGTGCCACGTGCATATATACCCGATATGTTCATGTTTAACCATACGTAAAATTTCTAGAAGTTATGGCCGAACACCACGAGCGGCCCTTCCTGAGGATCCCGGCCGGGGAACTCGGATACGGTCTGGCCATTCTTGAGAGGGAGCTGAAGAAGCTTACCAAATACGCGACGAAGTGGAGAGCAATCGTGCTTATTGACGAAGCCGACATATTTCTGGAGTCTCGAAAGGACGGTAGCGTGGAGAGGAACGCTTTGGTCGCGGGTAATAGGCTCCTCTGCCTCGAGATCGTGACGTAGAAAGAAAACGCTAACATCCTCTTTACCCTTGATGCTTACCAGTCTTTCTCAGACAGCTGGAGTACTTCCAGGGCATCATTTTCCTGACGTCCAACAGAGCTCAGACGTTCGACTCGGCCATCAAATCGCGCAGCCACCTTATCCTCCATTACCCCCCGCTTAACCAGCACACGCGCGCCGATATCTGGCGCAAGAGGCTCCAGCTTATCCCCGAGTATGACCTTGACCCCGAGCTTGACATAGAGGAGGCCATCAGTGCGGTTGTGGGCTTTGAGATGGACGGCCGCGAGATCGCCAACACGGTCGAGTCGGCGCAGACGCTTGCGAGGAGCGATGGGGGACCGCTGGGCCAGACGCATCTGGACACGGTGACAGAGGTGTGGAAGATGGCGCATGACGCGCAAATGGTGGGGCGAATCTCGAATTAGAGCCCGAAGGGATGAGAGCAGGGAGCAGGAAACATAAAGAGGGACAAACCTGGGACGGAAGCGTTGCGTTCAAGTTTAGTTCCGCCAAGGCGGCGGTTGCGATCGTGTTGTGCCGCAGGTGCTATTCCGTGATCCCATTAGCTTTATAAAATCCGTATCGTCAGATAAGCACGCATAGTGGGAATTTGGCAGCGGTGACCGCAAACAAGTGTATGCCGCAGATTGACTGGAAAAAACCGGCCCCCAATTTTGAGGCAAACAAAGTGTTCACCAGTTTTGTACACCAAAGGTGGTGTCGGTGGAGTTGGTAATGGTGGGGGCCGTCGCCTCGGAAAGGTCGTCTCGGGAAGGTTTGGCTGAGTGTAAGAAACTGGGATGACGGTCCTCCTCTAGCGATCGGCGGCCGTGCCGCAGTCGGACTCGTAGTGGCAGAGCCTAAGGACGACAAGGCAGGCATCGGTGATGACGAAGCCGTAACTGATCCGGCAGCGCGCCATGTAGCTCGCCAGCGAGCTAGTGGTCAAGTCTCGGCCACTACTCCTCCTCACTGCTGCCATACTTGTTCCACAAGTCGTCGAACGAAAGCCTGGCGTCGGCCTGGGCGTCGTGATGGGAGACGGTAGAGGGTGTAACCGTGTCCGCCGCGCCGATCTGCGCGATTTCCGGCGCTGATTGCTCTCGGAGCGGCTTTTGATGACGCGCCAACCGCTCTTTGAGCTTCCTGGAGATGGCCGAGCGCGTGGGGTTGACTCTTTCGGCGCCTTCACCGACGACCCCTGTGCCGCTGGCCAGGTCCCCCTGTGCGGCCAGGTCCTTGGGGGTGAAGGCCCGCATCCGCTGCTGGAACGGCCGGAACGGCTTGCCATGCATGCCGAGCGCTGGCCGGAACTTGACCGAGTGGTCGGTCGACTTGCTGGCGCGCAGCCAATCCGGGCACGGCTCCATGCTGATCGTGCCCTGGTTGTAGAAGCGGTTGTCGCTCCAGTACCTCCGACCCTCAAGTTCCATCAGGCCCTGTATCGGGCCCGGATGGCGGCCCCACCAGTACTGCCAATCTCTTGGCACATCTTGCTGCCCGCGCGCGGGAACGCACCCAATCTTGCCCTTCAATAGCCGCTGCTTCTTGTTATGCGGATGCTCGAGTTCTCGTCCGTCGCGGCGCGGCGGCTTTGGCGTAAACACCGACTGGTGCGCAGGGCTCACTGGCAGTGTGAGAACTCTAAGCTCACACATCAGGTCGCCTCTGGCCAGGTCGAGAAACAATTGGGGCTCGTCGAATTGAAGAGTTTCAACGTTGTCTGGACAGAACCTGTGTGTGATGAAATAGTCTTCTTGGTCGACTTTTGATTCCCCGTCGCCTTCTGTTTCCCTGTCGCCATTGTCACTGGGGACAGCCGGGTCTCCGGAGCTGCCGCTCTTGCGGTTTGCGAGAGACAGCTGACCTGCCATGTTGGATCCCATATGCTCACCTCCCAGGTTGTGTACTTGTTTGAGGCTGATGGCGGTGAGGGCATGGAAAATCCCGAGAGTGGGCGCTTGCTGGCTCTGCTCTCTCCACCCGTAGTCGAGGGCGGCGGCGGCCGACTGCACTTCTGATGGGCGAAGTTGCTCTTGCGTGGTTCCGTCCTCGGTAGCTGGGTCGTAGAGGCCCTCGGGAGGGATGTAGTAGTGGCGCGTTCTCAATTCTCGAACGTCCTTGCGAGCTCGTTCCTCGAAATCAAACTCGTTTTCCCAATTTGCCGGATTGTAGGGTGCGTCCTTGACATGAGTGTGGCCCACAATATCCTTGATCGTAGCGGCGATAGTGCTTTTGATCAACAAGCACTTCTTTTTTGTGCGTATGGAGAGGGGAGCGCGTCCGAGCACGAAACGAGGGGGAATCGTCATTCTGAGGGACGAAGCGGACGATATCTCCAGAGGCAACGCATCTCCAGAGTCGGAATGAGGAGACAGTGCAGGCAAACCATGGCTGGATTTAAGTTCGTGGCGGGGTGATGGGGAGAGCCAAAAAGAACAAAGGGTTTGGTCAGGAATGAAAGAAAAGAAAAGGATTGTGGTGGAGAAAGGCGTGAAAATATTTCGGCTAGAAGCTCCTGTATGCTCATTGTGCGGAAAGGAACAAGGAGAATCATATGAATGAACGCATGGTTGAATCTTGGATATTCCTATCGCCTTTTCGAGGTTGTGCTGGATGCGCGACGATGTTCGTGTCGGGGATCAGGAATATGGCTTTGGCAATGGAGCTGAAATAAGTGGAAGTCGAGGGCTGAAGAGCAGAATTTTCTGGAGAAAAGCGAAAGTCCGCTGAGGACCAAGGCAAGGACTCAAACTGGCAGGTGCGGCTGCCAGCACTGCATGCTTTTGAAAAGCCTCAGCCGCTGGAAATTGTGGACCCAGACACTTTCCATTGGTGGTCCTGACCACATTATCAGCTCCAGCTACAAACCTTGCCGGATGTCTCCTGAACTGAGTTGCGGAAACGAAAAGTGAAAGATGACCACCCAGGTCCTTCTTCAACTCTTATTCCTCTAGCATCATGGACATTGCCACTGTTTTATCGTCTTTTATCTCAATCAGCGTCCACCTAGGGCTAGACAACGTGAAAGTAATCACGTGGTACCCAGCATTGCCGCCGTCTCATCCCTTATTCCCGCTGTTTATCCCATCGACCGGAAAATCTTGCTGGTTTGGTAAATGCGATATACGAACCGCCGATTCAGTTTCCCAAAGATGTCTGGCCCGGCGCGTCAGCTAGCCACCATGGAGCAGAGAAGGGGGGTCAGTGCTATGATCACAGGACTTACACATCGGGATGCATGTAGACAGTAAACACAAGGTGACAATTCCAAACGTCCTGAAGACGGTCGCCGACCCCTTTTGGCTGGACCAAGTGTTGACAAACGTCGAGAAGGCGTAAAACATGAAATTCTTTACCATCATCTGCAGCACGAAGACCTCGGTGGACTGGTTGGGAAACGAATCACTGGCAGTCGTTAGTACTGGCCCCCCAGAGGCGTGCCCCAACCAAGGGAAAATAACTCACAGGATATAAAGCCCTGCTGACGTCGACGACACGGCGATGCCAAAACCAACAAGGCCGTAGCAAAAGGCGGCGATGAAGACACCTTCCTTCCGCGGGTGCTCCATGACCCACATCCACAAGAACCATCCCAGGCAGCAGCAAAGAGCCGAGAGCACGTTGATGGGGATGCGGAACTCGGCCTCGAAAACGCCGCGGTTTAGGCGGGCCAGCACGCGCGCGGACCAGTCGCAAACGGGCCCGGCGCTGACGGCCAGCACGCCGCCGATGAATGCGCCCGTATAGAAGTAGCCGTTTTGCGCGACGTTGAGCAGGTACGGCGGCGGCGACCAGATCTGCGCCGTCATGTAGGCCGCCGCCACGTAGAAGGAGATGAGCACGCCCGACACAAGCAGGATCCACACCACGGCCGGGTTCACCAGATGCACGAAGATCTCTACCAGGAGGTGCCCGATGCCCTTGTCCGTATAGCTGCCCGAAAAGGCGGCGATGCTCTGCGCGAACGTCTTCGGCGGTACCACGTGCGCCACGGCGGCGAGGCCGCCGCCGTTGCTGCTGTCGGGCCCCCCATCACCGCCGTTCTCGTGGTTGCTGCTACTCGTTGCACCGCCCTTCTCCGGCGCCACAATGGCCGCCTCGTCGCCGCCGCCGCCGCCGCTGCGGCGATCGGGCAGCGTGGCGGGCCGGCGGTACTGCGACTCGGGGACCAGGAAGATGGTGGTGGCCAGGCACACCAGGTCGATGGGCAGCGAGGCGACGAAGAGGTTCTGCCAGCCGACGCTCTGGCTCATGACGCCGCTGACGACGGCGACCATGGAGCTCGAGCACGTCAGGGCGGCGACGAGCAGGGCGGTGCGCCAGCCGCGCTCGTGCAGGTAGAAGAGGTCGCCGATGGCGGCGACGCTGAGCGACTCCCACGCCGTCATGCCGAGCCCCTGCACCATGCGCCCGCCGAGCAGCAGGTGGTAGTCGAGCTCGCGGGCGCCCGCGATGCAGATGGCGGTGCCCACGCAGCCCATGACGGCGGCGAAGAGGAACTGCGGGCGCTTGCCGTACTTTTGCGCCAGCACCGACACCAGAGGGCCGATGGCGCCCACGACGAGGAGCTGGTAGCCCGAGAGCTCGGCGATGGCCGTCAGCGACGTGCCGAACGTCTTGGACAGCGAGAATGTCTGCGGCGCGAGCATGGGCCCCGGCACGATGGCGAATATGACGGTGTTGAAGAAGATGACCCAGAAGGCCGCTTCTTTCTTCCAGCGCGGCCAGAGCTTGCGGGAGGAAGCGATGAGTTTATGGACTGTTAACGAGGGCGTCCGGCGCAAAGGGGAGCCGACTTACGACTGGGTCATTTGGATCTGCGTCGTTGGGTTGCGGGACGAGGATGATTTCTTCGCCCTGCGTGTTCCGTCGGTGAGACAAGGCAGTTCCAATGGCGGAGGGGGCTCTTCTTACGTTGATAACGACGCGCTTGAGCCGGCGTGCCTCGTCTTCAGGCACCATGTCCCCGCGCTCTTCGCCGATGAGGAGCTCCGTCCCCGGGAGGGACCCATCATGTTTGGCGTCAATAATCCCGAAAGGCATCGTGCGGGCGACGGTGCTCGGCCTAGGGATCCCAGGGCCTCAAGCCACAGCGTTAGGTGGGAGGGCGGAGGTACCAATGTTAATTATGTGAATCCTGAAGACGGCGAACCCGCCCGCCTCACATAGACGTATGCGGCGTCCAACGGCCGGCTATATTAATCCGCCCCAAGGTGGCCAGCAAGCTTCCCGGCCGGGGTCGACCCCGCAGCAGCGCCGCGGCAGAATTCTGCCTAGGATTCTCGGATCCGGGGACCTATCACCGTCATAAACGGAGCTCTTTCATATTAGGCCGTGTAATGTCGGGTGCATTCCTCCGAGTCACCCCTCAGTTATGTTCCATCGTCCGCACACGCTGAGCTCCCCCGCTGCCCACTCGGCCAATCACGCAACTTTAGCTGTCACCCCCAGCCAACCACGACCCTGCCTCTCCCGTGCACCAAGAAAGCGGAGGGCTTGGCGCGGCTGTTGGACCGATGCCACAACGGATTTAAAGTGCTCCTTCATGGTGAAATACTAATGCTGCTGTTGAGAGCCTTGTTATATTCTGGCAGCAGCACGATATCGTTTTGCTAATTACCTAGATAATTTTTTGGATGTCGTCCAAGCCCAGAGAATAGCCCCTTTTCGGACATTTCTGCTGTGTGCACTACATGCGGGGTTTTATAGGGAAGGCTAATTAGTTTTGCCAGCCAGATTCGGTCGTGAATTTCTGTGGAACTTGGATTTTTGCTGCAAGTGTTGGATCTGGCCTGTGTGCGAGTGCAAGGCTGAGGGAGGAAGGCCAGAAGGGGGAGCACGTGGGTGCAGTTCCGCAGCGACTACCGATTACGGGATCGGTAGATCCATTCAAAGACCGCGTATTTCCTCCGAGGTGGCAATATTCCTTAGGGATATGAATTTTGGATTTTTGGACGTTATTTTCGGTCCCGGGGTAATTAAATGGGGTTAAGAAATTATGGAATGTGTTATCCAGAATCCCTGGTGATGATATGCAAGTCCTTTACACCAATCTTTACGCTCTTTCTTTGCGGTGCCCGGTGTGAACCAACCCATATTATGCTGCTGCATATCAAGGAACTGATTGCAAAACCGATGGGTCTTCATCCTCAGCGCTGCTCCCTTACAAAATCTTTCAAGTGCAAGACGACTGGATGCAAGCCGCCGTCTCCCCTATCAGCTGCGGGTGGCAAGGACTCATGAAAGCCATGCCAGAAAGGATGGGCGGATATCTTGCGGCATTGCAATGATTGTTTGTCATAAAGGAGGCTATCACCAAGGGCCGGCACACTGTTCCAGGCCTTGGCACGGAAGATCCGCACGGGCACCGGTGCTCCGCACCGGTATTGCACCGGGCAGATGCTTACCGAGCACTTGTCGGCAATGACGGGGGTGCGGTAGGGGTACCGCACCTACAAGAGAGGAGATTACTGTATAGAAGGAGGGCACAGGGCCCTCGGCCCTGTGCCCGTCTTCCCTTCTCCTCAGAGATCTAGATAAGCATACAATAGACCCAATCTTGCACCGTTTGTCCGTCATGTTGTTTATGTTCTCTCCCCTGGGGTGCGGATACCTGACGGCTAGGTGCCAGGAACGTTTATTTTTACTCTTTTTCAATGTTCAAGCCCAGGTGCGTTCGTGGTACCAACCGGACGCTAGGCTGCTCCGTGGCGCTCTCCAGCCGTCGCCTCTAACATGTGATGTCGTGGCCTACCTGTGACGAACCAATTGGGCCACCAAGCCAAAAGCGAAGACCCCCCGCTTAGTGGCTGGTAGCTACCAAGTGGGTTTAAATCCGTTTGCGACATTACCGCTTACTGCTAACGGCTGGCCCAAGGGTCCAAGTCGCGCCCCTGCTACACAGCTATCCGGAAATTCCGGCACACAAGATTACTTCGCGTGGTTCCCAGTATCGCTCGTATCGCGCTGGCATAACCCTAAGCCTTTTCTTTTTTTAAAAGCTCTTTTTTTTTAAAAGCTCAGTAAGCTACTAGGTATGCAGAGTCGGGCTCACGGTTTGTGGGTGCGGGACTGAGGCAGTGAGACCAGCTACGGCTGATGGGTGTTTTGGATGGGTGGTGGATGGGGGGTCACGGCCTGAATAACGGCCATGCATCGTCAGCTGGCGGGAATAGATGGTATGGGCGAGTGGAGCGTCTGGACCATGTCTAATCGAAAGGAAGGATTGAACGTGCATGCCTAATGATGCATCATTGGCCAAATACGACCCACCTCCCTGCGCCCTCGCCTCATTGGCATTCGTGCTGCGCAGCCCAAGACAAGCACCGCCCAAGGCCAGGAAGAGACACCGAGATCTGGGCGCCCAATTTGAGTGGTGCCCCCCACTCCCGCGGGCTGTACCTGCAGCTGGCCTCAGGCGTGCAGGTTGATGACAGCGAGGCCAAGGCTCGCGTGGTAAGCATCCGCCCATGGGTTTAGACGCCGACAAGCGAAGCCCCCACGCACACCATCAACCTCACCCGGTTTGCGCCAAGGCCAGTTTCCGGCCCCATGGGTGGCCTTGCGAGGTCGGATCGAGAGTAAGACGAAAATAGCGTCGAAAGCGAGAACATGGGGTATGCGAGGCGTCTGTTCTTGGACATAAACAGTAATCCTAACGGGAAATGATGGCATCTCGAAGAAGATAAAAGGACGAGCATCAGTATGCCTCTCATTGTCGGTTTTTATCTCCATCTCCATCAGCTTCATCATCATCTCAACAGCAACACATCCGCATCATCTTCCTCATCATTCCATCCGCCTCGGCCTCCACAGCAACACATCAACACGGCATCTGCAGCTAAGTCATCCACATTTCCTTAACACCATTCAAAATGCGTTTCAACTTCAAGGCCATCGGCATCACTGCCCTCCTCTTCGGTGCCCCCGCCCTTGCGGCACCCGCCCCCATGCCCGAGCCCGAGGTCGCTGTCGAGCCTAGGGGTAACGTGGGAAGCACAGTGATTGGCGGCGTTGGCCTGGCCTGTGCCATCTGGCGCCTGCAGTACGACTACAAGAACAACATCAACAAGGACGCGGTAAGCTGACACATGCTCCTTCCCCTCCCCCTTCCCCCTCTTTCCAGCACCGACTCTCCTGATTACTAACTCTGAAACCTTTTCCCCCGCCAACCAGGCCGCCGATATCAACAAGGCCTTCACCCTTGAGGCCAGCCGCCTCAAGGAGGTGACCAAGAAGTACAAGGACGCCGCCAAGACGAACGCGCCCAAGATCGTCACCACCATGGAGGGCTTCGAGACGCAGATCAGCGCGTGCGAGCGCGACTACGCCAAGGCCATGGTCAGTGCCGCCGGCGACAACAAGAAGCAGAAGGCGACGGCGCTCCAGTACTTTGGCAAGATCGAGACCATCGGCAAGTCCGTGGAGAAGGGCTGCCACCAGATCACCGCCAGCGCCCCTCCGCCGCCTCCCCCGGCCGCTGGGGGGAAGAAGCGCCCCGGCAAGCGCAGCGTGCGGAGCCGCCGCGCCGCGCGGGCCCTGGAGTTTGCTGCCTAAGCTGGAGACATTGGAGTGAATTTGATGGGTGCTGAGGAGCATTGGGACAGGACATTGGCTGGGCAGGCAGGCATTGAGGGTTTTGCATGGTTCGGCCTCTGGCTTTTCGGTATGGGAGCATAGCGCACGAGGGCATTTTGGAGTTTGGCGTTTATGCTTTTTTTTCTCTGGAATCAAATCTTCGATTTCCCTTCTCACTTCATTTTTGCGCCTGTCAGACCTCGGACATAAGCCGGTGACCTGCGCTTTCTGTGAGATACGCATTCTGCCCCATCAATCTCTGTTGACGTCTGTTTTGGGCTGGCGTCTAGAACGAAAATCGCTAGACCTGCACGTCAGCCTCAAAATGCATGCGCCGACAGGGTGCTTCGCTTGCTCGGCGTTGGCAACAGCTAGACGCCGCACAACGTGTTGATTTTCTGGCTGTAATTGTCGCGCAAGCCCCTCCCAAAACCTCTCCACTACCCCATCGAAAAGCATCATCCCTCATCCCTTGACCATACCACCATACCCTGCTCTTCGTCTGCGTTCCCCTGACGGCCTCGAGCTCCTTGACGTAAGGCTAGCGAAAACCCACAAATGGGCCCCCGTTTGGACCTATGGGTTTTGGGTCCGACTTGGACCCAAAAATTACCCAAAACCCAAAAAACCCAACCGAAAAATTACCCAGATTTTGGACCCATTACCCAAATGGGTCCCCGGCCCTTGACGTTAATGTTCCTCCACAGCAACAGCGAGCTGACTACGGGCGGCACGAACCCACAGCCGGCAATTACCATGAGGTGCTGGGCCTGGCCGTAGGTGGTGATGATGGCGTCGCGCATGGCGCCGCCCTGCGCCATCTGGCTGACCATATCGCCAAGGATCTCGGCGGCGTCGGGCTTGGCCTCGTCCGACAGCAGCTCGGCCGGCTTGGCGGGCAGCACCTTGTTCCACAGGCCGCCGGCGATGGCCTGTTTGACGGCGGTGCCGATGCCGCCAAAGAGGGCCGTGCAGCACCGGGCCCACGGTGATCTCGTTGCGGCTGACTGAGGCCATGGCGGCCAGCTGGGCGCACAGCGCGAGCAGGCCGCTGCCAACACCGTTGAAGTCATGTCAGTATGACGAGCACGCCGACGGACGAGTCCGGGTTGCGGAAGCGCGCGAGCAGGCCCGTGCCCAGGACCAGGAACGGCAACGCCGGCCGCGGCGGCCCACTTGACGTTGCTGGTCCAGCGAATGGCGATGCCGACGAGGACGCCGAGCGTGGCGCTGGTCAGCGAGAAGGCGTTGAGGATGTATCCCGCGCCCGCCATGTCCTGGGAGTGCGCGACCTGCAGGTACGGAAGTAGTACGTGTCCTAGTAGAAGATGGACACGAACATGGAGCCGTACGCCATGCAGCCGCCCAGCACCGTGCGGTCGCGCAGGTACATACCTCCAGGGGGAGACGGGCACGGGCGTCCACCAGCACTCCCACGCGACGAAGGCGCACAGGATGGGCGGGGTCCATGACGAGCATGGCGATCAGGCTGCCGTTGACCCAGCCGTTGTCCACGTATGTCGTGAGCAAGAAGGGTAGCAGAAGCAGTGCCCCGCCGACAGTGATGAGGGCCAGGCCGACGACGTCGAACTGCACCCAGTAGTGGCGGCAAGCGTCGACCCAGGACCGGCCCGACGGCCCGGCGGTCAGGATGCCGGCCACCCTGGACTTCCGCTCGTTCACGACCAAAACGAGGGCGACCGGGGACGGTGACGCCAACGAGGACGACGCCAAGGCCCAGCGGAAGCTGGACTCGCCGATGAAGCGCTCCACGATGACGGGCCCGGCGACGTAGCTGATGATCATGGGCGACGCGTTGAAGCCGAGCGCGATCATGCGATTCTTGAGCATCGTCATGTCGGCCAGCGTGGCGCTGCCTGTGAGGCTTGTTGACGAAGGAGACGGCGTAGAGCCTGCGATTTTGCGGTCAAATGGGTCAGTTATCTCGGAGTCAGGGGACAGGCCGGGGCTTACATGGCAAATATGCTGCACATGGTCTTGCTCGTCCACATCGAAGTCATTGCCTGTACCCTGGCCACGCCATCCTGCCTAAAGTTGGAGCAGTCGTCTGGTCCGGGTTTCTGGTTGATGTCGTCGTTGGCGGCCGCGTTTTGTGTGGCGTACACCCGCGCCTGCTTCTCAACATCGGGGACGACAGTGCCGGTGGTCTTCTCGGGGCTGCTGATGGCTGTCTGCAGACCTGTGTTCATGAGGGATCCCTGACGCCGCAGGGGCGCGGGCGTGGTAGCCGGAGTGACTTCCTTCTCGGCCGTTGGTCCTGGTGGTAGGTGCGATTACTCTTGCCTAACAGAGTAAGCCTTTCTCCAGGTGGAAATGCGTGACAAGAGCGACGACAGACTCAATGCATAAACTCAAAAGAAAGCATTATAATAGGGAACCAAGACGGGAAAGCCGCGTGGAGGTGAGGCATCTATGTAGGAACGAGAACGGGTGGCGCGCATGGCATCTGGGAGCAATGCCAGAATAACAGTGGGGTCAGGCAGCGGGGAACTCGCATGGACTACCTGCCCTCCACCAAGCAGCGGAGATCGGCGGCGCATCGCAGCATTGGATATCATCTGGAAGGGGGCTGCCCAGGGGCACAGGTGCGCGGCGGCGTCGGGGCCAGACCCTTCCACGGGCAGGATTGCGCAAGAGAAGGGGCACTGAGAGGCCTTAGCCGCCCTGTCTACCACTCCATTGATGCGCTTCGGCCTGTTACACCATGTCCCTAGAGAGCAGGGGAGGGGTAGGACGGAAATTCTGTCCCGAGGCGACGGGTCAGTGACTTGGCGCAGCAGGCGATGCCTATCGAAGCCATTATGGATCTTATCTAACATCAATGTGTGCCGGCCGACCATATAGAACACACCGACCCCCCAATATCCTGGCACAAGAAATAGCACGTAACAGCCTTAACACGCTTCCAAGCGTAATCCCAATCTGTAACCATGTGCAACAAAGGAGAAATTATGGATACAAACAAAAGAAGAAAGACAAAGGGCCGATACAAAAGACAAAGACAAAAGACCGTTCTAAACTAGACGTTCTCCCTCCGAGGGTCCATCTCCCTGTAACAAGGGGGCGGGGTCGTCGTCCGGCGCGGCGCGACGCCGTTGAGCGGGACGTTCTCCCAGGTGACGCGGCGGATGCGGGCCGAGAAGACGACGGACCCGCCCGACGGGCTCGGGCGCGGGGGCCTGAAGGCCGGGTCGCGGGCCGGGTCGGGCTCGTAGCGCGGCAGGTAGACGGTGTTGCGGAGGGCGCGGCGGGCGCGGCGGGCGTTGCGCTCCGTGAGCTCGTAGTAAGTAACGACGCTCGGCACGGCGACGGGCCAGAAGACGGCGCACGCGAAGACGTACAGCGCGCGGACGCTGGATCTGGCGCGCCAGCCGTAGGGCGGCGGGAGGCCCGCGCGGCGGGGGTGGTCGGGGATGTAGCAGAGGAGGACGGAGCCCGAGATGGTGCCGATGCTGAGGTAGAATAGCACTAGGAGGGTCTGGACGTCGAGGCGGCCGAACATGGTCGCCAAGTTCATCTTATGGACGAGGCCCCCCCACCCTTGGGAGTGGGCCTCTATCGACATTGTTTGGGGAGTGGTGACGATGCGTCCTTTGTTCTAGGCAGGTGCGGGTGGGCGTCTGGCCTGGTCTGCTGCAACGGCGGTTCCTGTGGACGACACGACGGATAGGGGGCACCGGGGAGGAGGGATAGTGCCTTGGGAAATACACATGGTCCGTCAGCTTCTCTGATCCCCTCGCCTTCGGGAGAAACGAGCCTGCGAGGGAAAGTAAAGTGAGTCGAGGCACTGTTCCGGGTGCGGAGAGGCGCCATGTGGTGGTGGCTGACAAGACGCCAGAGGCGATTAATTCCCTCATCGACTCTCACGACCAAAGTAACCTCAACGCCATGGGGCCATTCCGCGGTTGATGAAGACATCAGGATTTTGTGACCCGCCACATTTGCAGAGTTTAAATGCACCAGTGACGGAGACACATGGCCCAAAGCGTATAATTTCGGCTCGAGACTGTCGCCGACATGGGGAAGCCTCTTTTCCCTCGACTCGTCTCGTCCGCTGTTTATCCCGCAGAGGAGCATCTCCCGCGTTGACACCAGTCCGGTATCCCAACCGAAGCGACCCCCTCTACGACAAACACCACGTCCAAGACAGACAAGATGGCGGTAAGCATAATGTTATGCATGGTCCGCGGATCCAGGCCCTCGCTGGAATGATGCTGACCAACAACCCGCGCAGCAACCCCAGATGGAGCTGTACCCCATCAGGATGCCCAACTACTTTAGGGACTGGACGTACTACACGCACAACGAGGGCATCTACGTCCAGACGCTCCAGAAGGGCTACCGCTACTGCCAGCTCCCGGTCGAGTTCCGCGCGCGCTTCACCAACCCCCGGTGCGTCGTGTACAGGGGCCAGTACATGCCGTGGCCCGAGGCCGCGCTCGACGTCACCATCATCCTGTTCAGCGTGGGGATAGCCGTGCTGGCGCTCGTCATCATCCCGACCTACCACGGCTGGTGGCCCAAGATCCTGCTGCGCATCGGCTGCCTGAAGCGCGTCCCCGTCCCGCGCCGCGCCTGGGCGGGCAGCAACGCCGACGACATCCCCATGACGCGGCCGGCCTCGGACGGGCTGGCCGGCATCCGCGGCGAGCTGGAGCCGCGCCCTTACGACGACCAGGCGTACGTGGACCTGAACCGCCAGAGGGCGCGCTGGGTCAACCAGCCTCAGCGCACCAAGCTGGTGTGGAACCCCAAGCTGAAGTGGCCCGCAATCAAGGCGGGCATGCGGGAATGGGCGCTGGGTATGGAGCAGCTCCGGCGCCGCGTCACAAGACAGAGTGGCAATGATGATGGTGAAAGTCGAGTCTAAGCTGAAAGGAAAGAAACCGGTAGTGGATGTACAATCGGTTGGCTGTGGTTACCAGTTGGACATGTATTTAATGTTAAACTACATGTAATAATAATATGGCGAATGGTTAGGGAAAAGGCCGGTCAAATTGCAATGATTACGGAAGCGAGCTTGGGCAAAAACCCATGACGAAAAAAAAAACTCGCAAGCAAAAGAGGAAGTCCCAGATTTTGGGATGCGATATGATCAGAGTGGGATTCGAACCCACGCCATTTTCATGACTAGCAGTCACTTGGATCCAGGATCCTCCTGAAGCTAGCGCCTTAGACCGCTCGGCCATCTGACCTGTTGTGCTTGTTGTAAATAGGAGTACTCTGAGCCATTATGATGGTGAATCGTGGGGGAGTGGGGTGTGCGATGTAACATGACGGAGGGAGGCCGCATAGGTAATGCGGGGTCGTTGTTCTGTGAGGCGGGAAAAGGCTGTTCCTCTAAATAGTGTGGGCGTTATATCTAGGATGTCGAACATGATTGAAAACAAGCGGCCAAATATGCCATACTATGGGTTCGTTTTATATCCTCGGTTTTCTCACGGCGTGACAGCCGGGGAGCCCCCTTGGCCATGGGCGGGTTGCTGCCGCAATATGGCAGGCCACCAAACAAGCGGGAAGAAATGATATGGGAAAACATGTGAACAGTGGCCAATTAAATTACCAAATATGCTACTGCTATCAATCACGAGCTCGCACATGCCCTTCTTTGGCGGTTGTTTCTTTCCAACATACTCGCCCCAAAGATCCCCCCTCCCCATCACTTCGTCACCTCTCGCACCGTGACACAGTGCTTCTTCCGGCTCCTCCTCTCCCGCCTGCTCCTCCGCGTGTAGACGTACACCTCTTGCGGCTCCGTCGGCCCGAAGAGCGGCGCGCGCGGCGCCACCGCCGCCGCAACCACCACCGTGCCCGCGGACCGGCGGCGGGCGAGGCGCACGTCGCCGACGCCGCCCAGCAGCTCCCTGGCGCGGCGGGCGAGCGGCACGAACGGCGCCCAGAACTGCAGCGGGTGCGCCGGCAGGGTGTGGAACATGGCCGCGCCCCAGAAGGGCCAGACGACGAAGGCGACGGCGCCGTACGCCAGCACGCCCGCGAGCCAGACCAGCCACGGCAGGGCGGTGGCGGCGACGACCAGGCCGCAGGCGAGCACCAGGGCGGCGCGGCGGGCGGGCCCGCGCGGGTAGAGGGGCACGCGTCGCGTCTTGTCGAGGCGCGCGTGGCGCAGCGCGCACAGGCAGCCGAGCACGAAGCCCGCGGCCACGACGACGGGGAGGCCGAACTCGAGCAGCACCGAGCCGACGTCGGAGAGGCCCCAACGCGGCGCGAGCGCTTCCCGGCTGGGGCAGCTGTATATTATGGGGCTGGAGAATACCGTCTCGGGCGGGTGCTCCGTCATGTGGCAGAAGCCGTTGGCGAGGAAGTCGTTGAAGAGGCCGACGTCGTGCGTGCAAAAGATGAAGTGCCCGCCGTGCCGCTTGGGGACCAGGATCGGGAAGCCGGGAGGCATGTAGCGCGTCCCCGCGCAGGGAGTGACTGGTTCGGCCATGAGGGCGGATAGGGGAGCCATGGGCGCGAGTAGGGGGACCTTGGGGGCGGGTAGGGGAGCCATGGTGGGTGGTCTGCGGCGGTGGCGGATCTGTCGTTGGCGTTGACGGCGTAAAGCAGGCAAGGGTGAGGTCGTGTCCGACGTCGACACTCAAAGGATGAAGCTACTCGGTCGAGCGGTCACCAAGCGCCACGGAACGGTCCTGCGTCGGGCGAGCTGAGGACAGTGATGTTGCTATTGGAAACAAGGAGATTATGGACGCTTTGCTCTGTGTCCAGCGGTTGAAACAGTGCCGGTCTGCTCAGGGAAAGGGCCCACGATGGCACCCTTTACGATCGACGACGCCATGTATCGGAGATAGGGCAGAATAGGGTTTTCCATCATTGTCTTGACTTGGCTTCCAAGGGGCCCCGGGAATACCACGACAAAACCAGGACTGGCAGACGCAAGAGTAGGTTCAGTAAACTTTGTAAAGTCTAGAGAAGGCAACGGCGTCATCACCCTCCAAACTCAGAACAATCCATGACGAGAACGCCGCAGCCTCGAGCGTTCTGTTGGGTATATAGACTTTGATGCTTCCAAGGGCCACGGAAAATCCAGCCAGAGGAAACCAGGGCGCAAGTCAAAACACAAAGCATATTGAGTGTAGGAAATGTGACAGCGGCTTTCGAAACGTGGAAAGGCCACAAGCCGGCGACAAGTCTCAGCCCCAGTAACCATCCTTCCACAGCTCCTTCCTGTAGCCCTCGGTCAGAGCCTCGTTCTCGCCGTAAGCCTCCTGCCAGCCGACGAAGCCGCGGTCGAGGACGTAGACCTTTTGCTGGACCGGCGGTGCGGTCGCCTCCTTGCTGGCGGGGTCGGCGGTGGTGCCGGGCTCCTTGCTCTTGGTCAGGAGGGCCTCGCGCTCGCGAATGTACCTCAGGGCGGCACCGGGGCCGCGCTGCTGGGAGAGCGCGCAGTGGAAGACGACGGTCGGCTTGTCCTGCAGCTGACGCACGAGCGAGGGCATGGTAGCGTCGAGCGTGTGCGAGGGGTAGTTGAGGCAGCCCTTGATGTGGCCGCCGATGTAGTCTAGAGGAGAAGGGTGGGGGGGACGACGTCAGAGACAGGGCAAAGTGAAGAAAAAGAGCCCAACATCAGTAACGTTGTCAACGCACCATCGTCACGCACGTCGACGACGGCAATCTTGGTGCTGTCGGCTCCGGGGGCCAACATCAGGTCGCGCAGCTTTGCTGCCGAGATGCGCTCTAGGGTTGCGATAGTTGTCATTGTTGCGCGTTTTATGAGCATGCAAGTGGTGAATATGCTGCTAGGTGATGTAGGTCGGGTCTAGAGGAGGATCTTCTTCTGAAGAGTACGGGAGGGCCAACTGCTTATCAGGAACACGCAGCCCTCCTGGGGGGCCACTCGGGGCTGGTGGTCGTCGAGGGAGGAAGGCACCACTCTCGTGCTTCGTCGTGGGGGAGCCAGGATCAGAGCACGGGCAGGCTGGGCAACACAAAAGCTTGGTCTGGACCAGCATCGAACCCCTGCAGTCTGGTCTTTGCTTTGTGCCAGCTCTGCTGACATAAGCCATAAGCGCTTGGCCTGCCCCCAACACTGTCAACACTGCACAAGATTCAAGAATGGCCACGGAATTATTCCATGGACTGAAGTTGAATAAAATCATACTTTGATGCATTACATACGCCTTGCTACAAATGGTGTCTATCTTAACAGTCCAATAAAAAGACAAAAAATGCGACAAACAAACCCAAACAAACGCCAACCTGAACATTTTTTTCCCATAACGTTCGTTGTTGCTTTCTTGATTGATACATGAAGCAGCGCCAGTCTGCCCAGGTGCTCAGGTGCTCTTCCGGCCCTGCCGACAAGGCACGGCTCCTTCCTTACATTCCTTGTCGACCACACTGACCGGTCCCCCTCCCTAGCGCCTGCCCGAAGGGCCGACGGGCAGGCCGCGCGTGCTAGCGGCCCTCAGGGTCGGGCCAAAGTGCCACAGCAGCAGCGGCATCAGGATGCAGATGGCGAGGGTCATGATGGCCAGCAGCGTGTTGCCCCAGCCGAGGCCGAGGTCGTCGTAGATGGGCGGGCCGAAGAGCGGGAAGGCGAACTCGGAGATGTGCTGCAGGAAGGCGCCAACGGCGTGCGCGCTGGCGGCGTACTCGAGACCGTACGACTCGGTCACGTACGGCTGCAGGCTGAAGAAGCCCAGGATGAGCCCGATGGCCAGCAGAAAGGCCGCCAGGTCCGTGACCGCGTAGTGCCACCCGCTCTGCAGCGACCACCCGTACAGGATCAGGGCCGGCGGGATGAAGATGGCCGCCCCGCTGTTGACGGGGAGGCGCCATTCGGGCATGTGGCCGTCGGTGTGGTGCTTTTTGCGGAAGTAGGCCGAAAACTGTAGGCAACCAGGGTTAGTACGGTCCCTCTATTGCGACAAAAAGAGAATTGCGAATAGCACTTACCCCGTCGATGGCATAGCGACTAATGTGCAGTCCCAAAACAAAGCCAACGCCAATGGCCAAATAGTTCAGGCTCGCGCTGGCCTTATCCATGCGATAAATCTCAACGAAGCTCTTCTCAAAATTTGAAAGGCTGCGGAAATCAGGTCAGCGTCACTCTTCCCACCCTAAACCCTCCCAAGAACAGGTGTACTTACATCAGGTACATAATACCAAAGAGATAGGCCCTGTAGCTGAAGGGAACCTGCACCACAGGGTGGCACACCAACATGATAAACGGCAGGCAGATCTTCTTGATCATCCATTCGCTTTCCGTCTGGCCCGGCGTGTGGAACGGCGTGTGTAGGTTCCTATTGCCCGTCTCCTCTCGGAGCCGCTTGGCCCTACGCTCAAGGAGCACCCTGTGGTTCGACTCATCGAGCCAGGTGAAGGCGAGCGCTACCGCGATGGCGCTGAAGATGGAGGTGCCCCAGAAGATCCAGCGCCAATTGCTGTCCTGCGTGACGAAGGCGCCAAAGATGGGAGCCAGGGCACTGCCGAAGAATGGGAGGTAGGCATGAACCGCATCACCCCTCCCACCCATATGGGCTGGGTAGATATCTGCGGTCAAACCGGGAGCCAACTGGAACAGACGAGAAACAGACGTCAGCACTGACTGGATGCAATCAACTAGTAGACATGACGCATTTCTTGCCATGGAAACCTACCACCTGGGGAGCACTCGAACCGAGGCCACCGATAAAGCGAAAGGCCAGCAGCTGGGGTCCGGTCGTAGCGAAGCCGCATGCCGTGTTCCAGATCAGGTGCCAGAGGTGCGCATAACGGATGACGGGGACGCGGCCGTACGCCTCGATGAGCGGGGCCACGATGAAGGGGCCGACGCCAGCGGCGAGTACGTTGAGGCCCTGGATGAGCCGCTGGGGCGTGCCCGGCGCGATGTCCAGCTCGGCGCCGATGACGTCCATGGCCGGGCCGACCATGGTGGCGGAAAAGGGCGCGATGAAGCTGAAGAGCGACAGGATGAGCGAGGTGCGGTACTTTTTCCGCATCGGCCAGTTGGCCGGGTTCTCCGGGTCATCGGGGCCGGCCCAATCGACCTGAGGGAGGGGAGGTGATGTCACTCGTGTCAGCAAGATATTGGATGGGGTCACAAACAGATGGTGGCAAAACCTCTTACCAAGTTCTTGTCTTGGACCTCTTTGGACGAGAAGTCGTCACTCTGGCTCCCTGACCAGCCCGGCGGGCCGCCGCCGCCGCCTCCACCCATGGGCGGTCCCTGGCGTTCGATGTGGCTGGCCTTCTCCCACTTGGCGTCCCACGAAGAGTCAGTCGTGGACGGGACCTGGTTCCAGTCCATGCGGGAGCCGAGGGTGGCGCTGTTGAGAGCCGTCACGGACACGGCCTGCTCGGGCTTGGTCGAGGCGAGGTTGAGGGACGGGCCGGCGCGGCGCTCGGCCACGCTGAGCCTGCCATCCAGCTGCCCCGGCATCTGGATCGGGGCAGTCGACATGCGCTGCGGGCTGGAGCGGATGGCGTCGACGAGGGCCGCGATCTCGATCTGCTGGCTGGGCGGCTCCGGCACCCGCCTGGCCTCGGGCGGCGGCGCCGGCATGTCGGCCTGGTTCACCCGCAGGGCCTCGATCAGCGCCCGGGCCTGGTCCACGGTGACTGTGACCCTCGGGTCCGCGACCACCGCTGCGGATGAGTAGACGGCCGGCTGCGGCTGCGGGTAGTAGGCCATCGGGATCGAGCCCGGGAGCGCCGGCACCGCGTAGTCCTCGGACGGCCCCCGCGCGTGGTTGGTCCGTGACGGCGTGCGCCTGTGGCCGTAGGCCGAGGGCGACCGGGACGGCACGCGCGGTGGCGGCATCACAGCCCCGGAGTGGCTGCGACTCCTCGACGTCGTCGGCGGCGGGCCGGCAACCTCGTATCCCTCCGGGCTCGCCCTCTCGGGAGAGGACGCCGCGGCCGGGTACGAGGCGGGCTCGGGCTGCTGCGGGTATCGGGACGGGTCGCGGAAGGCCAGGTCGGGCTGGCTGGCGCTGCTGCCGGAGCGGGCGTGGCTGGCGAAGAAGGGGGACTGGCCGACGGCGGCGTGGGAGGAGAGGGGTTGTCTGGTCAAGGGACTCAGCCAGTCACGGGTCGGCGAGTCGCCATGGGCGGCGGCGGCGGCCATCCCCGTGGACAGCGGCGGGAGCGAGGCCGCGGCGGCTGCTCGGTCGTCCGGGTAGCCTCGCTGCTGCGGTAGCTGGTAGCCGCGAGGCGATGCTCGGGCTGCTGCTGCTGCTGCTGTTGCTGAAGAATCCATCGTGTTTTGACGCAACGTTCAAGAAAGTAAAAGCAGAACCAGAGCGTAGAGAACGTTGAGACGAACGATGGGGTGCCAATCCTTCTTCTGAGCTAAGCGCCCAAGCGAGCTTCTATTCTCTATATATTAACGTACACTTGACTGGCGCACATGCATCGCCACGCCTGCTCCCTCTACCTTCGTCTCGACCGGAAGACGCGGCTCTGGGACGATACGGGGGGGCCATGACCGGCTGGCCTGGATGGGAATTGCGGCAGCCGGATGGTCTTGGGTTTCTTGGAAACCGTCGCAAGATTTGTCTTGCCTCGCACCGAGGGCAAGGCATCCCTGGAACCCTAATTAGTTGCTGACGCACATGTGTTGTCGACAGGACGCTATTTTTCTGCCCGGGGTGTTATGTGCGTGCGTCGTTCGCATGCTGGTGGCAAAGTCGAAGCAGGGGGCAGCCACCTCACCCCCAAGCCGGCGCCAAGCGTCGTGGACATCACGGCCATCGGATGCCCGATGTTAATTAGAGTGGCGCAGACTCGGTTTCGCCAGCGTCGATCGAAGCTCCATGGGGTGATTTGCACACACCCCTCATATACCTGAGGAACGCACTTTGCTGGCCCCGCGCCGGTTTGAGTTGGGGGATTCACGCCAGCAGCACGCGCATCTTGCGGGGTGCCGGCAGGGGTCCTCCCGGGCGCCCGGCCTGGAATTGCCGAGGGTCCAGCTGCCAACACCGGGCCGTTTGCAGGGTGCCCTTCCCGCCTGCGCGAACCGGGGAGGGATCGGAGATTTTGGACCTTCTACCCAGGACGGGCCGGCCCTCGACTGCTCTCCTATCGTGCAGGGTCCTCCTGCTCTTGTCTCCCCCAGGCGGTTCCAGCCCGGCGAGCGAACCGGGCGGGGTGCGCGAACCGATGCCCACGGCAGCCGTTTTTTTTTTTGGAGGCTGCTTTACGTCAGACAAGTTTTACGGAATCGCTGCGAGGCCGGCTTCCCGTGTTTTGCTGGCCAAGCAAAAGCAAGCAGAGATCTCCAGGCGGCCCTTGGACCACCGGCGCCGACCTACCAGGGACCTGCTGTGACGAACTAATTGCGCCACCAAGCCAAAAGCGAAGGCCCCCGCTTAGTGGCTGGTAGCTACCAAGTGGGTCTATATCCGTCTGCGACACCCGCTCGCGCCCACCTCGGCTTGGCGGCGAGGCTATGGGGCGCTCGTGAGTTTCAAGCCAGTCTGCCCAGGGTCTCTTCTGGGTGCTTCGCGGTATTTATACCAAAGCAGAACACCGTGTCCGTCCAGGTCACACGTCATAGCAGGCCAAGCATATAGAATTTGCAGCAACACCCCTTTTTTTATATTGGCACCAGGCGACGCTCCTTTTGCTTTCCGAGGCATTAACTTTAACAAAAAGCCATAACCCGCTCTGTTTCGGTGTTTGCTTTTGAGCATGCGCCTATCACCAAACGCCGACTCACCATCCGCTCATGGCAAAATGGACACCGCAAAAAAAGAAACATATAATCACCGGTCTTTATGATCCCGCCCTTACCTTCCTCCTCGCTGCCATTAGCCTTCCTGCGCGATCTACGAACGCGTTCTCTTGTAGGCAGCAGGGGGGCCCGTCTAGGGCCGCCCTGACGACTCGGTGTGCTGTCCTTTATATCGGACCAAGAGTCGGTACCAAACGCCCTCGGCGAGTCTCACCGGGGGCATCATACTAAGCCCGAGCCGGGGGCCAAGCTTACCGGCAGGGAGATCCCCATCCCGCTTTGCTTGGAGCTTTTCAGGCGCTCCTTGGCCTATGCGGTGCGTGGGAATGGCTTCAGGTCGATCACAGGAATTCCCCACATTTTGACCAGGGGGGATGACGAAAACGCCTTGACCAAGGCTCTGAGCTTGCTGGCAGACTTTACGGCAAACTTTGGCGTGTTTACTTCTTCTTTTGCTGGAAAGCCGGGGGGTGTCTGTTAAAGGCCCTTGGTGGTTCCTCAGGGCACCGTGCCTTTTGGCTGCGCACGCAGTCCTGGCCTGGTTAGGATATTAAGAAGCCGAAGTGGCCAGCGGCCTGCTCGACGGGCTGCTGATGCGGCGGCCGGAACGGGTGATGGTTAGGTGAGCTCACGTGTCGGCCTCGCCTGCGCCGTGCCAGATAGAGATGGCGGAGGCGACGCGTGGAACCTTCTAGGCTCGCCGTACGCGGGAGTGATGAGATGAGAAGCGGTCGCCCGGCTAGCTAGGGATCCAATCTGAAATTTGACGGTTTGAATTTGGGGATGAAAACTGTAACATATTGACCTTCATATTTCGTCTGTTACTGCCTGGTCCCGATACTGCGTGTCTACGCCTCAACAGCCAAACTAGGAAGGTACATATGGATTTACGGAAGGCGACACGTACTTGGACCGCACAATTTGGGTCGGCGTGCTGTATGAGCATCGAATTTCTTATAAGTCAGTGCACCCCCTGTCTGCGCACCCCCCCTGTCTGCGCACTCTGTAGGCCCACAACATGGAATCTTCTAAAGTATTCCCGCCCTTATATTTTCGTTAATTTTAATCCGTTTTCCTTACTTTTTTTTGCAATTTAATGCCCAAATGCCAAAAAAGCGGTATACAAAAGAAAACGTTAAGCGGGCCCTCGCTGCGGTGCGCGCGAAGGGCGGGATCCGGAAGGTTGCCCGGCTTTATGGGATACCAAAATCAACCTTTAGGAATTGCATAAAAAGCGCTTTACCTATCCGGCAATTACAAAAGGAATATTAACGGATAGCCTTTAAGCAAAAAAAGCAATTAATTAATTGGATTTTATTGCAAAAGTTTTTAAACCTTTTACTAACGCACGCGGAAATCCGGTTTTTTGCCGAAAATATTTTCCGCAACGAAAAGCCTTCCTAACCGTTTGGAAAGCATTGGTTACAGGCTTTTTTAAGCCAATATCCAAAGGTTAAAAGCGGAAAGGCCCGGCGCATCGAAAACGCACGTATTTAAAGGGTTACTATTGTTATAATAAAGCAATGGTAAAAATGCTTCCTTATCCCGGAAGTAACCGCTATTAAGCCGGAAAACACGTATAACGCTAACGAGGGTGGCTTACAAAAGGGAAAAACCGGCAACGGGATCGTTTTAAACTTTGCTAAAGCCCGGGCTTTGTAACGTAAAAACTTTAAGTTACGCATTTAAACCTCTTTTATCGAATGCATTTTGGCTACGGGTATATTATTGCTTCCCTTTATTATTTTTAAAGGAAAAAACGTGCAAAAGCAATGGTTTTTTGCAAATTTGGCCCTTTTTCGAAAGTAAAAATTTATTGCTACAAATAACGGTTGGACCAACGATCGTACGGGCTTAAAATAATTGCAAAAGGTTTTTATCCTTTGCATTAAGCCTTCCTTTCCTGCCTTTCGCCTTTTAATTTTGGATAGGCACGGGTTGCACGTTATTACAAAATTTATGCTTTTGTGCTTTCGAAACGACATTTTCTTACTTTATTTGCTTGCCCATTCGTTTTACGTACTGCAACCTTTTGACTTTGCCGTATTTAGCCCCTTTAAATAGGTATATCGGAAAAAGATCGGGTTTAAAGCTTTATTTACCTATTTAACGGTGGTAAAAAAGCGTTAATTTTTATCCGCTTATTACTACGTACGATCCGTAGCCTTAACCCTTTATATAATTTTATCGGGGTAGCGGGCTTCCGGTTTATAGCTTTACAATATAGCTAAACCCTTTATAAACCGCTTTATTTTTAATAATGGCCCAAATAACCAGCGAAACCAAATTTAACAATTTGCAAAAGATAACAAGGCTAAAAAACGTTTAACGATTTTATCCCGAACGTTTTAAATGCTATGGAAAACCCCTAAGCGATTAAAAAAATTGGCTACCCAAATTAGCATTATTAAAGCCCGCTTTCCCGTAAGCCTTACAATACGATTATTTTTTAAAAAGCTTTAAAAAAGCTACAACGGGCACAAATACGATTTGGCTAAGGCCCGGCAAAAAATTAAGCAATTGGAAGGCCAATTGGAGGCATTGCAGCTTTGCAAAAGGAAAAAGGTGGCCGCGGATCCCAACGAAGCTTTTGTAAATATACACCGGGTTGCAGCGAAAAGGGGGGAGGTTTTGAAAAAAGGAAATAATGCATTTAAAAGCCCGGACGAATCTGATCAGGAATTAGTTTCGTCTTGCATCGAGGTGGCTTGAATAAAGGTAGAAATTTGCAGTTGAATGTAGTAGGTTTGGTGTTGATCGGATCCTTACAGAGTGCGCAGACAGGGGGTGCACTGACTTAATAGTTCTAGCGATATACTGGCATGGGAGACCTGTTGTTTTGCTGGATGCTTATGCGGTGTTCGCTGTGTTGGATGAGTATCAAGCTAGAAATCAAAGAAATCACCGCGGGCGGCACTTGGACCCCAAGAATTGTTCAGAGGGCCTAGGCTTCCCTCAGGAGGTCATGTCTCATTGCCGCCTTGGCGTGAGTGGTGAATGTTAACAGATAGAGGTCATATATTCTGGCTTGGACCTCCGGGGTTGGTCCGCCATAGCCTCGGGTTGATGGACTCTACGATGGCACGTGTCGCCACCCGACTGGCTGGTGAAGACGGCTTGGCCTTTATGGAACACGACCGCAAAAGTTGTGTCTCTTGGATATCCTCTTGGTCTAGGACAAGGTGATGCCACATACGACACACACGACACACGTTCCGTAAACATTCTGTTTCACAGCCCACAGAGCAGCTACGGCCTAATCGGCCCGTCAACTCGACCACAGATGTAGCAGCTGCCGTCCCGCGCCTTCGAGCGCGCTCTTTATTATCCATCCCTCCGCCACGGCCGTCCTGGCCATCAATCCGTCAGACCGCGCTCCCGAGGCGTTGGGCGTGTGGAGGCGGCTTAAGTCGCCACGCAATCAAGGCGGAACATGTGCAAGACTCGGCGTCACGGCGAGCGGCGGGTCCGCCCACACCGCGGTGAGCATCCGAGTATGTGCAGGCGCAAGAGGACGAATAAGCTCCTGCATGTTGGTGATCATGCCAATCGCGCTGTTTGAATAACTGGGGCCTCGTATTATATCGAAATGACTTCAGTACAGCTGGAACGGGACTTCTAGCATTTTTTCCGGGTGCTGTGTCCCCGAACAGTGCCTCGGAGGCTTCGTGGAAGGTGAAAACGGCAGGGACAAGCCACACCAATACACGATGGAAACAGGTGGGAAGAGGGCCTCCTGCATAGTTCAGATTTGATTCCACCACGGCGTGTGCATGGCCGCTCTCAAGGCTTCGGCAGCTTGGGCACAGAGGATGCCGTCCTCCAGCCACGAGGGGCGCGGACCTTGGCGAGCCATCCAGGGGGGCATCCCAAAGGCCATCTTGGTGGCCACTCTGTCCACGCCGTCTTCGCCGCCCCAAAAATATAGCGCAGCTGGTGCAGGATCTGAATATCCGCCCCATTAACCGTGCCTGCTTGGTCTTCTCCACGTCATCGCACTGGTTGATGCAAAGCGCGTCGAGCCAAATGGTGTGGTGCCGTTCTGGGCTTCGGAGCCGCCGTGAAGCTTTGTATGCGCTTTCGCCGGGCTGAACAGGCGACCCAATGATCAAAACGTTTGCTGTTTTGGCGGGTGACCCCCAGACGTATGAGGCGGTCTCGTAGTCGACTGCGGCATCGTCCAGGCTGACTATTTGGTAGGTGCACTCCACAGGCGAGTCTCCTGTCCTATGATGTAGCTGTATAAGTTGAATATGCGACGAGGCATTAGGGAGGTTGGGCAACATGGCAATTATGGTGTTGGTATTGTAGTGTGTCATTTGGGGTCTGCCTGTACGCTGAAGATGTGATGTCGGAGATGAAGCAAGGCTCGGTCCCAATAGAGGAGCGACTCCCACCCAATTTCTGTACTCTCCTGCCCGCCACCAATCTGCTGTGCTACCCCCAAACCAGTTGAAAACAGCAGGAGGGCTTGAGGTATCTACATCTCGGCGACATCAGCGCTAGACGTGTGGCTTTGCTCGCCCGGCCAGCCACTTTTTCTTGAGTGCATACAAGGCTGGGTGACCACCCCCGCTGGGAGGCCGCCTTGCTGCCCCGGCACCTGCTCGATTCCCGGTGGCTGTCGAATCCGCGATGGTACATACCCCGCTCGTCCTGCCATTGGACATGGATCGGCCATACTGGGCTAGCCTGGACCAGCACTCGAAGGGTTGCATTATGAATTCCAGCGCGTCCAAGGCTGATTCCTGCCGTTATAGGCTACCAAATCAGTAGCATGCATGCATATGAGGTGGGCGAAAGTGCTGTTCTCAGGCAGACATCGTGGACAGGAATAACGGCAGCACGAGCATGTTCCTCTCCCCCTTGGATGCCAGCAACACCCCAGGTGCTTCCACGAATGCTCAGACACCTGGCCGCCATGGTCTGCCTGCTCACGATCCAGCAGATTGGCTCGGGATGCCTGCCGAGCTAGCCGAGTAATGACATGCGTGGCAGGGGGCGCAAGGCGGAAAGATGGATGGGATTTTAGCTCACGTTGGCAGCCTGACGGGCACATCACCACGGCCGTGCGCCGCCCGGGCGCCATGCGGATACGGTCGGTTGACCCGGACAGGCTTTCTTGCGGAGCCGGTTCAGACCAGAACAAGACCAAAGTCGAGATGGAGGGCGGTGACATGACGACGATGAACCTTTGGCATGGATGGGCCTCCAAAGCGTCCGAGTGCTCTAACCGGCAAGTCGACAGCATCACTGGTGACGCTGGCGTCAGTGCGCTCGTTCATCTCCTCTTTTGCTCGTCCGACGGTCTAGCGGCAGCAGAAGCAACGGCCAAACGAAGCCGAGTGTGGATTCCGTCCGAGCGACGTCAACTGCCGGACTTCCGATGCCAGGAACAGGCAGCTTGCGCGTGAACCTTGATCTCCGAGCTTCCAGAGAAACGGTCCCCTTGGCCATGCTTCAAGACGCAGTCCCGCACCGACACACAAGTGCAGAGAGCCTGGCTGCCGCCTGCTGGCTGCCCGCTTCATCGTCTCTCTTCTGCGCTCGAGCCTCTCCAAAAAAAAACCCTCCTGCCCATCACACCTCGAAACCCAACCGACCAGATCAGAAAGCCATGGCCGCAACGCAACCCGGGCGCCCCGTGGAGCTGGCGCACTTTGTGGTGCGCACGCACGACATGGACTCCGCCGCCGACTCCTACCAGAAGCTGCTCGCCGCCGACGTCGTGCAGCGGACCGAGCGCATGACCTTTCTGAGCTATGATCGTGAGCACCACCGCCTGGCTGTGGCCCTGGACCCGTCGCGGCTCCCGAGGCCCAGGGCCAACGGGTCCGCCGCACCCACAACACCGCAGGCCGTGTGCGGCTTCGACCACGTCGCCTTCACCTTCGGCTCCGTCGGCGACCTGCTGCGCGGCTACCGCGCGCGCAAGGAGCTGGGGCTCGAGCCCCTCTACTGCCTCAACCACGGCGTCTCCGCTAGCATGTACTACGCCGACCCAGACGGCAACAAGGTCGAGCTGCAGGCGCAGAACCTTGCGGACCCGGACATGGCAAGGGCCTAGATGCGGAGTCCCGAGTTTCTCAAGAACCCGCGGGGCCCGTCGTTTGATCCCGATCGTCTGCTGCGGGCGCTTGACGGTGGGGAGAGTGCGGCCCGTCTGCTGGCACAGATGGCTGCGGAGTGACGGTGGTCTGGCAGAGGTACAACGGAGTGTGTTGACACAGAGATTCCTCGATCCAGCAATACCTACACGGCACGGCGGCTTGATGTATCTAGCTCAACAAAGTTATACTCTTGCCACAGATATCCCTCCATCTACTTATGCCTCTCTGTGGCTAAATCCCAGCCAAGGTACCAGCAAGTTCGCCCGCGCCTCCGATCACAGACGTATCTTGCCCTCACCGCCGTCTCCCACCACTCCCTGCCCTTCCTCAACCCCGTTGATCCCATTCTTCTCCAAGGCTGCCTGGTAGGCACTGACCAGCCGGCCATCCGGCAGCTCGACCTCGGTCTTGCGGACGTGGTACAGGACCAAGGGGTAAATGGCGTCGGGGATGATGAACAGGGCGCTGAGGAAGATGGCCAGCGGGTTGACGAAAAAGCTGTGGGCTTCGGGCCAGTACCACCGCATGACGGCATATAGCGCGATAAGCCCGGTGAAGGATCCGAGCGCCCGGACGAACCTGTTCAAAACGGACGTGTCAGATCTCTTGCCGCCCGAGCAGTGTCCCCAAGCCCCACCCCCACAGGATTATGGCACCCTAAACCTACCAGATGGCATAGCTGACTCCGCCGCTGTGGCCCCGCGACACCGGCATGGCCAGGCTGCCGGCGCTGATGAAGGCCTGTGGGATCAGCGCGCTCCAGTACGCCATCTCCATGACGTCGTAGCCCTCCTGGTGGCGGTACCACTTGCCCGTCTTGTCGCCGTGCCCGACGCCCGGCCGGGACACCCACCACTCGGCGAAGGTATAATTGCCCCATATGGCGGCCGCAGTAAGGGAGACCAGGAGGAAGAGCATGTGCTTTCCGATCCACGGGTTGGACATCTTCCAATCGTAGGGCGCGTATACAGCCGTCGTATAAACCATGCCCAGGTCCAGGAAAAACCACACAGCCAGGCCGGCGAATTCGACGGGGTGCTCGGCCACGTAAAAGGCGTAGATGACCTCCCACGACCAGTTGAGCACCGTGGCCATCAGCGGCATCCCGTACGACTTGGTTTTGATGGACCGGATGGTAATCAGGATGTAGGTCGCGTTCCAGCACACGGCCCCGATGCCGAGCACCAGCGTCGACGCGACGGGCAGCCACGCCGGCACGTGCGGGGGAGGAGTGTCGTTCAGACCCATGGTGGTCGAGTGAACAGAGCAAGATGGGAGATAAAAGGGGAGATCGATTTTGTGAGCCCAGCCCGGGACCTGCTGTCTGGTAAGCTCTTGGGCGCCTTGTGGGATGCATGTGCTCTCTTATGCCCCCCGATGCTGCGTGCTCAGGCCCTTCGTCCTGACTTTTCATCACCACGACCGGGCGTCACGGTCAGGGCACTTGCATCGGCTTGCCTCACAGTGGCAAACAACATCCTGACCGATGGGGAGCGGGGCCTTTTGGGGATGCGGGCGTGGACTTTGCGCACTTTTAAGCAAACAAGCCCGAAGATTCCCGTGTGAGCCCGGTGATGTTATGCCAGCACCTTTCGCTCGAGTTAACTCTAAAGTGTTCCTGGCTGCGTCTGCCTAGAATGCTTAGGTGTGTTGATGAGGTTACCGTGTTGCAATGTCCAAACATGCAGTGGAAATGGATTCTACCAGTTTGTCTTGCCTGTAGGACACGCACCAAACGACGTCCCACGCTTGAGTGAAGCGAAAGTTCGAGGGGGTGCTATGAGAAGAAGTGTGCACATGCGGAAGTAATATTCAATGCGATATTGGAATAGGTGTTTCTGTGAAGTTTAGCGCCAACTATATTCACAGCACAAAGGAAATTTCCGGAGAAATGATTGGTATTAACTCGAGGAACAGATTAAGCAAACATAACCCCATGCCACGAGAGAGCACGGACGAGCAAGCACCAACGCCAATTCGACTCTGGCTTACCCACACTTGTCCTTCTCTAGCCTCCCTTTGCTTCTCTTCTATCCACTCCTTGAGCTTCTTCAACGAGAACTCGTCATGTTTCCAATAATAGGTGCTGAAGGCGGGGAAGCGAAGTGGGGGCAGGGGAGACTAACACCACATAATAGCCACACGAGGTCGACCGCAGGTTGTTGGTTCTAGCGTTTGTGCGGTTTGGTCCAATCATCAACTCTAAGATGGATGCGCGCCTATTGGCCAGCCTGTGTCTTTCTCCTCTTTTCATCGATATCACCCTCGCCGCCCTCACATCACTCACATCGACTCACATTTTGGTCACACTCTGTTCTAGATGAACCTTGGCTGGCTCTGATCTTCCGCCCAAACGGGAGAATTTCCCTGTCGGTTCGCCATTATGCCGCCTTGGCGGCGGACGCGTTGCGGCTAAAGACGTTTTCATGGCCGGGGAGAGCGGGCCTTGGAGAAATCGGGAAGCAGATCGTCCCTTCCGCTGTCCATTGCGGCCCCAGACTCGGCAATCTCCACGGGCAGATCGCAGCAGACAAGATCTGGCCCCCCCTTTGCACGGACAGGTAGTCCGATTGCTCATCTGCCGCGATGGTTTCGATATTGGGGTAGCATTTTCTCCATCGCGACGACGGAGCTAGAAGAGGGGAGCTTCCCCTCACGCGGACGTGGGCCCCCCGATGCATGCTCTATAAAGTACCACTAAGAGAGAGCCACCAGCCCAAAGACCCGGTTACTGCGCACTCGCACATATCGGCCACTGTGTTAAGCTCCCGACGCCAAGTCTACAGCTCTTGAACCATCGTGCGACGCAGAATGAAGCTTCTTCTCTTCTCGGCCCTCCTGGCCGTTGGCCATGGCGCGCCTTCCACCAACAAGCAGCTCAACGCAAGACAAGGCGCTGTTAGTTCAGGCACCTTCCTAGACCAACAAACACGAAGCATATGCTGACATGAACCCGCAGGCCGGGGGCACGGGGAAATACCCAGCGGTAAGTTGCTCTCAAGCCGCGGACGAACGAACCAGCCATGCCAAAACGATCACAGACTAACACCCCAGCCCCCCCGCCCCACACCGCCAGGCCTACACGACCGACAGCTCCCTCCCGAAGCACACCATCTACGCGCCCAAGACAGTTCCGCAGGGGGTCAAGCTCCCCATCATGGTCTGGGGCAACGGCGCGTGCGCGGCCGACGGGCTCGCGTTCCGCGGCTTCCTGACAGAGGTGGCGTCGCACGGATACGTCATCATCGCCAGCGGCGCGCCAAACGGGCAGGGGTCCACCACGTCGAAGCAGATGCGCGACGCCATCGACTGGATCTCGGCCAGGGCCGGCACCGCCGGCACGCCGTACGCGGCCGTCGACAAGACAAAGGTGGCGGCGGCCGGCATGAGCTGCGGCGGGGTCGAGGCGTACGACCAAAAGGACGACGCGCGCGTCGCGACGCTCGGCATCTTCAACTCGGGCCTGCTGCAGAACACGGGCGCCGTGGCCACCATCCGGAAGCCCGTCTTCTACTTCATGGGCGGCACGTCGGACATTGCGTATCAGAACGTAAGCCTCCCCTTGGTTTTTGTTTCGAGATGCGCCAGCTTTTTTTTTTCTTTCTTGCTTTTGTTGGGAGTGAGTGGACCTGCTGACCGACGATACCTCTTTTCCCCAGGCCGAGCGGGACTACAAGGGCCTCCCCGCCGGCACGCCCAGCTGGAAAGGGAACCTCCCGGTGGGCCATGGGGGCACCTACAATCAGGCCAACGGCGGCAAGTTCGGCAAGGCGGCCGTCCACTGGCTCAACTGGGTACTCAAGGGGGACGCCACGTCAGGGGCTTACTTCAAGACCTCGGCTGCTGCTGCCGATGGATTCACCGTGGAGAAAAAGAACCTTGACAAGCTGCCGGCGTAATTGGTGGAGAATCCCGGGATCTATGACGGGTCTGGTTCCTCCTTCTGGCTCATCGTCAAGTGAACACCATCTCCTTTTGTCTAGTTCGGGGTCGGGACGTGATGAGCTACCGTCAGGTTCCTTCGACGAGTCAATCACGTCCACAGAGGCCGATATGTCGCGCCCCGTCACTTGAAGCAATAATCCACGCGTGTCTGAGGTGACTCCGCTGGCAGAGTATGCTTACATAGGGGTTTTACACGCCCTAAAACATGACAAGGAGGACCCCTGGTGGCACCCTGTACCGAAAATCACGCGTGCGCGGGACCAAGCCGCCGCAACACAAGAATCTTCGAATATTTTACGACGATGGCGAGGATTCCTCGTGCCACCCACCGCGTCCCGGGTCCGGCAGACGTGGCCGCCATGGAGGTACCGGCTACAGCTCGAGCCGGGGCGGCCACCGCTAGTGCTAGTGGAGCTCGCACGACGACGGCCTGTCCGAGTCTGGCAGCGACTGCTGTTCCGAGGGCAGTTGGACAGGGGGTTCGGGGGAGACGGTGACCAGCGAGGACACCCCCATGCAGAGCGACGAGTGATATGATACTTTGGGGCTGAGTGGAATCATCGTAGACTGTTGCACAAGAATGGATTGCATTTGCTCTATCGCTGGACATGGGGTCGCACAAACAGCAGAAATAATCTACCGAACTGTAGCCCCAGTCAGAGTCTTGACAGTGCAGACCTTGCCATCCTCCGTAATCAGCTTTCCCAAGCCCTCCTTGCCACACTCCTTGACAGCGCCCGCGTCGAAGCCGACCTCGAGGCCGTCGGTGGTGGTGAAACCGGGCTGGAACATCTCCCAGACCTTCTTCTTGGGGTTCAGCTGCTTCTCGGGCTCGCCCTTCCAGCCGTCAAAGAAGACCCGGGCGCCGGCGGGCGCATCGGCGGGCGGGTTGACCAGCTCAACGGGACCCTTGTGGTCGTCAGCCTCGCCCTCCTTGAGACGCGGCGACGCAGCCAGGACCATGGCGCACGACTTGACGCCGCGCATCTTGACAGGCTTGAGGTTGCACACCACGACCACCTTGCGGCCTTGCATCTCCTCGAGCGGCACCAGGCCGTTGAGGCCCGAGCAGACGGTGCGCACCACCTGGCCCTCGTACTCCTCCGTGTCCGGGGTGCCGGCTGGGTCGCCCATGGCGATGGTCGACACGAACAGGCTGTCGGCTTCGGGGTGCTTGATGGCCTTGAGGATGTGGCCAACACGCAGGTCGATCAGGGCCGGCGAGGGCGGCGCGGCGGCCGCGGCGGGGGCCTTCTGTGGCTTGGGTGTCTTCTCCTTCTTCTCCTTCTTCTTCTGGTTGCCTCCCTCTGGGGCGGAGCCCTCGCCGGCGACGGCGGCGACGACCTTGTCCTTGGCCTCGGCGACCTTGCTGGCGGCCTTGGACGCGGCCTCTTTGGTGCGGTCGACAACCGTCTTGCTCTCGGCGGGCTTGCTGTCAGGGGCACCGGCGGTGGCGGTGGCCTTCTCCTTCTTGAGCCGCTCCTTCTCGGCCTTGGCCTCCTCAGGCGACTTGACGTAGAGGACCTCGTCGAGGTTCACGCTGACCTTGTCGGCATCGGCGACGTCGAGACCGAAGACGCCGGCGCTGTTTTGGACAAAGTCGAGGTGGCGGACAATGTGCGGACGGCCCTCCTTGCCGGTGCGCTGCTCGGCAGACCAGGCCTTGACGGCGGGGGCCAGGGCCTTGTAGAGCTCGACGTCGGCAGAGCTGGGCTTGGAGCCGAGCACGGTGGTCCTCGAGGATAGGTGCGTGTTGAGGGCGTCGAGGATGGAGGCTTCGGGTCCCGTCGAGGCCTGGGCGGCGAGGCGCTCGGCGGTGGTCTGCCACTGAGCGATCTCAGCCTGCTCGGCGGGTGTGTAGGTCTGTTTGGTGACGGCCGCCATCTTGCTCAGGAGGTGGGCGCGTCGGACTGGGGCAAAGGCTCGGAGAGGGCCGCGGAGGAGGGGGCGGAGGGGCAGCAGTTTACGCGACAGGGAGCGCCGAGTTCAGCTACGAGTACCAGGGCGTAGCTGAGAGCGCAATGTACGAGGGAGTTTGTGATGAGGACAAATCGGCAGACACGAAGGGAGACAAGGACAAGACTGCGCCTGGCTGTGACGTCTGTCTCTGGTGTGGTCACAAAATTTGACCGCGGGGTACCTGTGACTGGGCAATTTTGCCCCACTATTTCTCGTCAGGGTGGTGGGGGCGGGTCTGTTCAGCGCAAGGGACAATCATCAAAGGCGAGAAGTTTGAATGGCTTCCTTTCCTTTCCTGTCAGTACAAAGACCTCTCTCCATGGAGATCCGACAATACATTCATTGGAATACCCTTTGTGTGCACAATGACTCTTTTGTCTCGCCGTCATGCATCGCGTAGTCTCTCAAATACCCCGGCCTTGGTCGTCTCCTTGCACCATTCCGTTCCTCGTTCCGCAGACATTTCCTACATCGGCTACATCATCCTCCTTGACTACCAACTACCTACCTACCTGGGCAGGTAATCCACCAAGCAATTGCTTGAACCAACCACCCGAGTACACCAACCCGCATTGATCCAATCGGCCTCCCTCTCCTCGCCTCGCCATCATGTATATCACAACCGCAATCGAGACGCTCGCGACATCGGTAATGAGCATCGACTATCGCCTGATTTTTCGCTTGGCTGTGATAGACTTCGTCATTCGTTTGAACACTGAGCTCTTCAGGCAGCTCAGGCTTTTGACGAAGTGTTCCACGGCGATAGTAACAGGTCTCCTTGCCTTGGTACTAACCCCAGTCATGGAACTCAAGACCCTGATCGTTCATGTCAAGCTTGCTCGATACATGGCAGTTGCCTTGTTCATTTTGCTTGCCTTGTTCATTTTGGCAGTCAATGTTGGGCTCAAGGCTAGCATTGATCTTAAGCGCGAAGCTGGGATGGATCCCCATGCGACAACACTCCCTTGGACCCTCCCGGGCGTCTCCCCATTCCACATGGCCTGCCCCTCCGGTACGCGCATTTGCCTATGCTTTGTTTTTGGGTACAAGGAGTATATTAATTAGTTATTGCTTGCTTTGGCGCCCCCTCCATCTCTTAAATAGATCCTACCTTCGTTCTAACCACTCGCTCCGCCTTGTCACTGATAGCCCCCATCCTCCCACAACCTCCCTCTGACGAAGCGAGTGCTCGCCACGCTACTCCAACATCGTCACTAGACTAGACAGCGTATAGATCCACAAGGGGCGCCGGTTAGTTATGGCGCAGGCGTCGTCGGGCCGCCGGTGCAGTGCGATAACGGCCATGCCGACGCTAGCGACCCCAAAGTTGATGTCCCTCTCTCCCGGTTAGGATACGTCACCTCCCAGGTGATAGTATTTCCGTCACCCACTGGCGTTTGTCATATGCGGCAACTCCGCGTGACACGACACTGGGCGAGTGCGAGTGAATTCGGGAGTGCCCCCACGCGCGCAATTCACGGCCATCAAGGTGTCACTTTGAGGGGTTGGTGGCTCCAAACAACCCAATACAAATACGCAGAGCCGCCTCGACTTCCCCCTTCCCTCCCCGTTGTCTCCAGATGACTTCTATCAGAGAGATTTGGCCATCATGTCCCCCACGCCTGCCAAACCGACATGTCGCCCGTCCAAGGGCAGCCGCCTGGTGGCCGAGACAGCGCGAGATGCCGCAGGCCAGATCGTTGAATCCCATGCCGCCCTGACCAAAGAGAGCTCCCTTGCGCCTAGCGCATCCGTCAACGCCATCCTGTCGAGCTTAGTCAAGCTGTGCTCCGAAATCCACGACCACAACACCGTGGACCTGGTGAGAAATAGCGACCCCACGCGACGCGCAGCCGGACACGAGGCGCGTGCTTTCTGACATGGCACACCCCAGATACTCCAAGACGAGCGGGTCACATCCATCCTCCCCGAACTCCGGCGGTTCTGCGCTGAGTCCGAGTTCTTGCTGGAGCGCCACTGGGCAGAGTGGGTGCAGAGCGACGAGGCGAGCGACCTTATCCCGGACCCGTGGGACCGCCTGTGCAAGTTCCCCTACTACAGCAACTACGTCGAGCTGGTGCGAATAGAGCTCGCCGCGCTCTTCACAGTCCTGCCCTCGGCCCCGACCCGGATCGCCTATGTCGGCTCGGGCCCCATGCCGCTGACCTCCATCTGCATCACCCTCGCCCTGACCGGCGGCGGCGGCTCACCCTGGGGCGCGTGGGACGGGCCGCCGGCCCCGCTCGAGGTTCTGAACATTGACTGCGACGACGACGCCCTACGCCTCTCGCGTGAGATGGCAAGGCAGTTGGGCCTGACGGGGCAAGGCATGGGGTTCGCCAGGGCCGACGCCAAGGATTTCGACCTGGACCTCTCAGGCTACCAGGTCGTTTATCTCGCCGCCCTCGTGGGCTCGACCAACGAGGAGAAAGAGAGGTGTATCGTCAACGTCGCCAGCCGTATGGACCCCGGCGCCGTCATCCTGACGAGGTCTGCCTGGGGGCTCCGCAAATGCCTGTACCCGGTAAGTAAATATCGGGGCGACAGCAGAGTCGACACCCCGTTGACAGTTTTTTTTTCTCTGGCGGACAGCTAACGGTGACCTGCAGGAGCTACAAATCAGCCGGCCGGCGCTTTTGCAGTGTCTTGACATCTGTCTTGTGGTGCACCCGTACGGGGCCGTGGTGAACTCGGTCATGGTCGCCAGAGTTAAAGGCAGACATGCGTAGATAATTCCATAATATTATCCACCGCGCAGTAATTATCAGACATATCAAGGGTGTGGAATCGGTGTCTGTCGGGAAAGGCGCTGAATGTGGCTGCGGATAAAGAGCAGTCGTCATCCTGCCTCCGCCCCTCTCGGCAGTCGAGTTTCATCCCAAAGCCCAGCCAGCCTAGCCTCGTCTTGGCGCGGCGGCAATAGCCATCAAGGGTTAGCTCCTGAAATGGCAAACATACCGCAAAATACCATTTGCCAAAGCTCACCGCCCGGCCACTGATGGGACTGAAAGCCACGAAACCCCTTGGGGTTTTGCTTGAGCTTAACATGGCCTATTTAGCATGCTAACTATAGCTTACCTAGCCTTCGGGGCATGCCCAACACCCGCCCACGCCAACCAGGAGCCCAGAAATCCCCGGGAAGTATTTGCCGGTCCCTCGGTCTTCCGCCTCCAGATTTGCAGCTTCCCCATGAGGAAGTAGCTTGGAAATTTTTGGACGCAGCCGACTTTGGGCCTGGATCCTTTACCGAATTGCCAAAACTAGGCCCGAATCTATGGTTTAGAAAGCTTTGGGGTGTGACCTTGGTCGTTGGGGACACGAGCGGTGAAGATGCCATCACGATTTGCCTCGCCTTCGGCGAGGCGTTACCAGTTCTATGCAGGGGTGCGGAACCATGGCATGCGGCCACATCCGCCACGTGGGGCATGGGTCGTGGAAGCCCATATCAGTCCCGCACGGTCCGATGCCGATTTTCCGTCCCCACGCGCTTGATTGCCGCCTAGAACGCTCTGGGCGCCAACAGCCACCACGGGAGTACCCGCACGCTAGAGGGAACAGGCAGGCTAGGCACTAGAATTACGTACAGATGGTACGAGATGGCGGGACGGCTTTCGCGTCTAGGCGCCAAGGGGTGGAACATGTGGCTCAGCGCAAGCAGCGTTCAGGACTTGCGACGGCATCTCTGCGAATGGGCTCCAGATTGGTCTTCCGACTTGAGCAAACGAGAACAACTGTCACGCTAGGCTGTTACTGTCTCTGGTGCGGTCTCCTGTCTTGGAGTCGTAGTGATCAAGCAGCACATGGCCGCGCTCAGCATGAGCAGCATTGTCCGTGTCAGGCAGCTGTACCGGGTAAATAGCACATTCGAAGAACCAGCCCTTGTTCACACAACACGCGGGGGTAACGGATGTAGCATAGCGCCAGGCAAATAGGTAACTACAGCGCTTTGTCGCCAAAGCGTGCAACCAGGCTAGCCCAGAAACTCGAAGCAATTTCCTCAAACCACCGCCAAGTATACGGAGAAGAAGCTAGCAAATGCCAGCAAAAATCTAGCGATATGACGTCCACAAGGTGTGGTATCAGCGGGCGAGAAACAGCGGTTTGAATGTATACCAATCCCATTCATGTTTTCGCTTCTCCCTTGAGTGACAGCCATCTTGTGGAGGTTACAGGGCCAGTAGTAGAGCCGCTGCTGGACCCCAAGGACGCAAATCACAGAGCCCAGACCCTAATGGCGATAACGGGACAGGAAGAGCAATTCTGCAACTTGCTTCTGCTGTCAGTGACCTGGACTCACTCTCAAGCACAAAATATCGCGGTCGGTCGTTTTCGGAGGTTTCGAGGGCTTTTCTTCTTTCGGGTAGGCTTGGCGAGACGTGGGAAGAATCATTGTCCAGGTAGTTTGTGCGCAGTGGTTGCCTCGGTGTCTAGTTAATCGCAAAGCTACAGTAGTCGGTTATTTCAACACCCACTCGGAGGCAGTATGTAGAAGTATTAGAAAGGCACGACAGTCTAGGAGTCAGGGGAGGTAACCCACCCTCGAGAGGACATTTGTCAGCTGGAACTCGAGCAAGCATAGCTGCCTCCCCTGCCAGCATCCACACGACCTCTGTACTGCCTTGTTTAGCCACGCGTACAGATTGTGCAGCCAAAGTTCGACTAGGAACGGGGCCTAACAGCAGATAACGTGTGGTGGGCCAGGTTCTGGTCGAATACCGCCCAAGTGCAGAAGTCCTCGGATAACTGGGCTGAGGGCGGGGATTGCCTCTGGTTGTTGGTGACAGATACAGATGGTCCGGTGGCATGGGAGCAAACAATACAATCCAAATTGGGACTGTTGTTTTCGATTGACGGCTGGATTTGTGATTTGACAATTCTCGCCGTTGCGGAGGCGAACCAATTACTGTGTAGGTGCGTTTATGTCGAGTCCGGGCAGGCAAGTGCCCATCGAGATTCCGTATGCCTGTCGCGTCCTGCGTGCGACTGCGACCGTCAATATTACTGCTTCCCCTCCCAATACTGCCAACTCCCGGTCCGGATTCTATCCCCACCCGCTCCCAATCGGCGATGGTAGCCATCTCGATCGCGGGTTCTGGTGACTGGCAAAGCGGGCGGCGGAGGCAGCCGGGTTGGTCAGGTACCTATAGGTAGGCAGTAGCTATCACCGGTCAGCCGCAGCCATTCCTTGGCTGGTGGGTGACGCACGTCCTTGTGGTGTCGCCTTCGAGATGGGTTCCATGGGGCTCTCGTTCATTTTTATTGTCACTGTAGCGCTATATGTGCCCTCGGCAGCATACGCGCGGGCGGCCTTGTCGAGGGCGTACCAGCCTGACCTATCCCCTGGCCGGGTGACGATCCGACGCAAACAAGCGCGGGGCCCATACGTAGGTGATCGTCCCCACGGGTCTCGATGCCGTTGCTACTGCTGCTGCTACTGCTGCTGCTCCATTGCTTGCATCTGTCCTCGGTTTTTTTTCAGGGTCTGGTGGAGTCCCCTATGGGTAGGCTGGGGACGCAGCCCTGAAGGCTTGGCTGATCGAGTGCGAGGAAGGGAGGAAGAGCAAGGGCCACGGACGGCGACCAATGATGGCCGTCCGCCCTGGGCCCAGGCAAAGTAGAAGCCACAACCAAACCTGCGGGACGGTAGATCGCCGCTTTCTCCTCCAGCCGTGGGCGTCTCGCAAGCAGTCCCCGCCATGGCCACCATGGCTTGATATATCGCCAACACAACGCCCGCACAACGCCCGCACACCTCATTATGACGTGGGCCCCGTCCCCACTACATTGCCATTCAGTACATCCATTCCGCATCATCGACCCCGTTTTCCAAGCACAGCCGTGCACTAAGCAACCATGCGAGGAGACGACGCCATGTCGGAGTGGTTCCCACGGGGAACGCAGGTGGGCCATGACGAGCCGCTCCTCCAACAGGCAGATGTGTGGAACGCCGCTGGCACGGATGCTGCGGCCTTCCAGGGCTCCTCATCCTACCTCACCCCTACCATGTACGGAGCAGGCACAGATGTCGGCATGTCCCCGTCTGTCCCCGGTACAGCACGGCTGTCAGTCCTTCGCCCTCAATCGCCGGGGCCCTTTTGTCCTGTCCCGCACTGGCCCAACTCGATCTCGATGTGCTGACGCTCCGATTTTGCATCAGCGTTCCGGGCTGGTAGACTCCCAGCCTTTCCAGCCAACAACTGCCGTCGCAGGTTTACTTTGCTGTGCCCGCCAGCACCGGCGTCGAGGCATATCCCTTTTACCAGGGCTCCACCCCAGTCGCCGACAGAAATGAGGCAGCCGCGGCGCCGGTCGCGGGCGGCTATTGTCCGGACACCTGGCTGGGCATGAACAGCGGCCCCATGGTGGCCGCAGCGGGCGCTGCCGCCATGCCGGCCCAGTCTCGGTCGTTCCAATCGATGGGCATGCCGTAGTACACAGCATCTAGCACGGCCGAGTACGAGAGCGTGGCCTCGATGCCGCCCACCATGTCGAGCGCGAAAAACAACAATATAATGCAGCCCCCTTGGGGCTCCCGGTGGGACCCTACGGCAGGGCTTGTCGGCGTCGAAAACGCCGTGCCCGTGTCGTCGATGGCATCGCCTACCGCGACCAGCCAAGGTGCTGGCGCCGACAGCGGTCCGACGAACACAGCGACTACCAGCGCAGCTCGGAAGTGCAAGCGTGCCGTCAGAGCTCGTGGTGGAACATCGGCCTCCTCGCCCTCTGCCTCGGCCGTCAGCCCAGCTCCACCCGCGAGGGCACACGGGTTCCCGGCCGATCAGGCGTCCTCACAGGGCGGCCCACGCAGCAGCTCCATCACGCCCAGGCCGAGCGTCGTCCACCACAGCCCAAGCCTCAAGTCCCAGCCGCACCAGGTGATTGGGCAGCCCGCCGGATACCTATAACTCGGCGGCCGTGGACTGTTTGCCCCAGGCAGCCGCGCTCCCGACTCGGCCAGCCCGACCCTGTACCACCAAGCCTCGCCGCCATGTCCGCCTCCTGCGACATACTGCCTCGCCGCCGCCGCCGCCGGACAGCCGCCGCACGAGGCCATACCAGCGTCGTCATTAGCCGCCACGCCCAGCATCGAGCTCGAGCTCCCGACCGGGACGGAGCTCAAGAAGCAGGACCTGCGGCGGCGGAACCGCAAGGTCGCGACAAGGTGCCGCGCAAAGTCAAAGGACGAGGAGACGTGCCTGCGCGACAACGCCTGGGTCGCGACCGAGACCTGTACCGGCACGCCGACTGCGGCAACAGCCTCATACAGGAGGATCTCCGGAGCGTGGGGCCGCCGAGCGAGGACGAGGTAAGGCTGGCGAAAACCCACAAACGGGTCCCCGTTGGGACCCGTGGGTTTTGGGTCCGGCTGGGTCCTTTGGGTTTCCGCCAGCCTTAGGACGAGGATGAGGAGGACGGCGGTGGCGGTGGCGGCGAGGTCGTCAAGCAGGCCTCGCTATAAAGTTGAACTGAGACTTGCGGGTGCCGGTCATTGGTCCACAACCAACCTGTGATTATGACAAGAGGTGACGGCTGGGTCTCCTTGAATCCTTGAACCCGTTTCCATGTGTCCGCTCTTCACATCGAACAGCCCCTGGCTTCCTCAACTCCTTTTCGTTTCGGTTTCGTTCGCTTCGACTTTCGGGATTATAAAACACAACATCCCCGTCGCGTTACCGGTCCAAGGATAGGGTTCGTTGCACCCGGCCGGGGGGTCTCTGGGGATATCATGTGTGATGGTTGCTAATCTGGTGATGGAACACTGTTAGCTTCCTTCCCATTTCAAATCCGGACCCAACGAGAAGTCATCAGGCATCGAAAGACGTGTTCCCTTGAGACAACAACAGGACTGAAAAGAGAGACCAAGGAGCATGGGACCCGGCGTGGCCACTTTCTGGTGGATCGTCGTCGAAATATCGTTGTGATTCAAGATACGTTTAGAATTTCGAGCTTCGAACGAAACCGAGGGCAGACCGCCCGGAGTAGAAAAACAGCCCCGTCTTTGCCAGCCTGTTTTAGTTAATCAAACCCGAGACGCCCACCATGCTCCACCGGGGCGACTGGCCTGACCCTTATCCCCTGGTGACTGTCGATGTGGTGTGTGGTGGGCTGCAGCTCGCTCCCACCTACTTTTGCCTGCCCAGCCCATGAGAAAAGTGCATTTGCCCGGCGCAAAGTCCTTGTCACAGTGAGGCACCGCGCCGCGAAACCCACATCCGAGTCCCGGTTCCGGTACCTGTCGCCTTTTACCTGCAATTCCGTCAAGCCTGTGACTCTGCCATGTCGACAAAGATCGCCCGTGTCGTTTCATTGGGCGCAATTTATAGGGGGAGATCCAGTCACTTCATAGCTGCAAAGGACAAGCGCTTCTCTTCATGGAGCTCCAATGTATTCGTGACACGCTGGTGCTGTATGCAAAGCTATAACAACAAACAGGGGTAGGTCCACAAATCCCCTTGCCACAGCCACGTCCGTATGCAGCTTGACGATCACTCAGTATTACGGGAAAGCTGTTACTGTACCTAATTTATTTCACCCGCTTAAAAAGCACCGCCGTGATTTCTTTCTCACTTTTTGTTCGCTGGCCGCAACCACGCCCAGGGCAGGAAGGCAGCAGGTTGCAGGGGGGGGGGACCTCCGTGCGGGGAGGTGGGTTCACCTCCGCCGCAGCCAATCACATTATCGGCGGAGCGTCATCCCTGACCAATCCCTTGCGCGGCAAGAGAGCGCGTGCAGAAGGAAATACTGCCGCCGTCGCCCACCACCACCATGGGAGACCCATCACGGACACCATCGTCGGTCTGGTAGTTATTTCCACCCGACGAAGGTGAATGTCCCCACGCCGTACATACAGTTTATTAGTCCTTAGCAGATGTAATCATTACGATACCCTCACTAGAAAGATGCTATGGAGTGAAGACCAGCCTTAACCTAATCCACCAGAGGGCAAACATGGACTTTGCTGTACCTTGGGATACAGACTGTACGTGATCCTTAGGAATGAACGGCTGCACCAAAACAGTCGAGAAAACTTATCAAGTCCCCGACCTCGGTCGAGAATAGCAGCCGGGATCAACCGAGGTAACGCTTGCTGTATTAAATTGTGGCCAACTTGGTACCACGATACGGTTTCCTAAATGGCAAGTCCACTACGCACCGTAGAGTTTGTGTAGCTACAGCGCATATTGGACCCAGGGCTTATAGTAGATCTAGGTGTTTTATTTCCCTCATTCCTTCGTGTTCTTCGTCCCCTCCTCTGTGCTACCACTCTCCGCCTGCGGTGCGTCCCTAGTCACCATGGACAAAGCCCTCACGGCGATGTCGGCCGCATGGGAGGCAGCCATCCCGCCCTGCCGGCCCTCCTCCGCCGCCGTCTCCGGCTGCTCGTCGTGGTGCTCGGGCGACGCGTCGTCGTCGTCGCCGTCACCGTCCCGCCGTGCTGCCGGCCTGCCCTGGCCGAGGAGCAGTTCGGCACCGCGGATCGAGGTCAGGATCTCGAGGGGGTCGGCGCGGCTGCCGTGGGCCGGCGGGGGCTGCTGTTGCTGTTGCTGCTGCTGCCCGGCGCCCTCCTGCTGCTGCTGCTGCTGGCGCAGCCGCCGGAACACGGCCTCGGCCTCGGGCAGCGGTCGGTCCGAGAGGAAGGCGATGAGGGCGCGTAGGTCGTCGTTCTCGCGCGCCAGGTCAACGTTGCGCCGGCGCAGCATCGACGACGGCGTGATGTCCGGGTCGGCGTCGTACTCGCACGCGTGGTTGTTGTCCGAGCAGCGGCGGCACGAAGGCCGCGCTCCGGTGCACTATTTGAGGTCAGAGATTGTTTCTAGGGTGGAGGGCGCTTCCTCGGGCGAGCGAGGAAGGGTGGGTAGAGCGATCGGCTGTTAGCCCATGCGTGGTACCTGGGCAGGCAGTGGATAAACAACAAAGTGTACGGCGCCGCACCTTGGCTTTGCTCCTGCGGCACCGAAGGCACGCAGCCAGCGTCCTGCCATGTCCCCTCGTAGGCGGCCCCCGCGGACCCCCCGCGCCGAGTGGCGACCCGCCCCTGCTGGAAGAGGTGTCGCGGGCGTCTTGGGTATCTTCTTCCAGCCCTGCTGCCTCCGCCGCCTGGTCGGCGGCGGCGGGGAGGAGGGCTCTGAAGCGAGGGTGTTGCTGGCCGGCCATGCGCATGCGTCACTGGCCTCGACTACCTGAGGGGAAGAGACCCCTAAGAGAAATTCAGTGACGAGTTCAGAGACAGCCCAGGCGGCAAAAAGGGTGTCTTTTTTTTTGTCACACGCTTCTCCGACGCGATGTGATGGGTAGCGACGATTGCCCGGCGAGCTCGTCGTGTGACCGGGGAGACCGGTGGGATAGAAGACGTGGGCGCGTCGTAGAGTATCAATGAGATTTCAGCGCCGCCAAGATCAGGCAATCAATCGAGGCCGGTCCTGTCCTGCTATTTTGCAAGATATGAGATATGCGCAAAGGGCTGCTCTGAGGTACAGCTGCGAGTGGGATGTTTTTCGACAATTACCTAACCTCGACAAGGGTTGGGCTTCCACGTAGGACAGACAGGACCCCGGCCGTCTGACTGCCTACCTGCCTGCCGAAGGAGCTGGCATGTCGAGATAAAGTGTCCATTGGTCCGGAACAGAGCCGACTGTCACGTTTAGACCGACGCCACGCCCGCGGACCATGATGGCGAACAACCGAGACTGCATGTCGACAGGAAGGGAGAGGAGCAAGACGGGAGCGGGTTGGGTGGTCTCGAACTGGCACCTGTCAAATACCTGCTCGCAGCTGCGGCAACCAGGCTCCGTGGCTTGGCAGCGAGCCACCTAGCGTTGATGTCACAGGGGTATAGCAAGGTTGCTTTTTAGAACCTGCCCGAGAAGGTGCACGCGCATGGCGAGAATGCAAACGATGGCTGGGTGCTGATGGCTGTTGCAGCCGTGGGTGTGCAGGAGCCGTCACCGGCACCATTTTTGCTACCAGCAAGCGATCCCAGCCATGGAATGGCGGACAGAAAAGAAGCTTGTCATGGACAAGCCCAAGGGGGGGGCGAGAGGAGACCGGTGAGGCCTGCGTGTGCCTGGCAGCAATGCTACGGCTGGTATTGATGTCGAGGGGTTTATCAGCCCATTGGAATTACGTGTGGAATTCTCCGTTTTCTCGCCATGCGGCCACCTAGGGTTTGCTTGAGGCGGCGGATCCTTTGGGCCGCCCGCCGGCTTATATCCGAGTGGGGACGTGGCCGGCAGAGGTTCCCATTGCTCAGCCTTGCGTCACATTGCGTGCGCCATGGCCCATCCCATCCAATCCTTCGGGTCCAACACGCTCAACCTCGCGCGTCTGCGTACCTACTGTACTGCACATACCGCATCGTATCTGCTGCACCTCGCCTGATCTGGAATTGCTGTGACGGCGACGGTTGTGGTGGGTCGTGGGGGTGCACCCGCTCGTCTGTAGGTCTGTGCCGTGTCTGCTTGGGTTGTCATGCGTGCCATGCTGGATTCCAGCTGTAGACCGCCCACGCTGCACTCGTCGGGCAGCTATCCGTCCAGCTTCTATCCTGTCATTAATGGGGCAGGTCCAGGTGGCGGTACCCAGTTTTGGTTGGGAACAATGCTTGATAGGAGAAGAAAATGCATTTATCCTCGAGGCTGGTGAAGCGAAGGTCAATAGACATAGAGACTAGAGGAAGCCGGAAAAACGCCATTTCCGTCAGCCCGGATCGACAAAGGGTATTTTGCGCCGACTGTCCGGCGGGATTTGAATCGATTGATGGCTGCTGGTGAGAAGCCCTGTTGCTGAGAAGGGCACGCTGACGGAATGACCAAGCAACCGGAATTTGTCATCAGAATGAATCAAATCAGAAAGTCCCCGGTTCCATCACGTGACCGGACTTATCTGACCTGCTTGGTAACTCCGGTCCTTAACAATCCTGCTGCGAGGATGGCAGCCGGCTTGTTAGATGCTTCCAAATCCTGGATTCATCATCCAGGTTCGGTGCCTGCAGCAGAGCCCGCCTACGGACTCATATAAACTCGCCGGCAGCTGGGATCACCCAAGATTCACCTGATATCCCATCATCCCATGTCGTGATCGCCTCCCAACCTAGCAACCCCCCGGTCCAGGCCCTGCCCATCTCCCACACCACCCAACACAAGCGCCGCCCGCCATGCAGCCGGTAGCCCACCCAGCGCCCGCGGCGGCGGCCCAGCCCGCCGTCCCCTTATGGACGACCCTGCAGAATACTTTTCGCCGCTCCCCGTCCAAGCCCTCGTACCCCCCGATCTCGTCCATCCCGCGCACCCCGGCGACGCGCCTCCAGCGGGCGTCGCCGCCCGACATCCCCGACCGACCCGTACCCGCACCGGCAGCAGCACCAGAACCGATACCGAGCGGTAGTAGTAGTAGTAGTAGTGGCCCCGACGGCGCCGCCGCCGACACGGTGCTCTACCTCGCCTACGGCTCCAACCTTGCGGCCGCCACCTTCCTCGGCGTGCGTGGCATCCGGCCCGTGTCGCAGGTCAACGTGCGCGCTCCCTCGCTGCGCCTCGTCTTCGACCTGCCGGGCCTGCCCTACCTCGAGCCGTGCTTCGCCAACACGGCCGTCCGTAAGCTCCCCAAGCTGCCGCTGCCGCCCAAGCTCCCGAACCCTCCTCCCGTCATCCCCGTCCCTCCTCCGCGCGTGCGGGCCGGCGGCGAACCGGCACAGCCCACGACGACGGCGACGACGATACGGACAAACAGCCACGGCGACCCCGTCTGGGACGGCGGCCTCTTCGGCGTCGTCTACGAGGTGACGCGCGACGACTACGCCACCATCATCCGCACCGAGGGCGGCGGCTCCTCGTACCGCGACATCCTCGTCCCCTGCCTCGAGCTGCCCCCGTCTGTCACCATCCCCGAGAAGCCGGGCCCGGTCCCGGAGCTGCCGCGGCCCTTTCTCGCCCACACGCTCTTTGTCCCGCCCGCCATCCCGACCGGCGGCGGCGGCGACCACGACGGCGATGGCGACGCCAGCCACATCAAGTTCCACGACGGAGACGACGAGAAACCCACCCTGCCCTGGTGGTCCCGCTTCCTGGCCCCGAACCGCCGCCCGGACCCGGAGCGCGCCCAGCCGAGCGCGCGCTACCTCGCCCTGATCCGCGACGGCGCGCGCGAGCACGACCTGCCCGCCGACTACGTCGCCTGGCTCGACTCGCTGGCCTGCTACACGGCCACCAGCCCGCGCCAGACGGCCGCCCAGCTGCTGGTCCAGCTCTTCTTCCTGCCGCCCCTGATCGCCCTCATGATCGCCGCGAACCTGGCCGTCGGGTGGCGGAAGATGAGGCGGGGGGACAAGGGCAAGGACGACAGCGGCAGGCACCCGCTCTGGGCCCAGGTCGGCATGGGCATGTGGACGGCCGCCGTCTGGTGGGCCCACGACCGCGTCCTGCGGCCGCTCTTTGGCGACGGCGAGCGCACCGAGGAGCTGACGCGGGAGGGCGCGGTGGTCGCGCTTGGGCCGAGGCGGATGAGCAGGTGCGACGAGGAGACGGCGCTGCTTGGTGGCAGGGAACATTGATGTCCGTTTTTTTTTGTTTGTTTTTTTTGGCTTAAATTGCTGTTGCTCTTCAGGTTCCTCATTAATCTTCTCCTCAGCCTCGTATCCAGCCTTCTTTTTTTCACTCTCGTTTTATAGCAGATATAATACAGTATGTCATGGCCAACTTTGGGCTTGAAGCCAGTTTATCCACAGCACGCTAGCGAATCCTCCTGCCAAAAACCAGCTCCACCGACTACGAGCTTTTAGACTCTAGATCAAGTCTACTCGGTTTAATATAATGTCCTTTATAGTGCCGCCGCCGCTCAAGGCGGGACAAGCATCATTCCCGGCATGCGGATCGAAGTCGCGAAAGGAAATCCCCTGCATCCGTCAATGGGTTACCACCATCACTGAATGGATTGCGGAAAGCGAGAGCCTCCGCCACGGGTCGATCTTTAAGAAAGGCGACGCACGGGATGGAATAGGATATATGTCAGAAAACAGCATCAACAGGCATCATCATATCATGCTTCTGGCCTACAAGACAGAAAAAACGGCGCACTCTCAGTGGCTGCTTTGGTAACATCTGGTCCGCAAGTAATACGGTATGTTGATCCCTCCACCCAACTAGCTATTAATATAAAACAAATCCAAGGGGAGGAACGCCTGTCGTAACGTCATTGGGCCTAATCCAAGTCTATAGTCTAAACACCTATTTCTTGCCCTCTTTCTTTATCATGTGCTTCTGGCGAATGACCAGGGCGGGGAGGTCGTCCACGTTGGCCCTGCCTTCAAGAATGTCTATTCTACACAGTTAGTCATCTGCACTGGACCAGTGATAGCTCAAGGGGTGGCTCACCATTGACGGTCGTGAAGAGGGGATAGTCGCCCTCGCGGCTGCGAGCCTTGAGGAAGTTGTTGACCTCCTTGGCAGTCGAGGTTCCTTGAAGCTTTTGGCCATTGAGCTCCTTCTCCTCGATCTCGGCGACCGAGACGCCGCGGTTGACGGCCATGCTGGCGCATCGGAAATTGCGGCCACTGTTGCAGGAGGTGATGACGTCCGCAACTCCAGCGCTCTCTAGCAAGATGGTCAAGGGGTTCAAAGACTTCCCGAAAAACTCGAGACCGAACTTGAGCATCTCCGCCAAGCCTACCCTGATGACCGCCGCCTGAACGTTGGACCCCCATCCCTTGCCGTCGACGAACCCGGCGGCTAGCGCGACGATGTTCTTGAGCGCGCCGCTGATGGATACACCCGCCACGTCGTACACCATCGAGACCGAGAAGTAAGGGCGGTCAAACAGAACCTGGAGCGTCTCGTGGTCCAGCGGAGGATAGGACGCAGGCACAGGTGTAAGCTTGGTCTTGGTCTTGCGGCCTCTGTCACCATTGCCCTCGGAGTCGGCCGCCGTGATTTTGAAGTCGGGCACAGTGATATCGACGGGCGAGCGGTCCCGCGGAGTCGCCGCGCGACTGTTGTCCATCGGAGGCGGGTCGTAGGCAATCGTGGTCTCACAAACAGCCTGTTCCAGGGCAATCTGGCTAGCGACATTCGCACCAGACAGGGCGCCGCAGTAAATGCCGAGGCTCTCTCCAATGACCTCGGAAAAGAGGTTGATGCCGTCCTCCGAGACATCGACACCCTTGATGCACGAGATGCCGCGGGCGAAGGGTAGGATCTGGCCCTTGATCTGTTTGCACACGTTTCCGAGGAACTCGTGGGGGAGGTTGAAGACCAGGATGGAGGCGCCGGCGACGGTGTCGACCAGAGAGGGGTTGGCCACTACGTTGGCGGGCAGCTTGACGTCGGGCAGGTACTTGACGTTCTCATGGTGCGTGTTGATGACCTCGGTGAGCTTCTGGGGCTGGTCGCCGGTCGAGGCATCGTAGTAGGGCGAGTCCTGCGAGATGACGACCTTCTCCTCGTACACCCACATCTGGACATCCTTCTCGAACACCTCTGGGTGCTCGAGCGTGTTCTCGGCCACGATTTTGGCGACGGTCGAACCCCAGTTGCCGGAGCCGATGACGGCCACCTTGTGGCGGTTCTCGTAGCCGCCGAGGGAGGCCATTGTGCTCAAGGGGGATATGGGCACAAGCTGGCGACGGGATGTAGTGGACTGGAGACGAGATGTAGGCTGCAGGCAGGCCGATGTAGAGTAATGAAGATGGGAAGCCGGGAGGAGGAAAACAAACAAAGAAGCTTGGAAGGTGGTGTAAATAAATGGCCTGGGCTGACGGGACTGGAAGAGCCTTTTTCCCAACCAAGATTTTATGTAGTGGCGTGCAGGAGCAAATTCCGGCCGGCCGACCATCCACAGACACCACTACGGAGAGCCGCGGTTACACAAGGGGAAGTCACGACGAAGGATGGTTCGCACAGGCGCCTGGGGCCCTGGCCGATCGATCGCTAATGCTTGAGCTCGTGTGCCTGTGTGCTCGTGTCGGCGGGCGACAGGGCATGCGACTACACCCGGGGGACAAAAGTACCGCTCGCTTTTCCAAAAAAAAATTCAACGCCAAATTGCGCAAGGAATACCAGCGCCCCACAATATATATTAAAAAGTAACTTTTATTATATAATACTTAACTTGTTTTTATATACATTTTAATTTTAATTTTATTAATTTCCTTTATATTTAAGGTATAAAAAATAAAAATAAAATATATATTTAAAACGTACTATATTTTTAAATGGAAATAATAAGCTAAAAATATATATAACCTTAATTTAAAAATTTATACACGTAGTATTTAATAAGCAGTAAATTATATAAATTAAATTATATATATATAACATATTGTTATTAATTAGTTATTAATTTTATAAAATACTTTTTTAATATATAAATTTTAACATTTAATTATTTATTTAATTATTAAATAACCGGTTCGTTTAAAAAATTTAAAAAGAGGGTATATGTTAGCTTTTTTATTTAAATTTATAATAAAACTTACCTCACTTTAATGCATGCATTTGGGGTAAAGTTATAGCATTTTAAAGTGGTAGCGTTAAAATAGGTAGCGAGCGGTATTTTTGTCCTCCCACTGTAGCCAGAGCTATGCTGCGATTTCTGCGTGGGGCATCCTTCATCTTCCCAACAAGATGGACCCGCAGCTCACCAAGACTGGATGATGTAATGGGATGGCAGTTGGGTCACCGCCTGCCTTTTGCGGCCTGGACAGTGGCAGCAGGGCCAGGTGATCTGCCGAGGCAAGTCAAAATAGCCCCCTGCTTCCTGCCACGTCGAGGCACGCGCTTCCGAGATCCTCGATTGCATGTTGACCGACGTCAGACCCTGGCTCAGCCGAGGAGGGGCGCAACCCAGGGGACCCATCGACCCATCGTCTCATGCGCAGGAGATCCTCGGCTGAACCCGATCCCTCGTGCTCGGTGTTCCTGCCTGCAAGTGGACCGGAAGCGAGCGATTGTTGTCCAGATGTTGTCCAGAAGGTTTCTAGAAGGGAGCCGCACCAAGCCTGCAACGTGGTAGCCATGCGACGTTGGAGGAGGAGCAGCAGGCACAGCGGCACACTCGCCAGCCCATCCCGTCGCACCAGGGGTCCCGCACCGCTGGTAGACCCGCACGCATGCCGCCAGCCTTATTCCTCGGCCACCTCGGCTCGAGCGAGCTGGGTACCCAGCTTCGCTTATCATGGCGCTCACTCCACCCAATCCATACCTACGCCCATTGCCGCCCCCGCACACGGGTCGGGTGTTAGACGTACGACAGACGGGCTTGCCGCGCTTCGGTGACTGATTGGTCGCTTTCCGCTCTTTGGGCTGATACGCGCAACTGACGGTCGAGGGCAGATGCCGTCGCCGAGATCAAACCTCGTTACTTTGGTCTCGCAGTCTTCCTTGCTCCCGGAGCCTGGCGCAAAGCTCCACATCCCAGTTGTTCGACATGTGTCCATCAGTTTTTCTTCTTGTGAACTGGTTGCCCTTAAGTGTTTCCAGTGTTTGTCGGATTCTGCTCCCTCCTCCTGGCGCTGTGTGTTCCCTGTCTCTGTTCTGGGTGCATCCCTACCGGTTTATTGTCTCGGAGTTCCCATGGCTACATCCTGCCATAAACTGTTCTACTTGGTACTTTCATCACACTCTCGACCCTCTGACACTAATCTTGATCAACCCTGCTTTCCACCTCTCGCTGTCAGTTGACGAAAGGATTTCCCGGCAGCGCAGGTAGCCCTGGATGAGGAATATCTGTGTCAGCATACACGACATCCAACAAGAAAGACGCATGCTATATTAATCATAGCAATGGTGCCGCTCCCAGATTATCTCAGGTCTACTCACATCCTTCAGTTTGCTCCGGCACAGTCTGCGCCTTCTTGCACTTGACAGCGTTCTCTGTGCTCTGCACCTTGAGTTTTTTGCATTTATCCATTGTGCAGCGAGCGTCCAGAGCCCGTTGGAGAGCATCGCTCTTCCAGCCGTAAATGTAGCCGCCGTATTGGCCATATCCGACGCTACAATGGTGCATGAGAAGGTACTTAGCAGGGATTCGCCGCCGCTGACAGAGGATAGACTTACGTGTCCCCAAACGAATACACCATCGGCTGGCTGCCATCCTCGGGCCACATCTCGGGCTTGTTGAACTCGCGCGTGTCCCAGACGATTTCGTAAACCAGCTGGGGCAAGTGCACTGGGTGCGAGGCCGGGCAGGGTCCGCCGGACTCGAAGCTGCCGGTGGCGGGATAGGCGACGTGGGATTTGTGATCGGCGCTGTCGTAGTTTCTGCCGTCCCAGCAAGTCGGGAACGTGATGGTGGTGCGAATGCCCCCGGGACAGATGTCACGGGGCAGCGAGGCCGTGTCCAGACCGGTGCAGGGCGGCCCGCCCGGCTTGTTCTGTGTCAGGTCACTCAAGCATCGATGGCAAATCTGCCGTTGCTGTCCTGCCGCTTGCCTATGCGCCGGGTCTCCAGCCACCATGCGAAACCCCTTTTTAGAATGCCAAGATGTCGCCGACCTCGTCAGCCCTCTGGCCTCCAGCGATTTGCGCTGTCCGACAGGCATGCCGAATTCAAGTGCTCCCAATCGAGACTTACAGGCCTGAACGCCACCACCCTGCTCCTGCCATCGTATGGCGGTATGTAATAGACCGTAATGCCGCCCTCGCCCCTCAAGCCCAGGTTGGGCATCTGCGGCACGCGCTTGAAGGTGCCGTTGCGGGCGCGGAAGAACAGGCTCGCGGTCCAGTAGTTTGAGTAGTCGTCGCTGAAGGAGCAGGTCGTGCAGTTGGACCTGCCGACCGGGTCGTGCAGGTTGTGGTCGGCCGCTAGCACGTCGAATGAGCTGCCGCCGACGACCTGCTGCAGGTGCGGGCTCTGGCGCGCCCCCGGATGCGCCACAGGGTCGAGCCGCTCGACGGTGAGCTGCGAGCACTGGTAGCGCAGCATCTGCTGGGCCAGCGCCGCCCAGCTCCCCAGTGTGACGAGGGTCACTATGGCGCGCTGCATTGTGCTTATGTGCGCCCTGCCGGCCTGGCAGTCTGGGCTAGGTGTGTTAAGGGGGGCGTAGTAGGGGAAATGGTGCAACCGACGCGTGTAGTTCAGAACAGTCTTGTCATCCAAGCTCTATCTCGAAGCCACGGTTTCGCGGGTTTCGTGTCCGTCAGTTCGCTCACTTAGGAGTCCGATAGTGGAAAAAAAGCATGCGATAGAGTGACTAGGTAGCCAAGTTGACACGAATCCTTGCTGTCAAACCGAGTCCCTCCATCTTTTGTTTCCGTCCCCCGCTCCAACCTCGGAGCTGCGCCGATGGCCGAAAAGGGATGGTCGTCGCGGGATGTAACCCGCCGGCTAATATGCAAAACCCTTTCGGCGTGGGGGACTTCTGGCGACTGACATGCATCAATGGCGACCCTGTCAGACTGAAGTCTCCGAAGCAATTGTTTCCGAGGACCTTGAAGAAAACGGCTCTCCTCCTCCTGCCTTCGGCCTCACTTGAAAGGCCGCTGGGTGAACCACATCGCATGAAGATGGGCCGTTTTCCAGGATAATCGCAAGTACCCATGCACGCTAAAAGCAAAACATGCCAAATGTGGTATGCGCAACAAAAGTCATTGGGAAAGATGCTGGTTACAGGCACGGTCTGATCTTGGCATGACCGCCTCAAAGTGATGGGAATTGCTTCATCTTCTCGCTGTTCGGTCCCCAGTTATCAAATCGACGATTCAGGGCAGCATTCGCACTCATTGGTCACCTCCAAGAGGGGTCCATTATCTGATCCTGTGGCTTGGAGGATGGATGGGTTTTCAGGAACGCGCAATCCCGACCGCCATTTCACATTTTGCCTTCCGTTTTAGGCATACCCACTCTGGATGGCAGCTGTCCCTGTTGGCAGCTCCGATCCCATGGAGAGAGTCGATCGTCGGCGAATCCATGTCTTGACCCCAGGCCCAAAAACCGTTGGGGTGGGAAAGAGGGGCCGAACCTGGCTGACAGCAGGAGGATGAGGCGGTGGGTCCGCTTGGAGATTCATGCCCCTCTGCCCTCTGACCGCGACTGCTTGTGCACCACGCACGCAGCGCAGATGGAGAGCGCCCTGCGGGCAAGTGGGTTCGTGAGCTGCAGAGCTTGATGGTCCGAGGTGACGTCAAATGTTAAAGAGTCCGCTTGGCAGGCTTGTGTGTCAGCCGGAGCCAAAGGCAACGGCCGAAGGACCCAGCAGCAGGAGCAGGAGGAGAAGCAGTAGCAGTCGCGAGCTTCCACAGCTCGCCTAGGTGGATTAGGAGGCTGCAAGCCCCAGCTACCTCTAGTTGGGATCGGCCTACATGGCACCGCTTCAAAAACACGGAAGGCTTGAACGGCATTCGAGTGTTGTTGCCAAGCCTACCCGCCGCTCCATCAAGGAGGAACCGGCCCAGGGCGGATAGCTCGGGGTGGACCCAAGAGGGAGGAGGGCTTGGCGGCATCGAACAGCTCCGGCTCAGTGGGTCTAGAACGCTGTCGTGATATCATGGACGTGCTACCTTCTCCACCAGTGCACATCAACTTCTCCGGGCCTGGCTCCTCCATCTCCATGGGCTTTACTGTGCCTTTCTTCTCGACGTGCCGTTGTCTAGGCAGAGAGACGCGAAGAATGGATGGGCATCAAAGCCTAGGTGCCACCAGTCAGTTGTAGTACTGGGCTGCCAACTTGGCTGCATGGATGGATGCATGGATGGATGCATGGATTGTGCGACCTGGGAGAGCAGAAAAAAAAGCCTCAACTGGAAAGGAGCTAGCGTGAAGCTGGCGCGATTGGCGCTTCGACAAACTGTCGCGCATGAGGCTGGCTCCACCAAGCGCGATCAAGTACCCGACCTTGCCTAGCTCCATCCAGCAAGCCTTCCTGCCGTCTTTTTTGAATGTGATTGTGGTTGGAAGTCGCCAACAGGGGGCCAGGATGTTTTGCTCCTTTAGCTTTCGCTGACCCACCAGGCTCGGTACCACCCTCCTTCCATGCCCGGCGACTTGACGCCACTGGCTGCGGCGGAAGGTCTGCCGGCTTCCAAGGTTGGGCAACCACACAGGGTTGTCGGTGCGTGCCCGGGTTGGGGCAGCAGAATGTGCTGACGGGCGTGGCAGCTTCTCTGTGCGCCAGCCGCGTTGTCATCCATGCTGGATGCGTGGTTGCTTCCTTGCGGCGGAACCCCAGCAAGAATCGACACAGTTGTTGCTCCTTCCTGTTGGCCGGGGCCAGACCAGACGCTGGGTGGATGGATGGCTTTTTAACCCGTCTGGTGCCATCCTCAGGGCCAAGATCTTCTCCCAACATCATCTCTTCATGGCCGCCCAAGCATTTCGTCTTCTGCCAAGTCCATTTTTGCTTCTGCAGCATTAGCCCGGGTGCAAGTTTTGCGACACCACGACGACGTCTTCACGCCTAGGAAAACAAGAAAAATAAAAATAAAGATAGCTTAAAACTAGCTATACCCCCACGCCACCCACACACCCACGTCGTTTCTACTGCACGCTCTGTTTTCCTTTCGCCCTGGCCCTCCTGTCCTCTCCTTGCTGCCGAGCATCTTCTTTCTCAGTCTCCGTTTCTGGCTTGCCATTCGTTTTACCTCATCAGGTCGAGACCTGACCCCTCGCGACGACCCGCTCTTCGGACGCGGCCAAGTGGGAACCCTTCCTTGATGTGTTGGCGAGGCACGTATTAAATCCGCCGCGGGGCTCTGAGCTTCTCTTTTCTGCCCTTTTGAAATGATACCCCGAACCATGATTTCCAACGAGGTCTACGTCCTGCCCCTCAACGACGATGGCTCGCCCCAGGTCCAGGGCCAGTACATCTGGCTGGCTCCCAAGAACAATCAGCCCTTCACCATCCGCTTCACCATCGAGGGCACCTCGAGCATCTGCCGCCAGGGCAGTTTGTGGGTGAACATTCCTGAGGCTGGCGTCGAGTTTCGCAGGGACAAGTTCCGCGAGTTCAAGTAAGCCGCCACCTTTTTTTTTTCCGGCACCCCCTGCTACCCGTCCAATTGGGTTTGACCCCTTGTCTCGACTACCCCGCTAACAACGCCACAGACTCAACCCAGACTTCAACCGCGAAATCAACATCTCCATCCCCGTCCACCTCCCCGGCGCCTACGCCTTCTATACGACATACTGCCCGCTACCCGAGCTCAAGGAGGATGCTGGCGTCGATGGCTCCTCGCAAACGGAGAAGAAGAAGACGGAGCTCTACTACATCGATGTCGCGCCCAGGTTACAGCTGGACGGGCGGCCGCTGCCGCTGCCCGCCCTGTCCATCTTCTCGGTCATCAGCAAGTTCATGGGCAAGTACCCGGATGACTGGGAGCGCCACCTGCGCGGCATCAGCGACCGCGGCTACAATATGATCCACTTCACCCCGCTGCAGGTCCGCGGCAGCTCCAACTCGCCCTACAGCCTTTACGACCAGCTCGCCTGGGACCCAGAGTGCTTCCCCGAGGGCGAGAAGGACGTCCAGCAGCTCGTCGAGAGCCTCGAGAAGAACCACTCGCTGCTCAGCCTGACGGACATCGTTCTCAACCACACAGCTGACAACAGCGAGTGGCTGCTTGACCACCCCGATGCCGGCTACAACTTGACGACGGCGCCTTGGCTCGAGCTGCCCTACCTCATCGACACCAAGCTGCTAGAGCTGGGCCTCAACCTTGAGAAGCTGGGCCTGCCCACCGAGCTCAAGACCAACGATGACCTGATGGCCATCATGGACGCCGCCAAGAAGGAGGTCATCAGTGCCATCCGTATGTGGGAGTACTACACAATCGACGTCGATTCAGACGCCGATCTCGCCGTTGGTGCCTGGGTTGCTGGCAAGACATCCTTCCCAGAGGGCTCCCTTGGTGCCGAGGGCCCCTCATCCCTCAAGGCTGCCAGCGCGGCCGAGCAAGCCCAGTTCATTCTGAAGCATGGAATCCTCGGCAAAGATCGCATGGGCGAGCGGTTCAGGCGTAAAGCCAACCCTGAGGTTGCTGCTGGCCTGATCTCGGCCGTCCTAGGAGGCTACGAGGGGGAGACAGGTCCCGGCCCAAACAAGGCTGCCGCTCTGGAGATGATCGCCGATGTGCTCCGTGCGGTCAACGTGCCCCTCTACGAGGAGTACGACAAGGACAGTGCCGAGGTGCTCGACCAGACGTACAACCGCATCAAGTATGTACGCCTGGATGAGCACGGTCCCATGCGGGGGCCCATCAATGAGGACAGCCCGCTCGTCGAGACTTACTTCACTCGTCTCCCACGCAATGAGAAGACGGCCAAGCATAAGAAGGAAGACTTGGTGTTGGTGAACAACGGCTGGGTCTGGGGCGGCAACGCCTTGATCGACAACGCCGGGCCCCAGTCGAACGTCTACCTCCGCCGCGAGGTGATAGTCTGGGGCGACTGTGTCAAGCTGCGGTACGGCTCCGGGCCCGAAGACAGCCCGTATCTGTGGGAGCGCATGACCAAGTACTCGCGCATGCTGGCCAAGTACTTTGCCGGCTTCCGCATCGACAATGCGCACTCGACACCAATCCACGTGGCCGAACACATCCTTGACGAGGCGCGGCGTGTGCGGCCGGACCTCTACGTCTGCGGCGAGCTCTTCACAGGCAGCGAGGATATGGACTACGTCTTTGTGAAGCGGCTCGGCCTCAGCTCGCTCATCCGCGAGGCCATGCAGGCATGGAGCACCGCAGAGCTGAGCCGGCTGGTGCACCGTCACGGCGGCCGCCCCATCGGCAGCTTTGAGGTAGACGAGGTCTCGAGGGCCGATTCGTCGAACCCGCAGTCACCCAGGTCTCCACAACAGGGCGCCAGCAAGGATGGCGGCTCTTCACGCGAGATCATCCGCCGCATCAAGCCATCGCCTGTTCAGGCTCTCTTCATGGACTGCACGCACGACAACGAGGTGCCAGCGCAGAAACGCGATGCTCGCGATACGCTACCCAACGCTGCTCTAGTCAACATGTGTTCCAGCGCGACGGGCAGCGTCATGGGCTACGACGAGATATACCCTAAGCTGGTGGATCTCGTCAACGAGAAGCGCTTGTACACGTCGGAATCGTCGAATGGCCGCGAGATCAAGGTTGGCGGCGGTCGCAACGGCATTGGCGGGGTCAAGAAGCTCCTCAACCAGATCCACACGCTCATGGGCAAGGACGGCTATGATGAGACACACATCCACCACGAGGATCAGTACATCACGGTCCACCGCGTGCACCCAAAGTCGCGGAAGGGCTACTTCCTGATTGCCCACACGGCCTACCCGGGCTACGGTAACGGCAACGGCGCCTTCAACCCGGTCCACCTGACGGGCACCAAGGCTCGCCACCTCGGCAGCTGGATGCTCGAGGTTGACACCAGCGAAGAGGCCAAGAAGGAAGTGCTTGAGGACCCCAAGTACCTGCGGGGGCTGCCCAGTCGTGTCATTGATCTGCCGGGCATCCGCATGGAGGTCAAGGACAACGACACCATCATCACGGTCCGCGACCGCTTCCCGCCCGGGAGCATCGCCCTCTTTGAGACATGGATCCCTGCCGCTGAACACTCGGCTGGCCTGGACACGTTTGTGACGTCGGGAGCAAAGGACGCTTTCAGCGAGCTCGATCTCGTTGACCTCAACGCTGCCATGTACCGTTGCGAGTCGGAAGAGCGCGACTGGAGCGGCGGGAGCGATGGTGTCTACGACATCCCCGGCCACGGAAAGCTGGTCTATGCCGGCTTCCAGGGCTGGTGGAGCATTCTTGAGGGCATCATCCGCGAGAATAACCTGGCTCACCCGCTCTGCCAAAACCTTCGCCAGGGCCAATGGGTGCTCGACTACATCATCGGCCGCCTAGAGCGCGCCTCGCAGACCACCGAGCTTGGCCGCCTCGCCCGCCCAACCGCGTGGCTCAAGGAGCGCTTCGATGCCATCCGCGGAATCCCCAGTTTCCTGCTCCCGCGGTACTTTGCGCTCGTCATGCGCACGGCTTACCAGGCTTGCCTTGAACGGGCCATCTCGCTCATGAGCGCCAACGTTGCCCAGGGCCAGTGGTTCCTCAAGAGCCTGGGCATGGTGAGCGTGCAGGAGATGGGCTTGGTAAAGTCGGCGTCCCTATACCCAGACCGCCTCGTCCCATCGCTTGCCGCAGGCCTACCGCACTTTGCCGTCGAGTGGGCGCGCTGCTGGGGACGTGACGTCTTCATCTCACTCAGGGGCCTGCTCCTTGGCACTGGGCGGTTTGCCGAAGCCAAGGAACACATCCTCGCATTCGCTAGCGTGCTCAAGCACGGCATGATTCCCAACCTGCTCGGAGCCGGCCGCACGCCCCGCTACAATGCGCGCGACTCGATATGGTTCTACCTTCAGTGCGTGCAAGACTACACGCGCATGGCACCCGACGGTCTGGCACTGCTGGACGCCAAGGTTAAGCGACGCTTCCTGCCCTATGACGACACGTACTTTGACGCCGAAGACTCGCGCGCGTACAAGGCTGAGAGCACAGTACGCGACATCATCCAGGAGGCCATGCAGCGCCATGCGAGCGGCATGTCGTTCCGCGAGGCCAATGCGGGCCCGGGGCTCGACAGTCAGATGACGGACCCGGGTTTCCAGCTCGACATCAAGGTCGACTGGAGCACAGGCTTTGTGCACGGCGGTAACCAGCACAACTGCGGCACGTGGATGGACAAGATGGGCGAGAGCGAGCGGGCCGGGTCCAAGGGCGTGCCCGGCACTCCACGAGACGGCGCGGCGGTCGAGATCGTCGGTCTATCCTACAGCACGACCAAGTGGCTGGCAGAGCTCCATGCGGCGGGCAAATACCCGTACGCGGGCGTGAGCAAGAGCCAGGTGTCGCCTGATCAGGCAGCCTCGGGCGATATCGCCGTCGAGGTGACATTCGGCCAGTGGGCGGAACTGCTGCGAGCCAATTTCGAGCGGTGCTTCTTTGTGCCTCTGCACGCGGCCGAGGACTCCAAGTACGACGTCAACCCGGCTGTGTTCAACCGCCGTGGCATCTACAAGGACCTGTACAAGTCGGGCAAGGAGTACGAGGACTATCAGCTGCGGCCCAACTTCCCCATCGCCATGACGGTGGCGCCGGACCTGTTCGACGAGGCGCACGCCATGCATGCACTCTGCGTCGCGGACCGGGTGCTTCGCGGCCCGCAGGGCATGGCGACGCTGGACCCTGCCGACCTCAACTACCGACCCTTCTACATCAACAGCGAGGACAGCGATGACTTTGCGACATCCAAGGGCCGCAACTACCACCAGGGCCCCGAGTGGCTGTGGCCGACGGGCTTCTTCCTGCGGGCGCTCCTCAAGTTCCTGCTCCAGAGGGCCGGTGGCAACGAAGAAGCTGCGACAGAGGCGTTCCAGCAGGTCACCAGGCGTCTCATGGGCTGCAAGACGATGATCAAGGAGAGCCCATGGGCGGGGCTGCAGGAGCTCACGCAGAAGAACGGAGCGTACTGCGGAGACTCGGTATGTCACTTTTTTGTTTGTCACCATTCATCATGCTTGCATGCAATGCTAATCACGAATCCCTTCAAACAGTGTCCCACGCAGGCTTGGTCGGCTAGCTGCCTGATTGATCTGTACATGGACGCGGCCGAGGAGCAGTCTAGCCTCAACAGCGACAAGTCCTAGACGTCGCTCCGTGACGTCACGACATCTGGCTGGGCGGACTATTGATCGGACGAGATGTAAAGAATGGTGATTGCGGCGTTTCTTGTGGAGGAAAAGTTAGATGGAAGGTTTTTGGAGATTCCAGGCATCAGGGAGGGACAACCTACATACACAAACGGCAAAACCAAGAAACAGAAACGGACGGGATCGAAGAGGCACTGTCGATATCCCTTTGCGCACACGACTATATAGCTATAACGACTTTGGCATACCCTACCTAGAATCAAGTAATTCAGATCCATTGAAAGTTTGCTGCCTCGAATTCGTCGCTGTTACTTGTCACCGAAGGGCCCCAAGGTGTTGGCACTGAGACAGCGTTACCTCGACGTTTTCAAACCACCCGCCCACCATCCAATGTTCGGGCCGGCGGACAGGGAGCAGTCTTGGTGCGTCGAACGCGACGCCGCAAGCTCTGCCCGGCCAGCACCGATGTGGGGCAGCCCGTCGATCCGGTTTGCAACAGGTTTATTGCACGGGGCGTATCAATGGCAGTCAATGACTCGCCCAAAAGGCGGCGGGCGAGTTCGCCGACTTCATGTTTGCCCTACTTTTGCCCCGAGCGTTTCCTTTCCAGATGGTCCAGGTCATTAAAGAGGTAGATTTGGTGTCCAAGAGCTGCCGGTATGTAGCTCTCTATCAATGGGCCCCGACGTCGTATCCTCTCCGTCTAACCGCCATTGCCATAGAGGAAGAGGGAATCACCATGATAGTCTGTGGGTGAATCGTCTGTGGGTGAATCGAGTTTTTTCCCGCCGCCAGACGAAGATGTCTCGAGCATAACGGCCACTAAGAACATTAGGTCGGGTGGCATTCGCACTCCCAGTCTGCTCTGGGTCTGTGAATATCGATACTGAGTAACAAAACAATTACGTTGCCCTCCCAAACCATTCTAAATAAAACAAAAAACAACACAAGCTATTAAAGCCGAAGAATCATGTCCCACCTACAAGCGCCAAGCACAGGATAAAACAGAGACGGTGTGAGAGGTGACAGAAGATGTGGAGTGCAAGATGGAACGTCCATCGATCCACGCCGTTGAGGCATATATAGAAAAAGCAGAAAAGGAAGTATCCCTTTCCCAGAAGCAAACTCCAAGAAAATGATAATCGTTAAAAGAGATATTTTCTGCTGTCGCAGTCGAGTCGGACAAGGCTGAGAGTTGAATCCGGCTTCGAGGGAGAGCCCTCCTTCATGTCCTTTCTGTCGGGTTCCACTTAGTTTTTGCCTTCTTCTCGTTCCCCCTCTCGGGCCCGTAGACGCCGGCCTCGCTGATGGGTGCGGGCATGAACATGCCGGCGGCTGGTAGGTGGACGGAGCGGGTGGACCCGTTAGGTCCGGGCGTGGTGGCGCCGCCGCCGTTGCCACCGACGCCGGCCTCGCCTAGGCGCTTGCCGAGCGCGTACTGGCGGTCCTTCTTGCGTAGGTAGCGGCGCCGCCAGATGCAGGCGCCGATCCAGATGCCTGCGATACCCACCACCATAATGACCAGGAACACGACCCACTGCCAGTGGTTTGACATCCTAAGGACAAAGGGTTAGCATTCTCGCTACATTCGCACCTGGTCCAGAAAAGGCCGAGATGGGGGATGAAGTGGTACATACCAATCACCACCACCTCCTTGAGGCGTCGTGAGCCTTCCTGTGCCTGTGGGATTGGAGTTTGAGGTGCCGGTGCCGGTGCCGAGCGTCTTGGGGTCCTTGCAGAAGTTTGTGAACCAGTTGCGGATGCTCTCGAGGTTTGCGGGGTTGTCGGCGCAGACGCCCGGCCCGCACACGCCCTGGGCAGCGGCGCTGAAGGGCGAGACCTTGGCGTTGCTACAAAAGCATGCGGCGTAGCCCGCGGGGGCCGCCGTCGGCGCGGCTGGGGGCACGCAGGCGCCGTTTGCGTCAAATAGGGGGCCGCACTGCTGCGCGCAGGCAGGCAGCGTTGCGAACGGGATCAATGTCGTCTCTACATGAGGTGCTGTGTCAGCAAAAGGCTTGGGTTGGTTGGTTTCTCGGGAGTCTATTGCTCCGCTTTGCAATGGGATGACCGCCTGCTGGGCAAGCTCCATGCAGAAACAAAACGGGGAAATGATGGGACGATGACGGATAACGGCCGTCTCACAGAGCCTCGACTTACCCATTGTGACGGAAGTGTGTGAGGTGGCCCCAGGGGGCGATTTGAGAGACGCTCAGGGACTGAAATGGCAGCGCGGCGTTCGCGTCGCCGGGATATTAGGAGCGGCGTGAGCCGACAGCGAGCGTACGGTAGCCTCTAGCGGGAGGGGGCAATTGGCCGGAGAAGCGGATTCAATCGCGTCGTCGCTGTGGGCGGAGGTGATTGTTGATAGTGTCCGGTTGATGTATTCCCAAGCTCTAGTCGTTTTCCCCAGCTCTTTCCAACTGTGCGTAGTGATTCGGGTCCTTGTCTGGCTTCGTCACAATGGCGCCGAGGCTATAAAAACGTGGGACTGTAGTCGGTCGGCTGTGTTGGATCGAACGACGGACGGCTGGACGTGGCGCTCGTGGGCGATGGAGTAGGAGCAGGAACAGACGGCACAGAAAAGAAAACAAAACAATGCCCCGACAAGGCCAACGTGGAATATACGCAGAGCCAAAACAACCGTCGCTGGAGCTCTGGTCGGTGGTGCGCAGGCGGCTGGCTGTCCTGTGTTTTGGCTGAGGGCGGCGTTTTAGTCGAGCCACTTGCAGGATCCCCCGTCGATCCGGCAGGAAAAGGCGTGTCGGGTACGAGTGTGCAGGACCAGAGAGAGCTCTGCCGCTACTTGACGCTAGTTCGCTTGGCTCTGCGGACGTTTCGTGGCTGGTGGTAGACAGGCAAACGAGCGACAAGGACACCAGACAGTAGGGAGCTGGGAATTGGAACAGAAACGAGTGTGTATTCCCTTGGTGGCAGCGATGGACTCTCCCGCTATGCGTCTGTTTTCAGTCGTGCCCTGGGGGAAAGGGGGTGGTGAAGGGGTCAAAAGGGTGGCCTGCTGACGGCCAACACGAAGAAAAAAAGACGAGGGAGCAAAGGGGAAAATGGGCTGTGCTCGCAGTGGAATGGCGGGTCGCAGCGCCGCGAAATTACCTTAGGCCTTGGACGCTTGTGGGAGTCGTTGGTGGAGTCTCGTCAGCTGGCGGCTGGCCTGGAGAAGCGAACTCAGAGTGGGGCTTCAGTGGGGAACGGGAAGCAATGGATCACAGGCTGGGCTGCACTGTCTCTGCGGGAATGCTCGTATGCATTCGTGCAATCATCAATCCCGCATTGGACTGGACGAACTGCTGAGACCAGGCAGGTGGGCAGGTGGGCAGCCCCTGCTGCAGCCCAGAGTCAGCGCCAACCTGCATTTGAATTGATGTTGATTATCTCAGTCCTGCACTGCCACATTCGCAACGGCCATCTATGATCCGAGCTCCAGACGGACGGGTTAGCAAGTATCAGCACGCGCAGGGCCCTCGCGACCCCTGCAAACACCACAGAAACCCATCTGCGGTTTTATGCCTGCGACTCGCCTGTCAGCTTTCCTGCCGGCCGATCGGACTTTGCAAATCCTGTCTCCCTACAGAGACTACGGTCACTGCATGCAGGAAAGGGAACGAGATCAATCGGTCCAACAGACCAGCCCTGCTGTCGACTTCGCGTGTCTCATCGAGAACAATACCCGCTCGTGCAACAGAAAACAGGCTCAAAGGGTCAAAGCGACAGACACAAAGGAAAAAGCCCCGATATTATGCTGGCAATGGACAACCCCTCCCTCCCGCCCTCCAGATTCCAGAGTTTTGCCAAGCCATAATGCTGGCACCCACTCCCTTTTTGTTTTTCGTCACTTCCCCTGTTTGGGCTGATGGGGCCTCCGCCGGCGACCTGCTGTTTTCAGCAACCAGAAAACAAACTGCAAGGCTGCACGGACGGCAGAATCTGTGCACCCTGTCGGAGAAAAGGGCAAAAGCGTGTGCAAAGGCCGCGCGTGCGCGATCCTGACGGCACGACCGGAATGATCGGATAATGCAGACCATGCCGTTTACGGTCAAGCCCTTTGGTCTCTGTCCTCGGCCAACTTTTGGCCTCCACGTCACGCGATGTCTGCCAACCAGGACAGACAGACAGTTGGCGCCAAGATGTTTTTTCTTCTTTACTTTCTCATTCCCATTGGAGATGATTCTTCGTACAACATTGCACCCGGCTCGGCTGCGCCCTTCTCTTGTAATCTTACTCCAGACGCTGGGCGAGGGAAAGTCGGTCGAGATCGAGACTCTTCCTTTCCGCAGGCCAACCTCAATCCGTCATCCTTTGCGTGGCGCGAAGCGAGATGTTTTGTCCCCAGGCGTCGATGCGCGTGAGGGGATTTTCTAGCACTTGGGCGCGGAATGTCATGGCCTGACTGTGGCTCAACCCCTAGCCTTGTGTCACGGCCGTGGCGCATCCGAGGCCACCCCGTGGATCGCTTACACCCCTGCTGCCCCTTTCCCAATTATCGGGTCCGTCATCCATCCCCTGAACCTCCATTGACGTGCATTCCCGACCACCCCCCTGTCATGACCTATCTCCCTTGCGTCTCTACGCTTGTCACGAACCCAGGCCTCCCTTCACCGTCGACCTCAATCGACGCCATCAGCCCGTCGGCGCTCTGCTTCAGCGCGCTCGCGTCGGCGCTTGCCCAGCCGCCGGCCTCCCGGCCCCGGTCGGCGTCGGGCAGCCCGTCCCAGCCGGGCCCGTAAAACAGGAGGGCGAGCGCCGAGTCCTTGAGCAGCGGCCGGCGGCGCGTCAGGATGATGCACGCGACCAGCAGCACCGCGGTGCCGACGGCCTCGATGACGGGCAGCAGGATCCAGGCCCAGCGCACGCGCACGTACGTCTCGACCACAAACGCCGTGCCCTCGCGCATCGTCGCGTTGGTGTTGGACGCCCGGCTGTGCAGCATGTTGTCGACCGTGACGGCGTGGCGGCGTGCCAGGTCCGCCAGGTCGCTCTGGTAGACGAACATGCCGAAGTCGAGCAGGCCGTCCTTGGCGTTGTTGGTGGCATCACCGCCGCTGCGTGAGAAGACCTCCTGGTCGAAGAACAGCTCGCGCACCAGCCTCAGGCGCATATGGCTCATCTGGCCGATCAAGTACTTGGACTCGGACCTGTTGCTGCTGTAGACGTACGTGTTGCCGTCGCTGTGGCCGTGGACCGTGATCACGTCTCCTTGTTGTGTCATGTTCGGCAGCGGACTCACGTCCATGGCTCCGATGTGGAGCTCGCCGCCCCTGGCCGACACATTCCTCAACGTCTTTTCGCACCACTCCCAGCTGTAGTCAAACACGTCGACGGGCGGCGGTCGGTTCTGGCTAGTACTTGCGTTGAGACTCAACGAATCAGCGTTGAAAGCGTCGCCGCGGATTCGCACGGCGAGACCGAAATTGGAATTTTGTAGACTTTGGGAACCCATCGACTCGAGTTCGAGTTGGCGTTTGTCGATTTCTGTATCGGTGGCCACGACAGCATCCGTGGCCCGTCCCGGTGCGGATGACGAAACTCTCGTCCTCGCACCCGGGCCGCTCCTGTCGCCCATTGACCTGGCACTGGCACTGGCACTGCTCAGCACAACAAAGCTGGGCTGCGGGGGCTTGTGGAAGTCACCGTTGTGGTACACCATGCGCAGCGGGCCTTTCGAATCCCCACCGACACTGTGGTATGTGTACTCGCAGACCACATCCCGCTGGGACGACTGCAGCTTGCAAGACACCATGGTGTCAGCCGTCACGTTGCGGACGTCGGCGCATAGTCCCAGTGTGCTGAAGTCGGCCCACTCGCACTCGGAGGCCGGTGCCGGGCACGAAAAGTCGGGCGTGAACGGCCCGCCTAGCAGGCCGGTCCGCAGCTTGAGTTGGAACGGGAGGGCGACGTTGGGAGGGAAAAAGAAGCGATCGGCGTTGGTTTCGCCGGCGACCCCGAGAGGATCTGGTCCGCGCAAGTATTAGCACGCTTGGGTAGTTCAGAAGCAAGTATCGCCAAACCGATGGTGACATACACATCCGAAACGCCTCCTTGGCCCAGTAGCCGGACGCCTGGGCGATGGTGGCCGTCGTGTTGCCCAGCGGCACGCGGCGGGGCGGGAACTCCAGGATCTGCTGCGCGCTCGGGCTGATGCCGAGCGAGACGACGGTCCATAGCGCCAGCGCCCACGCGAGCCAGTCTCGGACCTTCAGGTTGAACAGGATCCGCAGCGAGCCCCAGGGCCCGCGGCTGGCGTTGTCGTAGTCCTGCAAATGGCCCAGCCTGTTGGGCCGCAGCTCAAAGTGGCCCCACTTGAGCTGCGAGATGCACGCCGCCAGCGGCACCACCATGGCGGTGCGCGCCACGGCCGTCAGCACGGCGATGACCGAGTTGATCTGGATCGGGAGCGGCCAGCTCTCGAGCACCATGTCCTCGACCAGCGCCAGCAGCACAAACAGGAGCACGGTGCTGACCAGGCTCAGCGCGCACGCCCCGATCTCCCACCACCACCATGACGACTTGGGCGGCCCGCGGCGGCGGCTGGGTTGTGTGGGCGCCGGGGCTGGCGGTTTGCTCGCCGGCGGCGGCGGCAGCTTCTCAGTCGAGAGGGAGTCGCCGTGCAACGGGGTCAATGGACTGGCGCCCAGGTCAGTGCTGAGCCGGCCGAGGGGAGATGCGGGCCTCGGGGTCGTCCCTCCCGGCGAGGGCGTCGCCCAGATGGGATCTTGATACATCTGGTCGGCATCTTCGTGGAGTGTGGATATGGACGGAGTAGCGGTCCGACGGGAGGACATCAGTCCGATTTGCTCCGCGTCGGCACGGTTGTAAGGGGAAATCGGCGTCAAGAGAGAATCCTGGGACGGAGACCTCGGCCGAGGAGGCTGAGGCCGGTGCGGCCACTGGTTCTGGGACATATCCATCTTGGAGGCACTTTCTGGTCAATAGAAATCTACAAGTGCAGACGATGAACTGGTTTGGCTATGAAAGCAGAGGAGACAAGATTTAAGAGCAACATCACGACGGAAATTCGATAGGAAATGCCTCTTGAGAGCCTGCCCGCAGATCTGCGCATAAGAATCGACCCCCAAGGACACAGGTTACGTCAAGTAGGCTGAGCATGCGCAGTCATTATTAATGTCGTCGATTAAGTGGCTGGCCGGGAAGTGCCAGCCAGTCGGCATTTAGGACATGTGCTGGCGCAGCGCAGCCGCAGATCACCACGGTCCGTAGATGGGCTGTTACTGGTCGGCCGAACCTGTCGTGCGACCTCAACTGTGACGCGAAGTTGATTATGGAGGGGGGTATTTGGGGGCTTGGGGAGGGAACACGGTCGGCTAGGTTCCCGCGGGCGAGCCTCCCTTTGGATATTAACGGTGCGCGGCAGGTCTTCCCACGCAGGAGGCCTTCGAGGTGCCATCGTCCGACACCTGCGTTGCCGCTGGCGAAAATGCATGGTTGAATTGATGGGAGCATTCGGTGAGGCATCAAATCAGATCAGCGGCACAACTGCCGCCGCTAACATGGTGGCGCCCCGCACCAAGTGGGCCTCGTGTAAGAATGTGCTGATTTTGTTACATAAGCGCCTCCTCCTTGTTGTTGTGCCATTCCCCTTATCCCTTGCTCTGGTCGGCAATTGCTTAGTACGTGCAGCGGCCACAGTAGCCGCACTCATCAGTGCAAGCCGTAAAGTCTTCGCCCTTCTCGTCGTCGTCACCGAAGGAGCCGAGCCCCAAGGATCCACGCCAACCTCCAGCGTGCGTGTAGTGGTCGTCGTAGTCTTTCTTTTCATCCTCGGAGTCGTCAGGGCTATCGAGATAGGCAGTTCCATGACTGGCTTCCCAAGCAGCCCTGATCTTGCTGGACAAGACCTCGCCGGCGCCGGGCAGCTGCTTGCGGAACTCGAGCGCGCCGCCAGAGTAGCACACCTCAAACTTGCCGTCGCCATTCTTCTGTCTCTTGACCGCCAGAGACCGGATGCGGTGGATGAGGGCGGCCAGCTTGGTAAGCTTGTCGTTGTTCTCCGCCTCCCATCTGCAGTAGGAGGCGTCAGTCACGTCTTGCACCCGCTAGGCCCTTGCTTATTTGGCGGCGTGATTATACAAGAAGGGATGGTTAGAAGGGGCACTTACTTCTTGACCTTGTCCTCTACGGAAATGATGTCGATCTTGTTGAAGACGCCGCGCGCATGGTATGCGACGATGAACTTGCTCATCTGTCGGATCCACAGCCGCGGCAGTTCCTCACCGAGGATGTCCATGTCGACCTTCTTGATGCTTCGTGTCTTGAGGTCGAACACGAGACTCTGGTCGGTCAGCTCGCCTGCACGCTGGACCTGGAGCCCTGCATCTGTCGATGTCTCGGCCTGAGACACAGCGGTCTGCTCCAGCGAAGCGAGGAGGTCATCAACGCTGGAAGGCGAAGCCTTCTCGGAAAGCTCCTTCTTGACAGACTGGCTATTGCCCGAGGAGCCAGCCTGCGCCATATACCCGTCGCCCTCGAAGCGGACGAGGAGTTGCAATCCACCGAAGCGGTAGCGCATCACGCGCTGGTGAGACATGGAGCCCTTGACGTCCTGGTCCCAGGTAGTGTAGTGCTCGGGGAAAGAGTGGCCGAATCCATGGATGTTGGGGATCAGCTCCGTGGGCGAGTTCTCCCTGCGCACGAGGAAGACAGTATCGCCGACCGCCTCCACCAGCATGCGGAATGGCTTGTCATTACCGCTTACGAACCGGAGCAGGCTGCCCAGAGTGCTGCCGCAAGCGACCATGTCGGGCCGGTTGTCCCCGGAGGGCAGCGAAGGGTCCATCTCGAGCGCGGCCACGATGGCTGGCTCGATGGGGTGCCGAGGGAATCGTCCCGAGTTCTCATCGCGGAAGGCCTTGCGCGTGCTGAGAGATTTCCTGCTGCCCATCTTTCCATGGTCGTCAGGAATTTCCCTCGGCTCGGACAGAGGAGTCCAGCGGGGTGGACGGCCTGTCGAGTTGGTAGCATCCGACGCATCAGCTAAGCTAGCCCCTGCCCCCCCTCGCCGAAGAGACAGAATCTCAACATCTTACCAGGAACCACAATCGTGGGCTTCTTGCCGTTGCGCCAGTTGAAGGACGCCACAAGGACCCCGTTGGTGATCTTGGCGTTGTTTTTGTCCGCAGAGTTTGGTGTCATGTCGCTCACGAGGTCGCTCGCGTTCAGCCGCTCGATCAGCTCACCCAGCGGCGGCGGCGCAGTGGGCTCGACGACCTGAGGTTGTCGCCAGCCACCACGGCCTCTGTAGGAAGTGAACGAGCTCCAATCAGAGTCCCGGGATGACCGCGATCCCCTTCCCCCTTGACTACTAGAATACATGGCTGCGTCGTCTGTTTGGGATTTCCGATGCTGTTCCAAGTGGCTCAAAGCCGACAATGAGATGAGAAAGAATGTGTGGTGGGAGGGCGATGGTCTAGGTGGCGGAGCCAAAATGCGTTTGCAAAGGAATGGACCATACCCATGTCTTTAAAGACGACGGGCAGATCTTCTACCTTCGTGTTGCCCGTCTTCCTTCGGATTCTACGCAGATGTGCAACCACTATCCGTCCCTCGTTGCCTCATGGGCCAGCTAGAGGTTACCATGTCTGGTTTCCGTTATGGCAACCTGCAGCGAGGCTGGTCGTGATTCGCTGGCCGGCTGAGCAGAGGCCATGCAATCACGAGTGGTGGGCCTCCTGCAGCCTTGCCGAGGGGCAATTGGCCGCCATTGCGGTCGCACCAAGCCTGAAGTCTGCCCTTCTTTGTTGCATGCGCGGGGGGCAACGATGCCATGTGCGGGAGGCCCTCAGCGGAGAAACCAACAAATGCGAGGCCGCAGGAGCTTGGGCCGAAGTCCGCATCACCCCTCAGTCACATATTCTCTTTGCTTCTAGCATCACCCGTCCCCTCCTTAACAACACTAGATACCCCCAGATCCTCTCCAGCTGTCTTGCCACCTAGGTTGTCTCCCCATCCGACCGTTGGACTTTGGAGCACACGCACTTCTGCCTGTCCTCCTGCTTGGCGCCTCGGCCTATCTGGTAGCTACCTAGGTACTTGGGTTCCTGCCTATTCAGGTTCCTACTACTTGGGTCGTACCTGACTACATCACTACACCAACCTACATACCTACCTAGGTAGGGACCTACACCTACCCACCTACCTCGGCATCTAGCCCTGTCATATCCCTACACCCCACCTTCACACCCAAGCAACGATTTCCACATCACCAAATAAGCCTCAGCCAAAAGGACAACAGCACCCGCACCAACATCCTAGGACGGGCAGCTTACTGTCGCCACCATGACATCCGGCCCGAAGGATCAAGCCACGCGTGCGCGAAGGCTCTACGCACGCTTCAAGAGCGTCCTGGAGGGTAAAAACAAGATCCTGAGCGACGGGGATGCGGCACTGTTTCTCGAGGCAGTCTTGGCACAGGAATCACCAAGTCGATGTGTCGAGTCACTGGTTGCCAGTGCACACGGCCTGGACGCCGTGCGAAGCTCTGTTCGCACCGATTTCTCCATCGCCTTCCTTCAGACTTCGACCTTGAAGCTCCTGATTTTTCTGTCTGACCCATCTATCCGAGCGCTTTCGAGTGGCCTGTTCCTCTGGCGTGTCCTGGAGGCCATCCTCACTCCCGAAACCGTGTGGAGGGAGCTGATAGGCGCCTTTCTCGGCAACAAGCTCGAGGAGCAAGACCTCCTTCCTCTGGCCTGGCTTGTCCATGAGGTCGTTGATTCATCTCGAGGCTTTGGTTTCGACTTCATGCCGGATGTGAAGCTCGTTCTGAACCATGGCGGACTAAAGAAGTCCAATTCTCACGAGACCCGCACCCTAGCCTGCATGATCCAGAAGGTCGTCCTTCTGAAGTCGCAGCCAGCCTCGAGTGGGAAGCCTGCCGAGCACAGCCCAGGAGGGCGCCACGACAACGACTCCGCCAATTTCCGTGAGATCTCGGTGTATCCAACCAGGGACGAGTTCCTTTCGACCCGGCGGCCATTCTACCGCACGCTCGACGAGGTATTCGAGCAAGAGGCTGGGACCACCCCCGAGGCTCGAGCCGCCGTCCACCTCGATAACCAGTTCCGTCTCCTCAGGGAGGACATGTTGGCAGAGCTGCGCAACGACTTGCAGGTTTCTGTCGGCAGACGGAAGGGAAAGCGGCGCGCTCAGGTGTTGAGTCAACTTTCTCCCGACGATATCGACTATGGTGACTCGCAGAGAGGCAGGAAGTGCGCAATAGTCGTCAAATGCTTCGCCGGCCTGGATGATCTCCAAAAGCAGAAACCAGAGAAGCGGCAGAGGTTCCTCAAAGACCACCCAAACTACGTCAAGCACCAAGCCTTTGGTGCGCTCTCCTTGGGCAACGAGGTCTGTGGGTTCGCCTTCGTCCATAGAGACGAGGGTATGTTGCTCCTCAACCCACCAAAGGTCTGCCTTCAGTTCGCCGACAGAAAATCGCTGCATGGGGCGCTTGTGGCACTGAAGGGGTCGCCTGCCAACGCCAAGTTCACCCTAGTGGATACCCCCGTCTTCGCATATGAGCCAGTCTTGAAGGTCTTGCAGACCATGACCACGCTGCCTCTTGCTGAGTATCTGATGAGTCCCGCGGCAGCCGAAGAGGAAGTCTTCCAGATGGAGCCCGGCATTGCCCGATTTGTCTCTCGGCTTCGGTCGACAATTATGAAAGACGGAGAAGAGGGCGTCATGCTCGATGACAAAACTCATATTGATCTCTCGCAGCGCGACTCACTTCAAAACGCATTGTCCCAGTCAGTCAGCATGATCCAAGGACCTCCTGGTAAGTCCCCAAGCCTTGTTCCTTGCATGGCAACCTCTAACTGTCTACAGGCACTGGCAAGACCTTCATCGGCTGCAGGGCCATGAAAGCCATGTACCAGCATTCCAACCTGCGCATCTTGGTAATCACCTACACCAACCATGCCTTGGATGATTCCCTCTCGGGCTTCAAGAATGTCGGCATCCCCGAGAGTGCCATGGTTCGCCTTGGGTCCAAATCCACGGCCGAGACGGAATCCATGCTCCTGTCCAAGCAGAACAATAGGATCCCGTTTCACAAGAATGGCGTGGGGGGTCTTATCGGCCCCCTCAAGAGCGAGCGGCGAGACTTGGCTGAAGACCTTGACAGGGCGTTCGAACATTACAACAAATACGTCCCCTCATTCGCAGCCGTCCTAGAGTATCTCGAGTTTGAGGACGATTGTGCTGCTTTTCACCGAGCTTTCACTATCCCTTCTGAAACTCAGGGATGGAAGCGCGTCGGCGGGAAGGGCAAGACGGTGGGCCCTGATTACCTGTACAGTCGCTGGGGGAATGGGGAGAACCCTGGCATCTTCACCAAGCAAGTGCCCAAGGAGTGCGAGTTCGTGTGGGACATGACCCGCCAGCAACGCCAGGAGCACCGGGCGAGGTGGATTGAAACCATGATCCTCGAACGCGTCGACGAGGTGACGGACTTTGTGGTGAAGATGGACGACAAGCAGGAACAGCTCGAGAACATTTTCAGCGAGGGCAAGGTTGCGACGTTGCGGTCCAAGAGGATAATCTGCTGCACAACCACGGCAGCCGCGATGAACGTGAAGCTCCTCCGGTTGGCTGAGCCTGATGTGCTCCTCGTCGAGGAGGCCGGCGAGATCCTTGAGAGCCACACCCTCACCGCTCTGGCACCTTCAGTCAAGCAGCTGATCTCAATTGGGGACCACAAGCAGCTTCGGCCCAAGGTCAAGAACTACGCCCTGACCGTCGAGAAGGGCGATGGCTACGACCTCAACATGTCGCTGTTTGAGCGGCTCGTCAAAAATGGCTTCAAGCACACCACGCTCCGGAAGCAGCACAGGATGCATCCCGAGATATCGATATTCCCCAGGGACCTCACATACCCTGATCTGCGCGACGGGCCCCAAACCCACATGCGCAAAGCTATCGAGGGATTGCGTGATCGTGTCATATTCATCAATCACGAGCATCGGGAAACCAACGACAACCAACTCATGGACAGGATGGACCCTGGCATTTCGGGGAGTCGGAGCAATCAGTTCGAGGCGCTTCACATCCTTAGGATCGTCCGGTATCTTGCCCAACAGGGCTACGGCACGGACAAGATGGTGGTTCTGGCTGCCTATCTTGGCCAGGTTCGGCTGCTGAGGGACACGCTGGCGAAGGAAAACGATCCTATCCTCAACGACCTCGACGCCTCGGATCTGATACGTGCTGGTCTCATGACCCAGGCAGCCTCGAAGGTGCACAAGAGGCCTCTTAGAATCTCGACCATTGGTGAGTTTTCCGGCGGTCTTTGTTGTTTATCGAGCCCCGCCTTCCTTGTGCCTTGCTGACTGGAGACCCGAAACAGACAACTACCAGGGCGAGGAGAGCGACATTGTGATCGCATCACTCACACGCAGCAATGCAGACGGGGATATTGGCTTCATGTACGCGCCGGAGAGAGTCAACGTCCTGCTCACTCGCGCCAGGTGCTGTCTGATACTCCTGGGGAACATGGAAACCTTCATGAAAAGCAAGAAGGGAAGCGCAACCTGGGTCCGCGTCTTCGAGCTGCTCAAGGAGAACAAGCATCTTTACGACGGCCTGCCGGTGCAGTGCACCCGCCATCCTAACGCGACAGCCGAGCTTCGGTGTCCGGAAGATTTTGACAAGTTCTGTCCGGATGGTGGGTGCTCGGAGCCCTGCAAGGAGATGGTGAAATGTGGCATCCATCCCTGCCAGATGCACTGCCATCGACTCACAGACCACTCCCAGACCGAGTGCACGATCAAGGTCTCCAAGGTTTGTGAGCGAAATCACAAGCGCGATGTCGTGTGCACCAAGAGGAACGAGCGCTGCGACAAGTGCATCGCAGAGGACAAGGAAACAGAGCGGAGGATCAAGAGGGATCTGGAAATCGAACGCCAGCGGCTGGAGCGTCAAGACCAGTACCGCAGGGAGCTCGAGGCTATCCAGGACGACCTGGATAGAGAGAAGAGGCTTATGAAGGACATGGAGGATGAGGAGAAGGAGAAGGAGACTCTGGCACGCGAGAGAGAGAAGCTCCAGAACCTCAAAGATGGGAACGTGCGCAAGAAGGAGCGGCGTGCGGCGCAGGAGGCGAAATCTTCCGGGGCGGCTGGGGAGCAGGCGGCTGGCGTTGGGGCGGCGTCGAGCCCCGGGGAGGCCAATGATACGACTCAATTTCCCAGCGAGGTTCGCAAGCGGTGGGAGGAGCTTAAGGAGTTTGAGGGTGCACGGAGCGCTCCGCTCGACGAGCTTATGGGCATGATAGGTCTCGAGCAGGTCAAGGACTCCTTCCTTGGTATCAAGACCACGGTCGACACTAGGATACGGCAGGACGTGTCTGTCGAGGAGCAGCGATACGGAGCGGCGCTCCTCGGCAATCCCGGCACAGGAAAGACGACTGTTGCGCGCATCTACGCAAAGTTTCTCACTTCGGTCGGAGCGATCGGGGGCTCGTCCTTCGAGGAGACGACCGGGGCCAAGCTTGCCTACGACGGTGTACAGGGCTGCGAGGCGCTGATCGACAAGATGCTCAACGACGGAGGCGGCGTCGTCTTCATTGACGAGGCCTACCAGCTGACCTCGGGCAACAACCCCGGGGGCGGTGCTGTGCTCGACTACCTGCTCGCCAAGGTTGAGAACCTAACGGGTAAGATTGTGTTTGTGCTCGCCGGGTACAACAAGCAGATGGAGAGCTTCTTCGCGCACAACCCCGGCCTGCCCAGCCGCTTCCCCATCGAAATGAAGTTTGCCGACTACAGCGACGAGGAGCTGCTCCACATCCTCGGCCTCAAGATCAAAAAGGCCTACAAGGGGCAGATGAAGTGCGAGGATGGGCCCACTGGGCTGTTTTGTCGCATCGTGACGAGACGCATCGGTCGCGGCCGTGGCAAGGAGGGATTCGGCAACGCCAGGACGGTCGAAAACACGCTCGCCATTATCAGCCAGCGCCAGTCGATCAGGCTAGCGAGGGAGCGCCGTCAAAACGCCAATCCGGACGACTTCTTGTTCACCAAGGAGGACATTATCGGCCCCAAGCCTTCCGAGGCCCTGGGCAAGTCGACGGGCTGGCAAGAGCTGCAAAAGCTGTTCGGACTGCAGTCGGTCAAGCAGTCGGTCAAGTCGCTCGTCAGCACCATTGAGCAGAACTACGAGCGCGAGCTTGCTGAGCAGAGCCCGGTTGAGTTCTCCTTGAACAAGGTGTTTGTCGGCAACCCCGGCACCGGCAAGACCACGGTTGCGACTCACTACGGACGGATTCTGGTCGACCTTGGCCTTTTGTCCAAGGGAGAAGGTAAGAATGGAGAACATGTTTTTCGTCCTTTTCTTTTGCAACTGCCTGTACGGTACTAACACGGACGACCAGTCATGATCAAGAACCCATCCGACTTTGTCGGGGCCGCCCTCGGCGAGTCAGAGAAAAAAACCAAGGGCATTCTCGCTTCCGCAGTTGGAAAGGTCCTCGTGATTGACGAGGCCTACGGGCTGTACGGAGGCCAAGGGGTCGCCGATCCGTACAAGACGGGTGTCATTGACACCATCGTGGCCGAGGTGCAGAGCGTGCCGGGAGATGACCGATGCGTGCTCCTGCTCGGCTACCGAGACCAGATGGAGGACATGTTCCATAATGTGAACCCTGGCCTGAGCCGACGCTTCCCCATGAGCACCGCATTCACTTTCGAGGACTTTGGCGACGACGACCTGCGGCAGATCCTCGACCTCAAGCTCAAGAAGCAGTCCTTCGAGGCGACCGATCAGGCCAAGAGGGTGGCCATGGAGATGCTCAATCGCGCCCGCAACCGGCCCAACTTTGGAAATGCGGGAGAGATAGACATCATCCTCGACGCCACAAAGTCCCGGCACCAGACGCGGTTCGACCGTGGCGAGAAGACTTCAGTGACAATGCTGGAGGCGCTTGACTTTGATCCCGACTTTGACCGTGCCGCACGCTCCGACACCAACGTCAGGAAGCTCTTTGAGAGCACCGTCGGCGCCGAGGACACGGTGGCCAAGCTGGAGGGCTACCAGCAGACGGTCCGCACCATGAAGGCCCTGGGTCTGGACCCCAAAGAGAACGTTCCATTCAACTTCCTCTTCCGCGGACCCCCCGGGACCGGCAAGACCACGACAGCCAAGAAAATGGGAAAGGTGTTTTACGACATGGGCTTCCTTGCGAGCGCCGAGGTTGTCGAGTGCTCGGCGTCGGACCTTATCGGCCAATACGTAGGCCAGACGGGGCCCAAGGTGCTAAAGCAGCTCGACAAGGCGCTCGGGAAGGTCCTGTTCGTCGACGAGGCGTACCGGCTCGCCGAGGGCCATTTCGCCAAGGAGGCCATGGACGAGCTCGTCGACTCTGCGACCAAAGATAAGTACATGAAGAAGCTGGTCATCATCCTGGCGGGCTACACGGACGACATCAACCGCCTCATGTCAGCCAACGCGGGCCTCACCTCGCGCTTCCCCGAGGTCATCGACTTCCGCAGTCTCGACCCTCTCGAGTGCGCCAACCTGCTCGTGAAGCTCCTCGCCGCCGAGAAGGCCAAAGTGGCGCGGCGCAACAGCGAGGTGGCGATTGACATTTCGGTGCTCGAGCAGCCAAGACCCGACTTTACCAACCGGGTCTGCGGGCTGTTCTTGGACCTCGCCGGCCAGCCGAACTGGGGCAGCGCGCGAGACGTCCAGACAATAGCCAGGAAGGTTTTCAATATCACCATGCACAACATGGACGGCCTCAACCTCGTGGTCAAGGAGGAAACCATCATCGCAGAGCTCGAGAGCCTGCGCGGGGAACGGGCGGAGCGCGCCAAGGCCGTCGACGCCGGTGGCATCGAGGCAGCCCTTGCGAACCTTGGCATCGGCCCAGGCTCGCCGCCGCCGCCGCCGCCACCCGCGCCCATGGCCCCCGGCGTCACGACCAAAACGGCCACGGCGACCACGACGACCGCCAGGCCGGCCTCGCCCGAGGCCGCGCCTCCGCCTCCACCGCCGCCGGCGGTAGATGCCGAGGAGAAGGCGGCGGCGGCTACCCGCGACGCGGGCGTCAGCGACGTAGTGTGGGAGCAGCTAGAGCGGGACAAGAAGGCGGCGCGCGACCGCCAGGCCGTGTACGACAGCCTCGTTAAGGAGGCCTCAGACGCCGAGACGCGGGCCTACGAGCAGCGGCGCGAGGCGGTGGCGCGGCAGATGGTCGGCGAGGACGACGAGCGGCGCGCCGCCGCCGAGGCCCTGGCGCGGCGGCTCGAGGAGGAGCGTCAGGCGCTCGTGCGGCGGGTGCTCAAGGAGGAGGAGGAGAGGCGCAACGAGGCCGCGGTGCAGCGTCGGCTGCAGAGGATCGGCATCTGCCCCGCCGGGTTCCAGTGGATCAAGCAGCAGGGCGGCTACAGGTGCTCAGCCGGGGGGCACTTTGTGACCGACGGCGAGCTTGAGCGCGAAACCCTGAACGAGGCTTTCTTTTGAGCGTAGGGGGCGAGTGATGGTGGTATGTAGGCAATCCGGGGGTGTCTCTCTCTCTTGTTGTCTATCATGCTGCTTGCTTGGAGTCAGGAGTCGCCGTAAAGGGAAAGTCTAGTCATGGACAGGTGAGGTTTTGTCAGTTGCGGCCTTTTTATTGAGAATCTAGAGTTGGCTGAAGTGAATCACTTTCAGAAATGAGGTTTTTGGTCCTAGCCTCTGGCTTAGCACGCGCACACGGTCCGGATCCAACAAAGGAACGTGATGTCCGCCGCTCCCTAGTGCACGGGACTAGCACTTGGGTGATCTGGGTCAGGTATTTACAGGCATGGCCTGCTTCACCTCGCTCAGGTAGATCCGCTCTCCCTCTTCACAATAAATCTCTATTCCATATTCGAGACGATCGTCGTTCCTCTCGCAGGATATCTCCCAGCTTAGGGATACGTGCACCAAGCCCCTACCGTCGGCCTCAGCTACCGTGGTCAGAGCCCAGCCACCAGTGTCGACGGAATGCCCAACCCCTTGCCGAGAGGGGCATTTCAACCGCCAGGCCGCCTAGCAGCACCCTTCCCAATTTTGGTCTGCAGAGTCCCAAGCGTCGTGTGTTTTGGAACGACGTGGGACTAAGCTTGAAAACACGTCGTGATGCGGGCGCCATGGCCTCTACATCGTCTAGATGGCAAACCTATGCTTTCGGGCAAGCACGGGAGCCATTGAGCTTAAATGCGGAGAGGGATGTAGGCCTGGTCGGGTAGAGGGGAAAATATGCTCCAAGCGCCATGGCAAGGATTTCAGGTGAGGTTGTTAAGACGGCGACCAATATAAGACCAGATTCGGATGCTTGAGAAGTTTAATTCGCCGAGGGAAGCCCCCTTTGTTATAGACACCAAACCAGGGGTGGTAAAGAGGTAGAGGTTGTGGTTGAATTGCATGGCCTCCACGGAGATGTGATGGTGGTTTCATGTTTCCAGGTCGAAAAACAAACCTGCCAAGGAGCGGCTTTTAGCAAGGTAGCGAGCGTCGACGCGGTTTCTGGCAAAAGGCTTTCGTCAGATACGTCTGCTTGCACGCCTCGCCAGTACCCACCATTCTTGGAGCCTCAAACGTCCCATTGTAGACCGCCTCGTCGCCCGAGTATGCACCGATCTATGGTGTTTAGAGATTACGGACACGAGAATGTCCAGACAGTGTCCGAGTGATAGGGATTGGGAACACGTTCTGCTCTGACGGGAGATACAAACCCGATATGGAGTTATTTCCGGGCGATGGGTAAAAGTATGGGGAAGCATGGCATGCGTCTTGTCCTCAGACGACGACCGTGTCTCCGGAACAGGTCAAGATAAGGTTATGGAAGTGCGAGCATGGGACGCCCCTGGATCGGCACGAACCCCTTTTCTAGCGAGGGTAGATGCCATTAGACGAGATTCCTAGCTTACCTCTGCACGGCACACGCCATCGCTTGGCATCACCCATGCCCGTCCCCGACATGACGGGTCAGTCCAGACAGCGAGCTTAATGGCGTTATCCGAGGGTATTGCTTAGAACGCTCAAGCACCTGCAGGCTGGACGCTATCCAACCTAGGACCGCATTGGCTGCAGCATGTGCTCCCTATCGCAGGCAGGGTCTGGGCTTTGGCGCTCGTCCTTGGTCACTTTGACATGCCGGGTTGGGATGGGCAGGAGTTGTTGCTGTGTCGTGTTCGGCTGTTTGCGCGTGCTCGCCGGCGATGGCAATATTGAGCTGTTCTTGCTGTTACGGCTTGTGAGGGAGCCTGACCGTCCTCGCAACCTTGGCCGCTAGCGTATCGCCGCAATGTGATGCCCTCCACTCCAATCTCTCGACCACGGGATGATGGAAGCGCCACCATCCAGACCCCGATCACTGCGTGTTTTATATAAAGCCACGTCCGGTCAACTGGCTCTGGGGGCGCGTATTAGATGTTGTCACAAAATAGACAGTATATACTGTCATGAGGAAGCCTTAGGCATAGATATCAGATGCCTGAGGCATCGGAAGAGCGGTCCCCCTGCCTGGAAGCGTGTGACGCTTCCAGGCGTCAGGAGGGAAGCTTAGTAAGCAAGGAGGACAGGGAGTCACGTGTATATAAAGGGCAGAGGCCCCTACGGGACCCTGCACTTCAGATCCTTTCCTCCTTAGAGCATATCAACCGGAATAGCCTCACACCGTGCCTATCCCTTCTGCCTGCAACAGATGTGATATGATATAATATGATGATGAGAAGGTAGCGACCAAACTGGGCGGAATCCATGCTCCTTGTGCGTTTGTGAAGTCTGCGCCGACCGTCCCTTCTCGTGATTTATGAGTGGCGATGCGCCCCATATATACTTCAGACACGTAAATACGAGACGGTAGTGGCCGAGTTGCCCAATCCAGCCTTGTAGACCTCATAGCATCACGCGTTTTTAGAAAAGATTGATGGGTGAGGTTCTCGGGGATTCTACTGCGCTCTGGCGGGTATCTCTGCGACCGAGATTTCCATTGACTTCCGTGCCTGCCATCTGCCATCCCTCTCGTGCGCTCGACATGGTTGCTTTGTACACGACATGGTTCTTTGCCTACCTTAGTAGTCAATAGGAGTCTTTTTGCATTGCATGACCATATAAAATGTCATCTCTCCTTTCCAGCTATCGCATCGTGCAGGGCGCCATGGTCACTGCGGTGGCCTGACATCACTGGCAGCAAGTGGTTTTCTTCACGGCGGCGTATCAACTGTGTAACTCGAGGCTTGGTCACGGCGGCCGCTGCTCTCCGGTGGTCTCTTTCGTATAAAGTCTTTCCGCGATTCCTGTGCTGCTCTTCCTCGAGTAACCAGACCAAGCACCGTCGCAATCAAGCCTGGACAACACCTAGCAGCACTGCAGCGCCCCTACACAGCCCAGGCTTTGCCCGCACCGCAACAGCCCCACTCGCGCCGTCTGTATGGCTTTTTTCAAAAAGTGCGGCCTCAAAGGAAACAAGGGCAAGTCCCCCTCCTCCTCCCCTTTGGAATCCCAAAAAAAATCAGAGAAAGAGAAAAGAAGCCATATCCGTTTTCCCATCTAACAAGCTGCTCCTACAGTTCTCCGGGACTTTGTGTGGTGGGGAACCATCATTGGAGTGGTGGTTCTTACAGGTGCGTGTGCTGCGAATCCAGGCCCCGAGCGCGGGTGGTGGGCTCAAAACTGACCTGATGGGCCAACCCGGCGCAGTTCTATGTCTTGTCGGCTGCACTTCTGCCGCCCCGGGCGTTCCTGAGCTATCCCTCCTGACCGTTCACGGTCCGGAGCTTAGCGGCATCGAGCATGTCGACATTGGGCTTTATGGTAAGGACAGAACTTCCTTTTTTTTTGATATGAATCTCTCAACTGACCAAACCACCTTCCCCCAACAGGTCTCTGCATCAGGACCTCTCACAGCCTCGACTGCCGCCCCACGGCCGGCTACGACATCGGCGCCCTCGTCGATTCGTTCCACCCGCCGCCCAACGGCACCATCTCGCCGAACCTCTACCTCCTCCTCGAGACGTCGCTGCGCCTGCAGTCCAGGGTCCTGGTCAGCCCGCTCCCGGGCGCCGGCGTGGCCTTCAGCCTGGCCCTCGTGTTCTGGTACCTCAAGCGGCGCGCGGACCCGGAGGACGGCGGCGGCAAGGCGCTCCCGCGCTGGTCGGGCCGGCTGTTCTGGCTCCTGGCGGCCATCTCCTTCACGCTCGCGCTGGGCGCCGCGCTCTGCACCACCGTCGTCGTCGGCGCCGCCGTCTTCGTGTCCGGGCTCGCGCCGCCCGACAGCCCGCTGCTCGTCGACGCCTACGCGAGGCACGTCGTCGCGCTCGAGTGGGTCGTCGTCTGCCTCGTGCTCTTCTTCATGCTGCTCGCCAAGGAGCGGTGCGGTAAGTCCGAGGCCGACGCGGCCCCCGTCCTGCCCATCACCGAGAAGAAGAAGAAGAGGAAGAAGAACGGGGAGGGGGCGGTCAAGCCTGACCCGAGTGACTCGAGCACGGTCTGCGGCGGCTCCAGCTCCGACGGGACGTTGACCGGGCCGTTTGGCCGCCCTCCCGCGTTCCCAGGGCACAAGTCTGATATGGCCAAGCAGGTTCAGCCCCCGTCGAAGATGCAGCCGCCGCCCCGGCCCCCGGGAAGGACGCCAGCCTCCACGTTGGGTGGGCCCTTCGCAACTTATTGTAACGCTCCTGGCGACCCGGCGCCCGGCGCTCCGTTACAGCGGCCTGCGATGGCAGTAGCGCTCACTCGCCAGCCGACGCCGGGACACGTGAGCGAGGCCGAGAGCACTTCTTCGTCGGCTTCCTCCCAAGCGCCATCCCAGTCGGTCGCCCGTCCCGCCGACCCCGGTCGAAAGGGGAAAGTACGGCGGTTCAATAAGCGACTAGCCGATCAGCCGGCTCCCCGCCTGCCACACGCCCTTCAGCAAATCCCACAGGGCTCTTTCCCGGCTCGTCCGCGGCCATCCTATCAGGCAGACGCACGAACCGCCAGCTCGATTCCATCTTCACGCCCAAGATCTATCCAGACAACCCCGCCACCCTCTGTCCGGTCTCAAGGCGCAGCAACCGGAACGTCGCAAACGCCGCCGCCGAGCGAGGACGAGGTGCGGGCGTGGCGCGAGCATCTGGAAGCCAGAGAACATCAGCAAGACGAACAGGTACTGCTGATCGAGGAAGCCCAGGCCCGGCTGGACCAACGAGCGCAGGCGACTAAACGGGCCCGGCATGATCTGCGGGCCCAAGAATGGCGGGTCCGCGAGGAAAGGCTGGCGATCCAGGCCGAGCGAGACGAAGACGAGAGAGCCCGGCAAGCCCGGCAAGCCCAGGCCGAGAAAGACCGGTCCCGGGCGGCCCGGGCCCAGCGAAGCCAGGACAAGATGCAGGCAGCCAGGGCCACCCTCGACTCGGCGCTGTTTTCCCGCCAGTTGAGCCGCCGCAGCCAGCAGGCGGCCCAAGCCGCCGCACCCACCGCTCCGCATCCAGTTCCGGGTCTTCTCGTAACCGAACCGACATTCCACCAGGCCGAGAGCGACCCGGACCCCCGGGGGCGCGCGGCCCGCCCGTGGGACGACAAGACGCCGGAGCGGTCCATGTCCGTGCAGCCCGGCAGCAGGGGGGCCGACGACGTGCTGCAGCGGACGCAGTCCATGTCTTCGGGCAGGAAGGTGAAGATCGATCCAACGCTGCGCCCCAGAAGCAAATTGTCCGAGTAATGAACACGCCGCACGAGGCGGCCGAGCCAAGACTACGTGTCGGCGAGGCGGGGGCCCAGACCTCCCGGGTAGACGAGAGACAGAGTGCGCTCAATTTTTCCGTGATTTTTGGCGGTGCTTATGTGCTCATATTTACATCTTAGTGTCCGTTAGCTTCTAGAAACCGTTTTCCGACCATTCCAGAAACACATCTACATGCTCCCCTCGTGCAACCTAAAGCGTAGAAGACCCGCCGCCACCCAGTGTCATGCTCCGCCCCGTAGGATTTGATATAAAATATGTCTCAGTAGCGCGCGTAAGGGCATGATGAAGTGAAATCGCAAACGCCCCCAATGCTGGAACAGAGAAATGGTATAATTACAAGAGAAAAGCTCCCATTTTGATTCCCACCCAGGTGTACCGCCGTATGCAAAAAGAGGCCGAGTTCAATCAAGAGAAAAAGTAGTCACTGCCCTTGAGTCGGTTGACGTCAAAGTTTCCCTAAAAGGCGATCCACGTTAGCAGCTGAACTTCGGCGCCAGTCTTTTTGGAGAGCAGGGAGGATTTGTACCTTCTTGGGGAGCGGGGGGAATGTCAGGGGCATCCAGAGGATGGTCTCTTTCGCACTGTCAGACCTCTTCTTCTCGGGGAAGTTCTGAGGGTGCATTGCAACGTCAAATCCACTGGTTCCCAGGAGCGCCTGTATGCGCCCCATCCCATCTTCCACCGTGTCGCCGCCGGCCTCGACGTGGGTCCCCTCGGTGGGCCCCTCTTCGGTAGAGTCGCCGACATCGCTCTCGGGGTCGGCAACAGAGGCCTTCTCGGAGTCCTTCTGAGCCTTGAGCATGTCCTTCTCCATCTGGGCATGCTCGGCCTCGGGGACCTTGCCTAGCGAGAACTGCTCGACATCCTCCTTCTCCGTCACCTCTTCGACGGCCGTCTCCGCCTCCAAGATGGAGCTCGGCGTCTCCATGGCCAAGCCCTTGGCCACCTCGGCCGGATCTTCTGATCTCAGAAGCTCTTGTCGCTTCTTTTCAAGCATGAGCTCCTCCACGAGGCTAAAGCCCGTCTTTTTCCGCCACGACCAAATCTGGGGAGTCCCCGGGGATCCGAACTTGATCTTGGCCATGTAGACGGACCCGGCATAGCGGGTCTCGAACTCGGCAGCCAGGCGGGCAATGACGTCCTCCGTGTGGATGCGGACAAAGGCGTCGCGCAGGACGCGGCTCATGCGCCCGACGTCGGTGGCGTGCGTCCAGAACGAGTCGTGCACGGCGGCAAACGTCAAGCCCATCTCGCCACACTCGAGAGCCGACAGCATCATGTGGCTGGCGTCGAGCGAGTGGATGAAGTTGGGCGGGAAGGCCTGGAGCTGCTTCCGACGGTTTACCGGGTCCGAGGCCTCGGGCGTCTTGAGCGCCAACGTCTGCAGGCACGTGCTGATCAAACGCACGCCCGTGTGCCTGTACGGCTGCACTACGGGCATGCGCAGCGGCGTGGTCCAGACGATGGTCGAGCGGAAGTGGCTGAGAAGATCATCCGTGGTAGGCGCCTTCTTCTTCTTTCCCTTGGCCGTTGCATCTCCCTTGGCTGCTTTATCTCCTTTTGCCGTTTTGACCCCCTTTGCCGCCTTTGTCTTGGACCTGCCGTCACCTGTCATAAGCTGCTCCTCGGGAAACTGAGCCGCCAGCTGCTTCAACTGCTCCGGGGTTATGGCGCGGCACACACGGCCGCCGATCTCGCCGAGCCATGTCTGGATCTCGTGTGCGCCGCTGAACATCTGCGAGAGTGCGGAAAAGATCTTCATGGCGATGTAAGACGACAGGACAACCGGTTCCACGCCCGCCTGCTCGGCGAGGTCGGGGTAGAGGGCGTCGAGCTGCTTCTGGACCTGCTTCTTGGCTCCAGCGAAGGTGACGCCGTAGACGTTTGTCATGACGGTCTGCTTGACCACCTTGCGCTTGATTTTTCCATTGAGCGCCTTTGCCATGAAGTTGCCCGCCTCGGCGTCCCTTGCCAAGTCCTCGCTGACCAAGTCTGCCACAGCCGAATAGACGTCTGCCGGCCGCTCTCCCGGCTCCAGGTTGACCTGGCGCGCGCCCCACTCGTCACCGCCAAGAGCCGCGTAGTGCTGGAGCCCGTTGCACGTGCCATCCTGGTGGACCGGTAGATGCGAGATAAACTTGGTCGCGTCGGGAGACTCGAACGCGGCCTTGAGCTCGTAACAGGTGGCTAGGCACTGCCAGGGGTCTTCGCCCTTCAGCCACCACCGCCGGCCCGTCAGCGGGTTGGTTGCCGAGTCCATAATGTTTTCGAGGTTCTCCATGGCGAACTTTTCCCGCTCCCGTAAGCTCGCCTTGTCGAAACCGAACACGTTGGCGAGGTGGACCTTGAGCCACCTGAAGCCTTCCTCTCCAAGCTCCTTGCCCTTGGCGAAGAGCATAAGGCCGCGCACATGGTCGGCTCCCATGTGGTTGAAGTAGGTCGGCAGGGGGTAGGCTCTGCCCCGAAAGTCGACGTTGTGCGGGAAATAAATGGTCTGGTCTCTGACGGCTCTGGCAATCTCGAGCTGAAAGTTCATGAAGCAACGCACGCCGTGTAGCGAGGACTTGAGGTTTTCGGCCATCTTGACCGCGTTGAGCCACTTCCGCCGCGCAACGGGGTCTTCGGTCGCAACGGGCTCCTCAGGCACCGGGATCTTGGGATCGAGAGGAGGGATGTTGGCCAGGGCCTCGCCCGAGTTCCACACGTCCAGCATCACCCCGAACACGTTTTTGTTGATCTTCCAGGCCGTCTTACCGAGAGAGTCAAGCCCCTTCATGATCTGCTCCATGTGGCCGTTTTCAATGGCGGCCTCGGCGTAAATCTTTTGATCCCTTTCGCCCGGCTTGACCCGGACCATTTGAGCCGGGCTCTCGATAAAGCCCCCCCTGTCGAACCGGGTCCAGGGCTCGGGCTCACACACCATGGGGAGATGGCGTGCAAGGAAGTCAGCCCGGGGCTCCCTCTTCAGCATCTCCACGAGGGTCTTGTTGACGACAAGCACTCCGACCTTTTTTCCCCTCTTGTACTGCTGATTATGAACAAAGGCGGGCTGAGACTCGGAGACAAGCGAGCCCGTCTCCGGATGCTCCTTGACCACTGTGATGGTCGCTGTCTGGATGATGGCCTGGAGCAGCGCAGCCCCCACCTGGTACTTGATCCCAACAGGCCAACGCTCCGCGGAAGGGTCTTGAGAGTAAAGAGCTTCGACCCGCGCCGTGGGCTCCCCTACGGACTCATTCCAGTCTCCGTCCTGCAACTCTGGCGAGATGTCCGGACGAGCCATGTACTCTGGTTCTGGCTGCTCCCGCCCCCGCTGCTGGGGCTGCTGCTGCTGCTGGGGCTGCAACTCTTGCTGTGGCTCTCCCTGCAACTCTTCTTTGGGCTCGGCTTTTGATTGCGACGCTTTGAGTTTGGCGGCCTTTGTGAATGCCTTCCGTTTCTTGGCCTCAGCCTCGTCGCGACGCTGGGTCCTGACGTCCTCCTCGGCCGCTGAGCCCAGGGTCTTGACCAGGCTGTACAGCGGGACGCCAACGTCGACACCGTTGCCCGAGACGCCGGACAGTACGGCGAGGATGGTCAGGGCCGCAAGACGAGACGGTGTGGAGAGCTGCAGGAACGGGCCATAGACGGCACGCTCCGCATTCTCGCCGCGCACCTTTTCGCCCAAGCCAGCCTTGTCCAGCGCGTCGAACTCGGTGAACTCGAGCTTGAGGCGGGCCTCGAGCGCGCGCTGCCAGTCGTACAGGCGCGAGTTCAGAGAGGCGCTTGAGATGGATGTGCTCAAGCCCATTTTCTGCAACGCTTGGTTATCGTCACGCCAGCGCTCAATGGCAGCGTCCACAGCATCCCTTTCCAGACGGGCCTGGATCTCTCGGCGCTGGGGCTGGGTGAGTGTGTCGATGTCGATGCCGGCTGGGATCTCGCGAAAAAGGCTAAGTGTTTGTTTCAGGGTTTTGAGACCGCTGCCCTTTTGTGGGGTGCTCAAGACCTCGGGATAGCTCGAGGGTCCTGGAGAAGTCATGGATGATACGGGGGCTTCCACAGATGCCGCTGAATCCTCGGCCGAGGCTGCCTCTCTTTCCTCTACCGGTTTGGCGCTTTCTGCTATTGCAAGGTTGTATGTCGGGCAAATCTCGGTGATCCTCGCACGATCCGTGTCCGTCAGGATATCGGTCATGTATAAAACCTCGAGGCCAACGGTGCCGGGTGCCATGGCCATGTATCGCGAAACTAGCCTGTTTAATCTTCCGTCCCTGGTTGGGGACGATATGAGGCATGCCTTGAGCATGTACGCAATGGTCTCGGGGGTCTGCTTAAGCGCGGGCTCGACTGCCCGCAAGTTGAGCTCGTACCAGTCGTGTATGGCGTCAGCCTTGGTCATGCTAGGGCTCTCCATCAGAAGCTCGATGGCGCGGTGTAGGTAGTCGTTGTGCAGGTCCATGATGTCGGACCTCGCGATTATGGGGAAGTCTGAAGTGATGCGGGCAAGCATGATGCTGGCACGCTCCAGCTTGCCGATCCGCAGGCAGGCGTCGAACATGGACAGAAGCTCCTCGACATCGCCGCTAACGTTCCTCACGCTGCGCCTCCTGGCAACTTTGGGGTTTTTGTGCTGGTCGCGTAAGATGAGGACCGAGGATACATCAAAGGGCCGTAGATCGTAGGAGCGAGGGGCCGAGGCCGTGGTAGAGCCGGGGCCAGAGAAGGACGCCGAAGGCATGGGCTTGCCCGGGTCGGCTCCGGGTAGTGGGTAGCCATCGATGGCAGTGGCCAACCCCCGTCTGGGTTCACGGCTAACGCTGTGCGAGGCGGCTCCCCGAGGGGTCGCTTGGCCATCTTGTGCCCTTGACAGCACGGAAGATGCAGCCACGGTCGATCGAAAGTGTCGAGGATGTGACCGAGCAAGTGCCGGGCCGGAGACAGGCCTCGTTAGCCTGGGGAGAGCCAAGCCGCGCCGGTAGCACCGCACCTGGGACAACATGTCGACAAGAAAATAAACGATCACGCGAGCGGGCGCGGGGGAGGGCGGGCGCGCACAGCTCTAGCAGCGGCGAGCGGGGGTGAGGAGGGAAAGTCTAAAACGGCATTAGGATAGGAAAATATGTACGTTTAACTAAAGACGAGTAAAGGAAGGCTTGTTGATCTGAGGGTTTGTTTGAAGCAGTAAAAGTCCCATCCCAGAATCCGATGCTAAAAAATCAAAGACGGCGAAAAGTGGCCGCGATGAGCTCTAATGCGACGTCGAGCTCCAAATTTTATTTTTCTTTCGCCATGCATCCTCAATCGGTGTTCGCCCCGCCGACTAGCTATTCGCGGGGCCCACCAGGCGGGGAGAGAGGGGTTCCTACGATTGGCCACGATTTACCTGACGCCTCCTTGCAAAAGCCACATTAACCAGCAGGGACATGGGGTGTGTGGCTGACTAGGCGCAGGTATCACTAGGCGCCTCGGTACTTATTCCTCAAACTGACAGACTATTTCCATCCCAGAATGTCAGCCTGCACACCAATATACCACGCATCCTCCGTTTCTGCCCAGGCCTGCAATGCCTTCTTGGACTCCTCAATGTCGCTCTCGGTCAGACCGCTGGCCAGCCAGCTAGCCCTAAAGGAATCTCCCTCGGCCAGGCGGGCGGCGTTGCTGTCGGCGAACCACCTCCGCTCGTCGGCCGTGGCCCAGACGGTGGTGCCGGCGGTGACGGTGAAGTTCTCGAAGTCGGCGGCGCGGTAGAGAGCGGGCATCAGGCAGCCGGTGAACTCGTCGGCGTCGGCGCCCACGCCGCGGGCCATGCGCCTGGTGAAGAGCTCGCCGAGGTTGCAGGACCGCGGCAGCCAGTGGGCGTCGACGATGGTGCGGGTGGCCAGCACGCCGCCGTCGCGCAGGACGCGGCGCATCTCGGCCATGGCGGCGGCGCGCAGCTCTGGGGTGGCCAGGTGCGGGAACACCTGCGAGGCGAAGACGACGTCGAAGGACCCGTCGGGTATGTCGGACAGGCCCTTGACCACGTCGCCGCGGCGGAACGAGACGCGGGCGGCGTCATCAGACAGCGCCAGGTTCTTCTCGGCCTGCTTCAGCACCTCGCCCGACACGTCGATCCCGACCACCTCGCCATCGGGCACCACGCTGGCGAAGCCGAGGGTGATGGTGCCCGGCCCGCAGCCGACGTCCAATATCCGGTCCGTCTCCTTGATGTGGGGCAGCACGAATGCGGCGTCCGAGTAGATTGTGCGGGCGGCATGGCTTGCCAATACGGCCTGTGAGTAGCCCATGGAGTAGTTGGACTTTGATTCGTTGGCGGCCATTTTGATTGTGCACAGTGCAAGTTTTGGGTGCAAGTGTTGATTGCCGATTTTAGTCGATGAGTTGATGATGTTTGTTGATGGGGTGATGATTTCTGTTGATGACTTGATGAATGCGTAGAGGTTTGCAACGTGAATGATGAACAACACTTCCATTTGCGACGGCCTCTCGAGTCATCCATATAGTAATCCAGCCTGCCCAACTTCTCACTACTACCCATCCGTGCAGTGGTCAACATCACTAACGTCTCTCGCCTCGATGCCTCGGCCCAAGAACAACCCCACCTTAGCCCCCGTATCACCCTGCATCACACTACCATTGTGTGCTCTTAGCTGGGCCCTTAGCTTTGCGCATGATAATCAGCACAAGCTGCCAAGTGCCTAGGCTGGCAGTTATTTGTTGGGAGGTCTGGTATTGGCATTCGACCTTTTTCGCTTTTCGGTATTTCCGCCCAGCCCAGCTTCCTTGACCTAATGAGAGCCGAGACAAGCTGGGGCTTGATGCGTCTTGTTGTTACCCCGACCCCGTCGGCGCAATCGGGCTGCATTTGCCCGGCTCCGTTCTGCTGTGAGACCTACCTAGTATCTCGAGCTCAGTTTATCAGTTCTGGAATTGTCAGGTCAAATGTTAGGCGCTTTATCTGCTGAACGGTCGTTCCCGTGATAGGGGCTGGCCCGAGAACGAGACTGTGCTTCAGTGCCATTGGGGGAGGTGGGAACATTTGTGGTGGCTCATATGATAATAGTGCCCAGTTCATCATGTGCTTGGACGAGACTTTTTTGTTCGCCGGCCGCAGGAATGATTTGTATGGGCCTTCACCGATTTAACACTCAGGCCCAAAAAATAGCGAGACACGTCGTTGCCTGGAATGCGGCGGCCACGTAACTTTTCATCTTGGCTCGCTAGACTTGAGTTCTCTGCCGAGGCTTCAAATGTCATCAAATGCAAAAAAAAAAAAAAAAGCGCTTAGATCGAAGCAGCAACCCTTGATCCTGTTTTGCGTGTGCCCGGACTCGAACCGGGAGCCCATCGATGGCAACGATGGATTTTACCCTTAAACCACACACGCCGGTCGTGGATAGACAGAAGCTGACTTGATGCTCCACCCATCATCCTGCAGATTTATATGGGTAAGGAGATTGGACTAAGCTAAACATGGAACCACAACCATCTACCAACCAAACGCCTCGTCCACAAACACCACCGCCCGTCTCCCGCTCCTCCCCAGCTCCGCCACCGCCGCGCGCACATCGTCCGCCATGCCCGGCGGCCCGCACACCACCACGCCCAGGGGCCCGCGCCCGGCCGCCATCTCGTTCCTGACCACGGCGCGCACATCCACCCTAGCCCCGACGCTCGTCTCGACCGCCACGCCGCCCGCGCCCAGCCCGGCCAGCTGCCCAGCCAGCGCCGCAGGGAGGCTGCCGTCGCGCACGCCCCAGACGAGGCGCGCCGTGGTGGTGATGGTGGTGGTGGTGGGTGGTGACCCATCGTCGTCGTCGCCCTTTGCAGGCGCCGCAGCCGAGGAGGAGGAGAATTCCCGCAGCAGCGGCAGCAGCGCCGTCACGCCCACGCCGCCCGCCACGCACAGCAGCGCCTCGCACCCGCGGACCCGCGCGGGGCCCGACGATGCGTAACGGTACGAGCCCTCGACGAGCACCGGTAGGCGTAGCGGCGCCTGGGTGTCTGGCGACGACGAGGAGGCGGCCAGGCGCGCTGCTAGGTGGGCCGTGACGCCGTTGCGGGTGCGCACGATGAATGTGGCGCGTGGCGCGGTCGCGGTGGTAGCGGTGGCGGTCCGGGGGTGATGGCGCGCGACGCTTGATCCCGACGGGGATGGATCCCGCGCTTCTTCTGCGACGACGTTGTCGCTGGCGGACTTTTCTCCTACTACCGTGACACCACTGCTACTGCCCTCGCCCTGCACTTCCACCTCCTCCGCCTGGCCGTCCGCGTCCACAAACGACGAGACGACCGAGAACGGATGATTTTCCCAAAACATCCAGCTCAGCGTCGGGAAGCGCAGGTACACGACGCCGTCGACGCGCACGCCGTCCACCTCGATGCGGAGGTACTGGCCGCCGCCGCCGCTGCCCTCGACGGCCGACACCACGGCCGTGCGGAGCCTGTTGCGCGCTGTCCTCGCCAGCCTCGCCAGCTTGTCGGCGCCCCAGACGCCGACGGCGAACCACACCCAGATCTCGTAGCCCCAGTTGTACTCGTACAGGTGCCAGATGTGGTAGTAGTAGCCGACCAGGAACAGCACGGCCAGGACGTGGTGCAGCGGCAGGAACACCTCGTACGCCGCGCGCCGCAGCGCCGGCGCGCTGGCCGCCAGCAGCGCCACGGCCGCCACGGTGCCCACTATCCCCCACTGCCAGTAGAGGCGCGCCAGCTCCATGGCGTAGTCGCCGTACTCGACGTACGTGGCCAGCAGCAGGGCCGAGTGCGCAACCGTCAGCGCCACGGCCCAGTAGCCGAGCCAGCGGTGCAGCAGCAGGAAGGTGGCGTGGTGCCAGTCTGTCAGCCACAGCAGCGCGCTGTTGCGGGCCGAGAAGACGAAGAGCGCGCCCGCGTTGCCCATGGCCATGCTGCCGGCGCGGTTGCCCATCGTGGCCATGTCCTGGTTGCGCCGCGTTGGATACGTCGAGTTGGGGAAGGCGTAGTAGTAGGGCGCGAGCACGCAGGCGATGTTGATGAAGCTGATGAGCCCGATGTAGAGCAGCTGGCCCCGCGTCGGCACCGTCGCGCCGCCCAGCGCCCACGCCCCGCCCCGCGGCTCGCGGTGCCGGCGGCCCAGCGCGGCGGGGTGGTTGGCCATGCAGTTGATCCACGTCCAGGTGCGGCTGCGTGCCAACCCAGGTATGAAGCGGAGGAGCGACAGGAGGACGGGGGTGAGTAGAGCGACGAGGAGGACGCCGATTCTGAGTTTCACACAGGTTTCGTTGGTGTCAGCCAGTCTCATCTTCTTTTTTTTTTTTTTTCTTGGATGTCTGTCCGTACTTACGTCGAGTTCGAGTCGCCCG